AAACTACTACCACCAACGAATTTGACGCCCAAATTATCCTCTACTTTCTCTGATTTCCACCGAACGACTAGTTCAAATCTTCTAAAATCACTACAAAAAAAACAAACTCACTAATTCAAACTAAACACAATCATAATAGCATTTGAATAATATAATTGCAAAAATAAATGTGTCTCTTACCTATTAGCCATTTTTGCAGCAGCAACTAGAGCTCTCTCCTCTATCTTGGACCATTTTTTTTGTTGTTGTGTGAATCTGAAAAGAAATTGGCTGGGTTTTATAAGGTGGGTGGCCAGCAATAAGGCAGCGGTGCCACCTTAGTCTTGGGCGCCACCTCCTGGGATGATTTCCCGCCAACTCACCTAGATCTCAGGCGGTGCCACTTGAGTCTTGGGCGCCGCTGCCCGCCGCTGTCAAATTAATAAAACGATCCAAAAAGTCAGCCAAAGCGGCAACGCCTGAGTCTCAGGTGGTCTCGCCGATTCTTTTCTCCAAAACACAATATCTGTGTCAATACTTTTTAATCCGCCATATTGGTGGTAAATTGTTTTTAAAAAAATAATATTTGTGTCATTCCTCCTCATTATTATAAGAACCATTTACATATAGCCGTTACCATTTGTCCATTGCTTATCGCAAGGTTTTCAAGATTATTTTACTTTGTGCTGATGTTGCTGTTTTTTTTTTTTTTTTTGTATAACAACTTATTGTACTATTATATTTTAGTTACAATTAATGGAAAGGAACAACATTGATTAAGAAATGAATAATATGTTAATTTAAATGAATCTCCCCCCAACAACAAATTAAAACCAAATACACCGATTTTAAATTGCCAACACATAAAATGAAAAACAACAAGTCAGACTGGGATCCAAGGTTGTGTCAGTGAGCAAGCTTGCAAGCAAGGGGCGTCCGAGCTACAAACTGCAGGTGGAGAGCGAGAGAAGAAAATTAACATGAAACCTCTCCGAGTAGCATGAAGGTACACGAAAAGTCATATGATGATGTCGTCAGATCGAGGAAATGATTTCTATGGAGCAGGGAGGTGCACTATCAAGAGAAGTGCGGAGGATAGGTTCATTGAGGTTGGAAACGATGGGGTAGCAGAAAGAGAGGATTTTGTTGAGAGAGGAGACGAAGCAAGGATCTTTGCCTTTAATAATCCATTGCATTTGAAAAGTGTTAATTTGCTGAAAACTATTGGCAACTTCTACGGTTCGTTCTTAGATATCGATTGGAATTCGTGGTACCTTCCTTTTGTTCGAATCAGGATTAAGAAAAGCTTCCGCATCCCTAATGAAATTCAAGTAAAATTTGGGTCTCAATCCTTCATCGTGAAGATTTTCGTTTCTCCGGAGGTGGCTTCGGCGGACGGCGGAGCGGTAGGTGGGAAGAGGAACGGCCATGCATCATCCTCCTCGGGCACCTCGTCCAAGGACACGCATGCATGGAGACTTAATGCTGGCGGCAGTATTTTGAATAAAAGAAAAGGTTCGGTTCACACTTTCGGAAGAAGTTGGGGAGGCGGTGGAGAGACAGCTGGACCTTCTTCAACCCCCTTCGAGGGTAGGTTTAAGCGCGTGTGGATCAAGAAAGGAAGGGCCTGTGTGGCTTTCGTTTAGAACTGGGCCCAATTGCAGGGTAAGTGAAAGTGGGGAGGAGGCCCAAATAGACAGATTAGATCCAAACTGGGCTCTGTGCAAGATTAGACTTGCGAGAATAAATGTGTCTTACGAGTTTTCTCTTCGGCGTAGCCCAGCCCGAAATATCTTCTGGAATTTCCATCCCATCCTTGTTAGATTTGCTTCAAGCATTTTCGGAGAGGTCGAATGAAGTAACATTTTGAGCTGGGTGGGGTTTCCTACCTTGACGATTAGCCCGCCGGTCTCGTCTGCTAGGAAAGAGATCGATTTCGACGACAGACGTGGGGACTGAGGATCAATCAGGTATTTCAGCTACGGCGGACGATTGTGGAGAAGATCTCCTTAGCCTCGTCCCACAAACCCACTTAGAGAGCATCACTGAAGCGAGGGACACAGTCTCTGAAGCTGGGTTTTCTTTTTTGGGGGACTACGAGCTCCCCTCACCCTCTTGCGTTGATTCGGGTGAAAGTAGAGATTGGGATCCGGATGTCATCCCTTTTGACGCGGAGAAGCTAGCGGAGAAATGTATCAGTGTGAGTAGGATGCTAAATTTGGAGGTCGATGGGAATCGGGAGAAGGCAACGAGTTTGTTCTGCAATCGGCTAAGGAGTTGCACCAAAGGAAGATCAGGGTATCCCGCTCTAAGCTGGAAATGGAAAATCATAGATTGGGTCCGAGATCCCGATCCGACGGGACCTAGAAGGTGCAGGAGCAGTAGGGGGTCTTCTATTCATCGGTAATTTATGGATACAAGTTTTGTCTTCTGGAATATTAGGGGAATTGGAGACCGAGATAAGAGAAGCAGGGTGAAGCGTTTGATCGGGCGACATAATCCTAAGATCGTGGGCCTCACTGAGGCAAAATTATCGCAGTGTGATGAAATAATCGTGGGGAGCTTGTTCTGCATACGCGAGTTTGGCTGGGTGGCCAAAAACGCTGTAAGAAGATCTGGAGGAATTGTGGTCTTCTAGGATAAAATTTTCTATACCAAAATGTCCAGCTCCGAAGGTAGTTATTTCCTCGCGGTTGACCTGATGGAGATTCGCAGTTCGAAACTCTAGCATCTGGTGGTTGTATACGTTCCGCAAGAGAGAGTGGATAAATTGGCCTTCCTCGGTGAATTACATGTTTATTGTGCGAGGCAACAAGGTCCTGTCTGTATCACCGACGATTTCAATTTGGTAAGGAACCATGATGATTATCAAGGAAATAGGAGAAGCAATGAGCTGATGTTTGAATTCAATTCTTTCATTGATAGCAATGGGTTTCTCAAGCTCCCCTTGAGCGGGAGTAGGTTCACTTGGAGTCATGGTGTGAATAGAAACTCTCGGTCTTGCATTGATAGAGTGTTGGTATCTCAAGAGTTCGACAATCTCTATCCTGATTGTATCTTGTCAGCAATGCAACGTGTGGAGTCGGATCGCAATCTGATGGTCATGAAGTGGGGTGTCGAAGAGAGGATCAAGAGGCCGTGGCGTTTCCAAAATATGTGGCTCGAAGATGGGCGGTTTTTCGAGAGTATGAACTGTTGGAAGGGAGAAAGTCTGCAGGGAAATGGTTGTATGTTTCTTCTTGCTAAGAGGCTGTCTTTTATTATAACTAAGCTCAAGATTTGGAACAGGGAGGTTTTCGGGAATGTGGATGTTAAAATTGAGGACATAATCCAAAACATTAAGGTTTTGGACTCCTTGGAGGAGACGAGGGCCCTCGTTGAAGAGGAGAAACACTCTAGGTTTAGCCTCGAGCTTGAACTCACCAGGTTGCTACTACTTCAGGAAATTTGTTGGAGGCAAAAGTCTAGAGAAACCTGGATTAAGGTCGGCGAGAAGAATACAAGGTATTTTCACAAGGCTACTAATTACAGAAGGAAAGTGAATTTTGTTGATAGACTTAGGATTAATGGACATATGATTGAGGATAAAGAAGAGGTTAAGACTGGGATTGTTGGCTATTATCAATCCCTATTCAAGGAATCGATGTACCTTCGGCCATTCCCAGGGGGTCCTTGCATTCCAAGACTTGGTGCTAGCGATATTTCGATGCTAGACCGACCCTTTTCCGAACATGAAATTGTTGAGGCTCTGAGAGACAATGATGGCAGCAAGGCCCCTGGCCCTGACGGATTCAGCTTTGATTTCTTCAAAAGGTGTTGGGATTGGTTGAAAAAAGATATTATGGAGGCTTTCCAGGAGTTTTACGGGAACAAGTATCTCCCTAGGTGCGTTACTCATTCCTTCGTTTGTTTAACTCCGAAGAAGGACGTGGTCGAAGATATCAAAGATATGAGACCCATTAGTCTGATGAGTAGTATAAACAAATTGGTCAGCAAAGTGCTCTCTAGAAGACTGAGTCTTGTCCTTCCCAAACTCATTTCACAGCACCAACTGTCCTCGATCCACAGGAGGCAGATCTCCAAAGCTGATTATCGCTAATGAGTTGGTGGATAGCCGTAAGAAGAGTAGAAGACCGGGGTTGATATTCAAGCTGGACGTTGAAAAGGCCTTCGATAACGTTAATTGGAGCTGCCTTTTCAAGTTGTTAGCTGCTGTTGGTTTCTCGGATCGGTGGGTCAAATGGGTTAAAGGTTCTATGTGCTCCTCCTTCATTTCCATTTTGGTCAACGGGTAAGCTAATGGTTTCTTCACGGCTTCTAAGGGGTTACACCAGGGGGATCCCCTATCGCGTGGGCTTTTTGTTTTGGTGATGGAGGTGCTGTCGTGGATGTTGAAATTGGCTTGGGAAGATGGTAAGTTCGGAGGCTTTTACATGAATGAAGAGTTTAAGAAAGGGGAAGTTACTCACTTGTTGTTCGCCGACGATACCCTCATCTTTTGTGATGCTGAGTATGAGCAGGTGCTCCATTTGCTAGCTGTAACCGCTTGCTTCCAGACCGTTACTGGCCTTAGAATCAACCTAGACAAGTTTGTGATGTATACAGTAGGAGATGTGGCGGATCCAAGCTTTTTTGCTGCTATTTTTGGGTGTCAATGGAGCAGGAATCCTCCTAAGTATCTCGGGTTCCCTCTTGGAGCCAAAGCGAATGACTCTGCCATTTGGGATCCAGTTGAGGGAAAGATGCAAAGTAAACTTGGAAAATGGGGCATCAAACATCTCTCCTATGGGGCGAGATTGGTCCTTATCATAGCGGTTCTCTCAAGTATGCCTACTTACTTGTTCTCCCTTTTCAAGGCACCGGTCTCTGTCATTAAAAATGTGGAGAGGATTCAAAGGAATTTTCTGTGAAATGGAGCAGGTGTAAACAGTAGGCTGCTACTGGTTGAGTGGAACAAGTGTAAGGCTGGTAAGGAAGATGGGGGGTTAGGAATCCATGATCTGAAGGCGTTCAACGACGCAATGCTGACTAAGTGGTTGTGGAGATTTGCTGTCGAGAGGAAGAGCTGGTGGCGAGAGCTGATAAGTGTTAAATATCCTAACCCGCTCTCGAATTGGCACACCCCTAAGGCTAGTAGGGGTTTCTCCCAGTCTGTTTGGGCTAACATCACGAAAGAGTACGAGAACTTCTGGAGGTTTGCTAGCTTGGAACCAGGAAACGGCACTCAAGTTTCTTTCTGGCACGATCCTTGGGTCCTTGGAAGACTGTTATCTAAAGCCTTTCCCCGCATTGTTGCTGCGGCCTCGGACCTCAATTCCATGCTTTCTGACACTGCCAACCTTAATGGTGAGAGGGTGAGTTGGTGTATTAATCTTAAATTTCCTTTGAGGGGTGGGGCTGAGAGGGAACGTGTGAATTTATTAAATATGCTTGAGTCTATTAATGTGTTTAAAGATTTATTTAGTCTCTGCAGAATGATTTGGAACCCTGATTCAAATGACAAGTTTTCTGTGAGATCCTTGTATAGGGTTATGGCGAAGGAGAAGTTCCACGGTGTGTTGAACTTTCCTGAGAGGAAATTATGGAAATCGTTGGTGCCCAACAAGATTTGTTTCTTTAGTTGGTTGGTATATTTCAACAGGGTACTCACCATGGATAATCTGAAGAAGAAGAAGGGGTGGAGCCTGGCTAATAGATGCTTCCTCTTCCAGTGCAAAGAAGAGTCAATGCAACACTTGTTTCTTGAGTGAGAGTTTGTCTTGGCAGTGTGGAGCTACATCTATGGGAATAGCTGGACAGCGCAGATCCAGACAAGGGATATTCCAGGTTTTATTAAAGATGGGGATTCGGGAGCCTTGGAGTGTGGATTCGTGGTTTAAGGAATGTATCCTCCATGCTGTGTGGTGGAATGTGTGGCTCGAAAGGAACCAGCGTGCGTTTGAAGACAACGGTTCGCTTGCTGGGGTTGTCGCTCGCAAGGCTGTCAAGAACGTGATGGAGTGGTTAACTGCTCTTGGAAAAGTGGAAGTTGAACAAGGTACTAGATGGCTCAGAGATAAGTTGAATGGGATATGATGGCGACACTAGGCTGTTTGGGGAAGAAGGAGCCATGGCGTCTGGGCAGTCCTACTCCTGCTGGCAGCGCTGGGAGCATTTTCTTGGGTTGTTGTTGCCTTGTTTGTGGTCTGGGAATCTCAAGGGCTCATGGTGTTTTGTTAAGGGCAGCCCTGCGTTTCTGCTGCTGCTGCTAATGTTGGTGCTTTTCGGGGGAGGATTAGAGAGGGCAACATACCTCATTCGGTAGTGGCCAAGTTAGCTACAGGTTCAGCGGTGGAGTGGATCGTTGCCCACGACAAGACACAGGCTGATGGGGTGTATCGATGGTTAAGGGACATTGTAGGAGGAATGTAAGCGGTTTCAGCTGGATGCTTTGAGTGTTGTGTGTGTTTGTGGCAGGAGAAAATCGCAACTCATAAATGTTAGAGTGGAGTGGATTTGCATTTAAAAGGGCCGACAATGATCAATGGTTAAGGGACATTATAGGAGGAATGTAAATTGTGATGTTGTTTTAGCGGTTGCAGCTGGATGTTTTGAGTGTTGTGTGTGTTTGCGGCAGGAGAAAATCGCAACTCATAAATGTGAGAGTGGAGTGGATTTGCATTTAACAGGGCCGACAATGATCAAATTTCTAGAGGGTTGTATGATCGGATTTACAGAACCACAGCTGGTGCTTTTTGATGCCTTCATACTTGGGATAGTCTATGGGCTTTTATCTGCAGTAGGTGGTTGTATCTTGTTGTGTTCTGGACAGGAGATACAACCCGCTTTCCTTTTTTATTTTTGCTTGTTCTAAGGACAGGAGCTTCCTGGTTCGCTCAGCTCTTTCTTTCGGTGCTGTTTCCACCGTTTTCCTCCTTGTTCCTTTGCTGCTCTCTGTGTGTATTTTTCTGTTTCTTCCTTTTGAGGCGCACTCCTTGTGCGTGCCTTTGTTGTCTGTTGTGACTTTCAGTTTATCTCTAATAAATTCACCATTATAATTTTTTTTTAAAAACAATGCCTATTATTAATTTACATAAATATCAATTGTTTTAGAAGGTATAAGGAGGTTGGGGTTGTGTTTTCATTCCTATTTTTATTTTCTCTTAACATATCTCGGAAACAAAAAAATCGTGAGTCATAGGGATGTGTAACACCTTAGACGGATCTCACATCGACAAAGCACAAGAGAGATCCATGGTTCATAACTGACAAGACGCATTTTGGGGTGAAATAAAATTCTTGTGAGAACTCCAGAGTTAAACGTGCTCTGTGTGGAGTACAACGGATGAGTGACCTTATGGAAAATCACCTCTGTCGGGAAAAGATTCGGAAAGTTACAAGATGCCTAATAAAATTTGCATTTTCAGGATATCCACTTATTAGTCTGACTTTATAAACAGGTAAATTGCAAGTTTTGTCACTGAGATTACTAAAAAGTGTCATTTTTAGTCATTATAAATATTTAATTCCAATGTTGGTCACTCGAATTAGTCAAATAGTTCATATTTAGTCACTCTCTGTTAATCTCCGTTAACACAGTCAGTTATTTGCTGACGTGGTTAACGGAAGTGCTGACTCACTATATTTAAACCGGCCGCATAACCAAACTCGACCTACCATGTCATCTTGCCCAATCCAACCCTTGAACCCAATCCATGAACAGACCTAGGGGTGGAAAACGGGAAACGGGTATTTGGGTATACCCATACCCGTCCCGTTTTTTGAGGGTTATGGGCACCCAAATACCCGTAAAATTTATTACGGGATGGGACTTGGGATTAAGAATTTCTACATTGGGTACCCGCGGGTTACCCGCTAATACCCGTTTGGGTAGTATGGGTACCCGTAATACCCATTACGACTTATTCACTATACAAATACAATACTAAAATAGTCAATACATAGCTCATAATCAATGATTGATCATCAAATGAAGTGCATAGACGTTTACTAAAAAAATTGATAACTACAGATCTTTGAAAAAGCTTGATTTCTTTGATAGCACTTGAGCTTCTGTGCATATGTAAAGTTAAGGGAAGATAAATAAGGAAAGTAATTAGCCATTGATCAGCTTACTAGAAACCTTGCAACGCAAGGGTAGAAAAATTAAAAGAGAACACAAATAGGAATTGGAATTGCATGACAAATATCTACAGACTCCCAATATCCCTCACCAGCTGCGAGGTCTTCTTAATTAATTGAAAACTGAATGTCTCCTGCCCGTTAACAATTCGCGCCATCTATGCAGAAATTGTGTGGTATAAAATGTCCAATTGTGGGAAAGACGAGCACTCATGAACTGAAGGGGAGGGGAGGGGAATCCCAAATAACAAAAAAACCACCCAAATTTATGGGTACCCGCGGGTACCCGTTATCCGTCCCGTACGGGTAATGGGTACCCGTTAACTCGTACGGGTTTGGGACATGGGATGGAGTTTGCTCTCCTAATGGGATTGGGTACCCGTTTAAAACGGGACGGGTACCCAATCCCGTCCCGTTGTCCACCCCAAAACAGACCCTAAGCCGCCCAACTCTCCAAATCTACTCCATCTCTCATCTCACCCGCCCCCTGGATCTGAAAATTTCCAACGAGAAGACGACGCCAAGAGCTAGGAAAGCCCAAGATGCTTCAATCCTAGCCCGGAATCCTCTTTGTCATCCCCAAATTTGGCTTCGTTGCTGCTGTTGTTGGCTACTCTGCTGCCACTGATTTGTGTTCTTATTCTGCCTCACGTTTCCATTATTATGGTTGAAGGAAGGCTCAGGTTGTATAGCTTCTCTCTGTCCCTCTCCAACGCGATTGCTCATTCGGATTTTTGCTCTCTTTCACAAGAGCATCGTCAACTCCATCTTCTCACCGAAGCTCCGATTTTAACAACGAATAGGATCGACGCAAGTGAATCAAGGAGGAGGACGAGGTGGAGGACGATGATCCTGAACCAGAAGACGATGGACGAGAAGGGACGATAATCACAATCCAAAACCCTAAAAATTTACAACCACAACAACAAGAAGTGAAGTAAGAAAGAGAAAACGATAGATATGAATCCTCTCTGCGACTGTGTTTTTAGGGGGAGGGAGAATCTGGGATTTTTTACTTTTCCCGATAGACAGGGGGATTTACCCAATCGTTGATCCAAATCCGGAGAGCTCATTGTCGAAAATCCCAGTCCTCGTCGGCCATTGTCGATCTGATTTGCTCCCCTAAAACATCGTCATTGTCTGTAGTCGGAAAAAGTGGGTTCCGTTCGTCGTCTTCACCGGCGGTAAGAACCAATTGGGAGGAGAGGGGATGGGCAGGGGGAAACCGGAGAGAAACCAAGAAGGAAAAGCAACCCAGCAACCTTTCCCGACAAACAACTTCCTCGGCATCGGAGAGTCCATACCTTCATCAGCACCCAAACCGAAGGCACCAGTAGCAGAAAAAATCTTGCCAAAATCAAGCGCTCTGACATTCTCTACCGAGCCATGGAGAGCTACTCCAGTCGACGCCAAAGATGGGGATCGGGAGAGCAGATCAATGTCGGGTCGCATGGTGAACTGGCGTTTCAAGAAGAAGAAGCCATGGACTAAAGAGAGCCCTGAGATCGAGCGACCTGGGAACTCGCCGGGGCCGAGCATCCGGCGAAGAAGGTGGCGTTTGTCGGCGACTCTCTTCATGGCAACGAGCTGCCTAGTGGAGAAAGATTCAGTCAATTGGAAGAAGATGAGTACGAGAGCAATTCTAGCTACTCTTTCGACGAACTGGAGATGCAGGAAGAAGGAGCCGCGATCCGATGGAAGAGAGTTGGGAGTTGTGGCACCACCGCCGCATACCAGCAATCGTCGGCGCCGCGGCCTTGAAGCGACAGCGTTTCGAATCGCTCGCGGGAAACGACGAGTGGCGGCCGTTTCCGTCGCGCCAACGAGGAAGGAGAAGGAGAGAGAGTTTCCAGTGGAGTTCGGCGACGAGATCCACCGCCAATGCAAAGCCGAGGCAAAAGAGGTGGACGGTGTCGGCGTCGATCGACGACGAGAAACAGTTCGGGGTCCCCGAATTTTGCAGTCAGCGACGCGGATCGTGGGGATGGCCGCGATTAATGTTGGCCATGGGTGTTGCGTCGATCGCCGAGAAGCAGAGGTTTGTGGCGCCGGAGTCGACTTCTTGTGGCTTGGTGCGCCGCTCGCCGGAGGACGAGAAGAAGAAGAGAGGCGGCGGCGTTAATTTCCTCCGATGGGAGCCTCTGCGTCTTATTCCCTCTTTCGAAGCGGAGCGGAGCGACTGCAGAGGGCTGGGTCAGCTGGGCCTGGAGCATGGGTCGACAAATAGAGAGCTCGTCTGGGTATGGCCAAACCAATTGAGTGGGGCGAGGGAAGAGCCACAAAGCAGGCCCACTCGCAAGGAATGTTCTACTGAGCTTGCCTTGGAGATGCTGAGGTGGGCCGAACCAAAATCTGAGAAGGGTCTGTGGGTTGAAGTGAACGGGCCACAAAATGAGAATAATCTGGCCAAGCTAGGGTCACGTAGCGGGCTGGAACTTGATAAAGTTGGGCCATTGGTAATGGGCATTATGGTGGAGAAAGACAAAATAAGCCTAACCCAAGGAGTGGACTTAAAAGATAAGAAAGATGGATCTATGGGCTTAGCAACGGTGGTAACGATTGGACTTAAAAGAGTTGAGTCTCTTTTATATTATGTGGGCTTGGAAGAGAAAGAAGAGGAACTCCTCGACATAGACGGTGGGCTCGAGAAAGAACGACTCTCTAATCCTTATTTTGTGGAGTTTGAAAAGGAGGGTGGAGAGTCATTTGGCTATGGTTGTAACACGAGCCATATGGGTAAGGAAGAAGCAATGGAAGTCAAAATTGTGTGTGTGAGACTCATTCGAATAGTGGAGCCCGATTGGAAGAAAAGGAAGCGCAAGACACGAAGCAGTCAAAGGGCTGATCGCGCAAGAAAGACGGAGAAGTGGGCCAAATCAATCAACCTTGAGGGCAAGGTTGGTCTCAAGAGGGAGGGGATGTTAGAAACACGATTTTTCGTGTTTATCATTAATATTATTATGGTTAGTTGTCTTTTAGTCGAATTAGGTTTATCATTAGGGTTTCTCAGTAGTTCCCTATATATATATATATGTACTATGGGTCTTTCGTTTTATCAAGCAGAAGTTAATAAAAGAATTATCTCCTTAATCCCTCTCCATATCCTCTTGATTCTTGACCTCAATCCCTCTAAAGGCCTAGTCCGATTCTCTTCTATTCTTCCCCAAATTCTCCTCAAATTCCTAAATCCCCAATTCTATTCTATAAACCTTAAATTCCCAATATCTAGATCTGATCTAGAAACCCGTTAAAAACTTTGTTTCTAATAGGGGGAGCGCTGACAAAACTGTGTCGATCTATGTAGAAGCCAACACCTCGATTCAGATTGCTGAGGGAGCTCTAATTCGGCAATGATTTTGGATCGGCGGCAGAACTGGCTTGAGATGGCCAAAATCTGAGTCGATGGTGGAGTTAGGAAGTTGGATAAGGAGATGGCAACAATGTAAGCAACATGCGAGGATTCATGGATGTGAAGTGTGCAATTAAAAGTTGATGAAGGGGACGAGTTGATGAGGAGCAGTAGCAACGGAGGTGGCAGAGCTGTAGATGCGAATGATGGATCTGAAGACTAGAGGAGAAAACGAAGCTCGGACTCGTTTACCCTTCAAGGTCGATGTTTCGTTAAGCGGCACGGGGAAGTGGAGAAGAAAGGGCAGCGGGTTGGTGGGATGGAGTATAGGGTCGAGTCATGGGTTGGGAAGGGTCGGGTCACAGGTTGGTTCGATGATGTGGCATTATTGATGACATGGCGGGTCAGATATAAATTTTTTTTGGGTTAAAAAAAGCTAATTAGACATTTCTGTTAGCCACGTCAGCAAAAAACTGACGCCGTTAACGGATGCTAAGGAGAATGACCAAACGTGAACTGTTTGACTAATTCGAGTAACCAACATTGAAATTAAATATTTCTAGTGACTAAACATGACACTTTTTAGTAATATCAGTGACCAACATTGTAATTTAACCCTTTATAAACCATTAACAGTCGCAGTTTCCGAAGTACACAAACTTATTATGGCATGGTTGCTTCGCTTATTGATACATGAACACTATTTACAACCCACTTATACATGAAAATGAGAACGCCCTCACATAAACCAAATCTAGTAACAAACAAACCCAGATAAATTGACAAGTAAAATATAAACACAAATTCATAACAGCGTTTCACCTCTATGCAAATCAAATCAAATCAAATTTAAAACTGACTAACATATGAATAACTAAAACTTCTCAACCCCACCGGCACCTTCTTCAACCTTCTTTGGCCCCTCCTCCACTCTCTTCCTCTCCTCCGACTCCTTGGCAATGTCGTACGTCGCGTGCATCCCGAAGAAGACGTAGTACACCAGCAGTATCAAAGTCCACACCCCAAACCTCCCAAACGACGCCTTATCGATCGACCCCAGCAAGAAAATGTTGATCATGATCGATGCCGACGGCAGCCACGGCACCAACGGCACCCCCCACAGCTTCGGCTCCCTTGCCTGCGGTACGAACGCGCGCAGCCCAAACGTCGCGCCGAACCATATCGGCACGGTGATCACATACCCAACCCACCCGTCCCCACCCTGGGCCCAGATGATCGCGGTCGCGACGGCGGACCCCAGGATCGTGACTATGCAGCCAATCAGTTTCAGCTGATTGGCCCTGGTCGTGACCCCGGAGTCGTAGTATCGACGAACCAGAAGGGCCAGAGCGACCATCATGAAGATGAACAGCGTGGAGATGGAGAGGAGGTTCGATAATATGTCCAATTTGGTAAAAAATGCGATGAAGGCTGTGGCTGCCAGCATGACAACTGTCGCGTTGACCGGGGTGCCCGTTTTAGAGTTGACATGGGCCAGCCAGGGTGGCATCATGTGAGTACGGGCTATGTGCGTGAGGTAGCGGGCCTGGCCCACGGCCGAGACCAGCAGGACCGTGGTCATCCCTTTTAGTGCTCCAGCTGCAACGATATACTTAGCCCAATTCCATCCCACGTCCTCGAACGCGACTGAAAAGGGCGCGTCCGGGTCGATCTGCTGGTACGGTACCATCATGGTGAGGACAACTGCCAAGAGACAGTAGGCGACGCTGGTGACGGTCATGGACCCCACGAGCCCGATGGGGATGTCCCTGGCCGGGTTCTTCGTCTCCTCGGCCATCGTGGAGACCGCATCGAACCCCACGTAGGCGAAGAAGAGGACAGCCGAGGAGACGAAGATGCCGCGGGCCCCGTGCGGGGCGAACGGGGTCAGGTTTTTCGTGTCGGCTTTTGTGAAGCCGGCGATGATGATGAAGATGATGACCGCCACGTGGAAGATGGAGGCGATGTAGTTGAAGCGGGAGGATCCTTTGGTGCTGAGGACGGCGAGGATGCAGATGACGGCGGCCACGCCGACGGCGATAGGGTCGAGGTGGCCGTAGTCGTCCGGAAGGCTGTGAGCTATGATGCGGAAGTCGTCCGGCTTGTGGTTGCAGAGCGTGGCGAAGTAGGATGTCCATGCTCGGGCAACGGCGGCTCCGCCGATGACGTACTCGAGCAGGATGTTGCCGGCGGCGATGAAGGCGATGAAGTCGCCGAGCTCCACTCTCAGGTAAGCGAACGAGCCTCCTGAAAATCACGAAGGCAAAGTTATTAATTAACTAATAATTAACGTAACCGTCGCCGCCGGTTCACGTTGTATCATAATTACGACAGTGATGGTAATTAGTTAATTCATTGTTGAGCTAATTAGGAGAGAATCCTTGTTAAAAATATCATTTTATTTCATCGAGGTTATCAATGTAAAGCTGTGACAAAAAGTAATTAAAAACGAGATAATAATGAGTTAATGATTAGCTCTAGGTATCTTCTTTGTGTAATTTAGATAACGACAAAATAATAACTAGCTATAGCTCTTATGTGTGAATGAATCTACGAGGTTTCATCAAGTCAACTATGAATACTGTACAGCTGTACTAACTAATAATGTGAAACCAAAGATGAATTTAAGGAGGCCCAAGTGGGGGTAGCCTTCATTTCGCACAATCAAAAAAAGTCTTTGGTCAACTGTTACTATTCCATAATTTAAATCACAATACCAAGAGGCAAAGACAAAATTAATGTGAATTGGACTTATTGGTAGGAAATTGCGTGAGCATAGTTACGCAGTAGTTCGATGGTGGTGTGAACACAGTCGTATAATGGTTAGAAAGAGGAGAGGGCAGCAAAAAAGGGGGCGGAGGGAGCCGAGCCACGGTACGTACCTGCGACGGGGATCTCAACGGCGAACTCGGTGTAACAGAAAACGGAGAGCATGGCGGAAACCCCGGAAACGACGTAGGAGAGGACGACGGCGGGGCCGGCGTGATCGCGGGCCTCCAGGCCTGTGAGGACGAAGATACCGGCGCCAATGACGGCGCCGATGCCGAACCACATGAGGTCCCACCAGTTGAGGTTCTTCTTCATCTCGTGCTCGCTGCGGGCCCTGACCTCGTGGATCTCGGTGGAGTCGAGGGAGCGGGCCGTGACCCGGTCCATGAACCGCTTCGGGGTCTCCCTCAGGGCCCGGCCGTAATTGGCCCAGCTCTGGAACGACTCCTCGGGGAGGAAATCGGCCTTGCTGCACGAGCATCCCCTCTTCCTCGCCCCGTCACCGTCTCCGTCTCCGGCAACGGTTCCCATCCTGGGGAAAACAAACGGAGAACTAATTGAATCACGAGATTTTAACGAGAGAGAGAGAGAGAAATCCGACGGTGGTTTTGAATTGCTGTTGGTTGGCGTACCTGATTGGAGGAGGAGAGACGTTTGTGAATTTGGAGGCGGCGGAGTAGTGGAAGAGAGAGAGAGAGAGAGAATGGGAATGGGGGAGGTTAAGATTGATGGGGATGGAATTTATAGGAAGCCGAAGGAGGACTGCGAGAGTCGGCTGGAGAGAGAAGGGAATCATGGAAATGGAGGGAAGTATGGAAATTGATTGGGGGGCGGTTGACTTGGGGTGACAAGAAATGGAATTGTTACTTTTTTTACTCTGGTGAAAAGGTAAATTTTTTTTTTATGAATGTGAAAAGGTGAACTTTTATTTAGGGTAAATGGGTGGAAAATATTAGGGAAATTCTGTGCAATTTATGTTAGTTGAATTTAATTTATAATTGATACTCACTACCGACAAAAAATTATAATTGATACGAAACCATAGTCCAGCTAGCTAACTAATTGCCTAATTAGTAATTTTGCTTTTTATTCATTTTATTTGGAGAGCGGATCAAGTCAGTAACTCTTATGGTGAGTAACCATCAGTAACCTGTCCACATGAGCATGACATCAGCCTCTCCTCTTTCCTGGAAAGTTTTTTATCTTTTTCTCTTTAATTTTTAACAGATGATTTCTCTCTTGTTTTAAGTCGAAATTTAATTTTTTTTGCACAGATAAATCAAATTAAATGTGCTCTTTAAAATTATATCCACTTTGATATATTTTTAGTACAATGATGGTACGAACATACCAATATGATAAGAAGGTTGAATACATGATAGTAGGAGTATACTAACTGTCATTACGACTTTCATCATTGTTTACCACAAGTTACCACCCACATACCATAGTGGTAAAGTATGGTAACTTTTGGTCCAGTGTATTTTTCACCCAGAAATTTGTAGATCCAATATATCACGATGAACTCGTTCCTTCTGAGCAAACGTTTTAAAAAACGACTTAAAAACGAAGAAGTTACCTTTTATTTGAATCAGATCCTCCTTACACGATTCACAATCCGATACCACAAAAAGGATATCAAGTTATCAACCATTGCGATGAGAAGAAGAAGAAAGAAGAAAAAGAAGGTAAAATCACACATGACAACCAAAATCTCTACTAATCTTTACCACTCAACATATACGTCTGTTTCACTGACCAATTGCTTTATCACTAAATCCTGCCGAATCCTAATCAATAGAGCATATTTAGGAAAGTGAGAATAATATATATTTTATATAGTTGAGTAAATTTCCTCATAAGCAATGAGTTGAATTAACCCTTAGATTAGGGATGATAGCAGGTTGGGATGAATAGTTTATATCCATTATCTTACCCATAAAAGTTTATGTCTTACTCTTACTCATACGCATACTCATACACATACAAGAATCAATTAGAATATTAAAACCATACACACATTTGATAGGGTTTCGGGTATTAACAATTATTCATGGATAACAATTTTTCGTTCCAACTTTCAACTAACATGTTGACAATTACACGTATACTGCATGCCATTACAAAAGCAAAATATTACAAACAATAAATTAGAGGAACAAAGAAATTAGCTAAAAACAATATAATTTCATGAAAGTATTATGTACATATGATGAATATACAAAAAAAAATTAGAAAAATAATAATTATTCTTAACAAAACTGTGTATAATTAGGCGAGTTCGGCTTAGATATTGACAAAATCATGTCCACCCATCACCTACAATATTCGGATTCAAATTTTACTCATATCCACTACAAATTTTTTGAGTTCTAACTTTATCTTGCCCAATTAATTAACCAATTAAATCAAATTCATACGAGTATCCAATTATTTTACATTCTACCTTCGTTGCTTGCTGCTGGTTCTGTATCCAGTTTCCTTTCTCTTTATAGAACCACTAAACATGAAGCACAAGGGTTTTAACTTTTAAGTAGAAGGTCGAGCCAGTCAACCGGCCGGAGGGAGGGAGGGTCCACGAACGTCGACCACTGATCCGTCGTTTTCCTTCACGATATGTGAGTCTGATCTGAACAAAATCACTCACCACGCAAATTAAACGAAGTGTGATCTACGGTAACTGTAAGAACGACCGGACGTATATATCCTCCACGTCAACAGAATCATACTGGATATCGTGGAATCTGCAACTGCCGTTACGTACAGAATGGGGTCTACATGTAACCAACAAATTTCAACTAGTGGTTCACTGCTGATACAACTAGTACATAAAATAAGTGAAGAAGAGTTTTGATCTAATTTGAACTCGACTCGACCTCGACTTATAACGAGATTATAAGCTCTATTCGAGTTCGGCTCATCGTCAATCACCTCGAGAGATCGGCTGGAGCAAATATATTTTATAATTTAGTTTATAATTTATAATTGTTCATATCATGCTATTTAATACTAATTAGTATCTAAACAAACGGTAATACATTATTTCTCTTTTAAATTTTGAATTAGACATATTTAATTACATGCTCAAATTCTTAAACATCATATTTGTGGTGATCAGATACGTATCTGACAAACATATGAATTATCAACAAGTCAATGATAACCTATTAATCGACTCGCTTCTAAGTTGCTAGTTGAGGTGGCTCGTTAGCTATAATGTCGAGTCATTTTATAACTCAAAACGAGCTAGCTCACGAATTAAACTCAACAATCCACCGAGTCAAAATGGCTCATGAACCTTGCAAGCCGAACAATAATATTTAGTTCAAATAATATTTTGGGACTATTATTACCTAGCAGTGTAATAAATATGATGTTTATACTATCGAATAATCATCATATTTACTAATTGTACTACACACTAATCGTCGATTTCTAAAAGTAAAAAAAAAACAAAGAATATTTTGGGACTATTATTGATTACTATGTTGTGTAATATCCATTAAATATTTGGATGCAAATTATAAACTATTAATTGTATCAAATCAAAAAAAACTTGTCTCAACACAATTGGTTGCTGGAGTGACGAAAGATTTGATACACCTGCCAAAGAAGCTAGTAACAATAGCTTCGTTTAAATTTGGTCAAATGAAAAGTTGTTGTGAGTAATAAAAAAAAACTTTGCATGCCACAAGCACTAGACGGATCCACAGGAACCAAATGTAAACTTTTTAGCACTTTTAGTGACCAAACTTGCAATTTACCCGATTTATTATAAATGTTAGTCAACTTGCTAATGACTAGTAAGAGAATTCCTTTTGAAGTTGACCCGCATCCCAATCGCGCACACCTAGCTAAGGAAAAAATGTGGGTAAATAGCATGTCACAATTGTACCAAAATCCTTAATAAGTGAGTGTTAGTTTGAGGCCAAAACTCACCCAACTAATCTATTGCGCACCACTACCTCGCTCATCTTATGCCTTAAAACTCTATAGTTTGCTTCCAACTCCATTAGTTTTGACTTAGAAAGTTTCAAGTTCGAATCTCTTCAATAGCACATAACCATAAAAATCAATCTATAGTAAAAAAAAAAAATATCTAGCCTAGTAAATAGTAATGGTCGTAATGAAACCTCCTAATCAGCTTTCCCTAGAGACTTCCAGTTAGAGGTGGCAAATGGATCGATCCATGGATTGATGGATTCATGGATTGGATCAAGTGGATTGGTGGATTATCCATGAATCCAAATGACATCCTCAACCTTGGACCAATATGTAAAATGTGAAAAGTTTAGGTACTAAAATGCCGTAATGAAAATTTGTAGGTACCAAAAACGTAATTTTCCAATGAGATTTTCGTATAAAAAATTAAATTTTAGGTACCAAAATATAAAATATAAAGGTACCAAACTGTAATTGGTCATTTGGATCCATGAATCCACCAATCCAATTGGATTTGTATTAAATGGATTGGATTAGGTGGATATTTTTAATCGATTGGTGGATTGAATTGAGAATTGACACCTCTACTTCCAGTTTATGTATATATATACATAATTCAAATATATCAAATCAATCAATATCAATTATTTTATTGTTGGCTTTATATATATCTTCCCCTTTATTTATACTAGCATTATTCCCGGCCCGTTGGCCAGGTGAGTTTTTCATTTTATATTATCGATTCAGTAATTTAAAGCTATACTTTAACAGTTTTAAATTTTTTAAGTCATTTCTATTTTTAAAACTCATTTTCAAGAACATTAATGAGGTCTCTCAATATACGTTAATGAGATTGTAATGAACGAACTGTTTTTCGATAACTCTTTACAATTCATTTTACATGTTCATTTTTTAGAAGGAAAAAAGTCTAATATTATTTATAAAATATTAGGATTGATAATATGCTTTTGCGAAAAGTCTTCTCCCTCTTACGTAAATAGTAAATCCCTTGCCCTCACATATATGTGACACTGAATTTCAAAAATTGTACCTTTACTTATCATATAGATTCATAATGATTTGATCTCCCTTATTCGTAATTATATCCTTCATGGAGGTTTCGAAATTCCCACTGTGCAAATTTATGTCCAAATTTTTCGGTTAAAACACTCAAATTTATCATCGTATACTTGATACGTGAATCAATATTAGTTCTTTATATCTAATGTTTAAATTGTGTAGTGAAATGTCTATTTCTTATGAATACTAAATTCATGCAAGGAATAATTATTCATTAATGATCAGATGAACCAAACAAACCGTTTGTTTTAAAATAGCACATTTGAAAAACCATTGACAACTATCAATTTAAAAAAATTTAAACAAAATTTCAACCTCAACCGAAATAAGAATAAAAAGGATAATGGTAAAAAATTTGGATGTTCAATTGTTCATAAAATAACGTGGACAACAGACTTTTTTTATGGGATGTGAACAACATATTTACGGAGGATTTGTAGAGAAAACATATTAAAATAAATAAATAAATAATCTCTATTAAGCGATTTTTGGGGAAGACAGGCAGTGAGAGGTTATTATTAGTCTGCACCAAAAGGAAAATTATAAATTGACGGAAGGAGGCCTGAATTCACTTAGTGGTGACGATGACGTGGATGAATAGGCGTTAGGCTCGTGTGGAAGTTATAAGAATTTTTTTTTCAATTGTGCGTGTTGTTAAAAAGAATGGGGGGGAAACAGGTGATGAGGTGGACAGGTGAGGAGGGGGAGAATTTGAATCCCTGAAGTGTTTTTTAGGAAAGTCTACAATATATTCTTTAGACATGGATCAACGATTCTTGATGTTTAGAAGAAATTTTGTTAAAAACACTTAAGTTCAATTATTGTATGTCATATCACCATAAAATTGGGACTAATGTAAAACACCGTGTCTTTTAAATAATAATTAGTTTTGAAAATTAGTTTTGATTTTATTTTGATAAATAATTTTGTGTTTCAAAATATAAAAGTATAATATAGACTCTTCCAATTATAAATAATTATATCTAGACATTAAATAAGGGAGGGAGTGGATACTATTCAAATGTTCCGATCTACAAAACATGATCGTATCATCATATCACACAAATCGTAATACGATGATACGATCGTGTTTTGAAGAATTTTATAGGGGAGAGGTTCTTTAACGGAACTTAGACCATTACACAATCAAAAGAACATCTAACATAAGCCCCAAATTGATTACTGAGAAATAATAAATAAAAGTAAAAAATAACTAAAAGAAGTGAAAGAGGAGAGAAAAGTCCGGAAAATTATGAACCAAAAGAAAAAATATAACCGCAGCCCGCAGGAGAAAGGAAAAGGAAAAAAATATAAAGGAAAAAGAAAAAAAAACGGAAGGAAGCGAAAAAGTCGGGAAGTGTTTTAATACTGACGTGGCGAAAGGCTTTTTCTAAACCTCTTTAATATTTTCTATAGATAAGCTCCCTATGATTTTCAGGAAAAATAGTTGGGAAGACTACAAATTTGGAAATTGTGAAGTTCACATATTTTTGTTAGAATCTTAATATCATTTTCAGAGAGTTTTTTTTTTCCTTTTTTTTCATGAGGTGAGGAGAATGACTAAATTCCAACTGGCTCGTATACCAAGCAGATTAGAAAAGTCCATTGAAAGAGTCACTTCGAATGGCAATGGAATGGTATAAATGTATAATTAATATACGGACAGTAACAGTTCGTCTCCATTTCTTTGTTTTTAGCGACGACTTACCGAAATCACAGGGTAATGCTATACTTAGCCGTCGGCAAAGCTGGATTCTACATAACATAGTACCTAGCAGTGTACATGGGTCGGGTGGTCAGGGTTTAGTCATTTTAATCACTCGACTCATGCACTACGGTTTGGAAAATATTAAACCCAAACCCAATCAAAAAAATTAAAACTCTACGGTTTGTTTTCAATTGGGTTGGGTCGGGTTGACGATAATTTTAAGTAAAAACTCAACCCAACACAAAATATGTAATTATTCTACAAAATAAAAATAATTTTATAACTAATTAAAATTTCAAACGAATAAACCAAGGTGAAAGGTATCGAAATTCACAAATGTTGTTTGAATTTTAATAAAATATAATTTACTTCAACATATGTCTAGTATTTTTCACAATATTTGTTTAAATAGGCTAAATAGGTTATAAACAAACACATCCATAATATGTTATTCTATTAAAATTGTACACAAGAAAAAAGATTACGTGAATCATAGCTATATTAAATCTATGTCTAAATTTTAAGTCGATGAATGCATTAGATTAGGGAGACCATGGGAAAAAACATGGCAAAATATCTTAATTTTCTTATAAGTATGGCTATATACGACATAAATATTTTTTTTGTACACGAACTCATACTAATAGTTGGAACACGGGTTGGGTCGGGTTCGACGGGTTGTGTAATCCAAAATCCAAACCCAACCCAAAAGTGACGGGTTGTACAAAAGAAAACCCTCACCCAACCCAAAACCTTAATTTTAGCGATAAATACGGGTGGGTTGGATCGGGTTAGACGGATGGGTCGGTTTGCGGGTGTGTTTGTTCACCCCTAATAGTACCACACCAAAAACAAAAGCCAACAAAAAAAAAAAGAGTGCCTGCCTCGGATTAAATGTATGTTTTATTTATTTGGTTTGGTATATATTCAATTGAGATACTTTTTCATACTTAAAATAATTCAGGACCAAAATCGAATCAAAATATATCTGATTCGATTCATTCCATTGGTTTGGTACAAATTCATGTGTTTTCTTGTCCATCACATCACAAGTGACAATGAATATCGTTTAATATAAATCGTTTGCTCATAATTACCTATGTACTAAAAAGTTGATGGCGTATTAATTGTTTGTTTTTTTAGACATCTAACCATTGGTACATATGGTGATGGGAGGATTTCGGCGGATTTTGCTAAATTTATATTCATCATTAGTTACAATTGGGCTAGAGGTAATATGCCATCTACTTAGGGCCGGACCTAGGTTGGCCGAAATATTGGCAATGGACAAACTCTGAGTTGGGAGCCCCCTTGCTTTAATCTAAAGTGGTACAATCATCTGAAACCCTTGATCCAATTTTAGGACAGAATTTCTTTGTAGAGGGGTAAAGTAATTCTATAATGACATTTTCAAATGTAAGCTTCTTTTTTTCGCACGTAGAAAATGATTAAATTAATAAAATTGGGAAGTTTCATGAAGTGCTCAAGACTATTTGACAACTCTTGATGATTTTATCAATGAAAACTAATGATGTCACTCTCATAATGCATTTTTAGCAAACATTTTATATTATCTACTATTTTTACATCAAATATATCTATATAATGTAGAAAAATTATTAAATATGCCCCTCAGATAATTTTTTTATAAAAAAATCGTCAACCACGGTCGAATCATGGTTTACATGGCCTGAACTCTACAAAAGGGGAGGAGGAATATATGTTTGTCCCTTCATCTTTTTATCTATGTCCGTTAAAGTGACATTATTAGGATATGGGGCTATACAATGAAGCCCAAATAAATGTTAAAGTGAAATTATTATGAATATTTTAGACATTTGTGTCGCTCAAACCATCAGTTTGGTTATGGTTTAAAATTTTTTAGGCAAAATACATATGTATAGCCATAAGTTTACGCTTTGCGACAACAATAGCCAAATTTTGAAAAATACACAGATATAGCCATAATTTTGAAACTAGTTTGACAAATTTAGCCATTTTCGTTAAAAAATTTAACGTCGTCAGTAATTCTGTGAGTAACGTGGACATTACGCTGATGTTACGCCACCTCAGCACCCACATCATCTCTTAGTCACTATAGCATGCCATGTGTACTGCCATGTCAGATTAAAAAATATTATTGATTTTAAAAATTATTCATAAAAAAATAATAATTAGCTACTGGAGTTCGAGGATTCTGTTCCGAATTTTTCGAGGAAGTCTGCGATGGAGATAGCGGGGATTAGGTTTTCCGTTTCTCGATCTGGGTTTTCGGCTTCTTACTTTTCTGCCGCTTCGCCTCCCTCCCTTCCCCACCATATACAGAGATAGCACAACGTATCCTTCGAAGCTTTTCTACAGTTGAGAATCCAGATGCAACACCACCAGCTTCAATTCGTACTCCAACTCCGACGACGAAACCCTTGTCGAGCTACAGTAGTGCGATGCTCCAGCTACGGCGACGGGGCATCTTCTACAGTCGTCCACAGTGCTTCAATGACGGCAACGATTGGGATTCTTCGGTCTCAAGATCTGGATTTTTGAAGGAGTAAGTCCGCTGGAGATAGTGCGGCTTGGATTTCGTTTTCGCGAAGATCGCTTGTTGAGAAATCGAACGGAGCTTCTAGATCTGCTCTCAAGGAAAAGAAAGGCGGAGCCGAGTCGACAACCACCGCCGCCGACCAACTTTCCGAGCGCGAGCTTCCTTCTCCTCTCTGGCTTTCACCTTTTCTCCCATCGGTTTACTCCTTACCTCACACTCAAATACCTTTATTTGGTTTAATGGCAGAACGATGCCGAGAGAAAAAGGGAGTGCGATTGGTGTTCTTTCTTTTTGTTGGTAGGAATTGATTTGGCGTTCTTTACTTGTCTGGGTAAAGGGAAGTGGGGAATTGGGTTGAACTTCACCATCCAAGAAAGAGGAAGACAAAGACGAAGAAGGGGAAAAAGGTTTTAGCAATTTTCTATTAATTAAAAAAAATGATAATTTCAATCTGACATATCTTTTATGAAAAATTGCCACGTCAGTAAAAATCGTTAGTCCAGTCAGCATTAATTATTGTTTTGTTAAAGTTATTGACGAAATGACTATATCTGTATATTTTTCAAAATCTGGCTATTATTGTCACAAAGTGAAAATTTATGACTATTCAAGTGTATTTTGCCAAAATTTTATGAAAATTTTAACAAAATAACATATTTGATTATTTATTCCCGAAGCACAAGGATATGCTTTATGCAAAAAAAAAAAAAAGTAGTAGTGTGGCATTAAAAATGTATAATGTAGGAACTAGGAACATATTATGCATATAATCCTTTTGAATTTGTCGTGTTCTTTCCATCTTCGTTTGGGTGGACGTATTTTACCCTCATTTTCGTAATTTTTTAATACTTGTGGATAATCCCGCCCCACAAGTTCAAATCGAATTCAACTTAAACCTTATGTAATTAACTTTAAGACTCTTATTAATTTTAAATTTTTGTGAATGAAAGCGACATATCAGATTCAATTGAAGATGTATGGAATTTTTTTTTTTTTGGTATAAAGAAGTATGGAATTTAAATACTAGCATTGCAAGCAAACTTGTCTTCGTTTTTTGTTGCTAAAACACCCTCCAAAATTGAATCTAGCAATGGACGTTCAGAAATTGTACCCTTTCTACAGCTTTCCTATTCAACACCAAAAAAGGGACACGGCGGTCGCAAAGAAATGAATGTTACAGATTTCCCAGGCTACAAAACTGAAAACAGGGGACAGAAGGAAGAAGAATAGTGTATCCAAAAAGTGCAAGAAACAGGGGAAACATATGAACAAAGGTGTAAAACCAGTTCTAGTGTGTCCAAAAAGGGCTCAAACCCTTTTTCCCTTCACCCCAAAAACCCTCCCTACGTAAACAACGTTACAACATCTCTACGGTATCCTCTTACAATCAAAAGCCTCGGCACATTCTCTACCAACAGATCCATGTACTCCATGTAGAAATACGCCGGATGGTTATCTGGTGGCGGCGGCAAGCTCACAAGCACCACGGCTGCCATCCTCGAATGATGCAATATCGTCGTGTTCAACTTTAGCGTCGTGTACAGATACTTCTCCACCTGTCTCTCGTTCAATGCCCCAATGTCTTCCTTTCCATTTCCGGACTTCTTCATCTCTGCCAAGTTGCTTGCGATTCGCTTTTGAGCAGCGTTGAATGCTTCCAACGACTCGTCTGGCTGAGAACCTTCTGCGTTCGAGTGCCATGATCTCATTGATATCACAATCACTTCGGCCTGCATCCGGAGATCGTACAGGAACTTCTTCACGTCAGCTTTCAGCTCCTCGGCATCTGAGTCCTCCTCGGCGATGCAAAACACCTGAATCTTGCAACTCTCGAAACTCTCTTTCGTGAGGAGAAGCTGAGAGAGGAGAAGCATTAGACCTCCATCCCTCACAATCCAATATAGATCAATGGTGCCATACTGCTTTTGGTACTCGTTAGGCCACTCATCTAGACCCTTGACTATGACGACAGCTTTGTTTGCGACGATGCAGTCGTTGATTATCCCGACGAATGTGGCTGGGATTTCTGTAAGGTTCTCTCGCCGCCAGATTTCTGGATACCGCATCACCACGATGTTAGGCTTCAGGTTGCCCAGGCCCATTGTCTGGACTATCCCACGGAAACCATCGGACATATTGGGGGCCACCACGATTTCTGCAACGCCCTCGCAACGCTTGTACTCGATGTATGTGCTGAGCTGACTGCATGCTGTCTTTGCATCTTCGGCACATTCATGGTAGTCTCCATCTAGTATGGAAACGAATATAGACATTCCACGTCCCTTTTTCTTCATGCAGTTTGCGAAATCGGCGAGCTTTGGGTGGCAGGGCACATTTTCTGGAAGCTTCCCCCATGGCCGGCAGAATATGAGAGGGATAGGATACCAATTCTTTGGGTGAACTTGGTTGGCTGCAAATGGAATAAATGGGATGCCAAATCAATCAACCACATTACACAAGCACCAACAAAACAGGTGAACTTACAAAATGAGTCCTCAATCTTGAACTGTATACATACCTCCAAGAGAACGAAGACTACGGAGAGCCAATTGAAAGTACGCACTCTTAAAGCCGTCACCCCAATCTCCAGCTTTACCCTTTATGCCCACATATTTATAAATAAGACTTGCTAGACCCAGAGCCACGATAGTAAATGACCAGGAGATCAAGAACATTATAACTGCAGAGCAAAATAGCAGCGACGGATGTGAGAAACCTCAACATATCGCCACATTTGCACATATCGATGACAAGGCCCATTTCTAAACCATACGATAAGAAATTAAGAATACAACATAAAACATTAATGCATAATGCTTATATTGGAAACAGTTCTTCGCTATTTTATGTACTGGTGAACAAAATGGAGGCAAAATTTTCTCAAATTGTTCAGCTAGAAAGCTGATTGTTTTTCCTTGCCCAGAAACCAGCAAATCGGACTCGCGACATTTTTCAAGCATGTTCCATTGAAGGTGCAAGTGGCAAAGAAAGATATCCACTTAATGCTTTTTTTGAAAATGGTAAATAGTAACTTGCATGGTTTAGGTTAATCGGAAGCAATCGAATCCATCACAAGAGAATATTCAGTTCACCAAAAAGAGTAGGATACATACCTATACAAAGTGATGCTCCAAGAAGAGAAAGACTCCAATGATGAAACTTCCAGCGGGGGCGCCAACTGGGGGCATCGAGAAGATCAAGAAGGAAGCAAGACAAATTCACACCGCAATAACACAACAGGAAAAACATAGTCACAGTTGGTGTGATAAGATCCAAATTCCCAATAATAACACATCCAATGCAGATAAACGCAGTGAAGAGGGTAGCAACATGAGGCTCCTGGCTATCGGAAACTTTGAAGTAGTTAAGTATAGGTAGAATATCATCATTGGCTATGGCAGCGAGCAGGCGTGGGGCACCTGTCAAGCTTTGGAGAGCAGCACCTAGGGTTGAAAGGATAATTCCAATATATATAATTGAAGGGGAAGGCCAAGCAATTGTAGCTGTAAATAGCCTGCGGGATAAAGTGTACGGTTAGGAAGTGATGAAATACAAAACCAACAAGTACGTGATATTTTAATATTTCACAGAACTACAAAAAGAGAAGCTGCAAAAAAATGAATTAGACTTAGCTTTGGATGCTGACTGACTTAATAAAAAGAACTTTAAAAAAGACAGGCATATAAGAGCAAGTACAGAAGGAAATTCTTGGATGACACTAACATGCTGTTTCTAAAAATGGAATCAGAATCAAAATAAGGGAATAGTGTCGAACCAAAATACAGCAGAATGCGAGAGACACCCAAAACCATTTCAGGTAGACGAGAAGGTATAGCACTATAAGCTTTAGCAATGATGCAAAAGTACCTGTCAGTTAAAAGTCTCTGCCTGGTAGCAAGTGAACCAAAAAGGAACACTGATACTATATATAGAGCAGTGGTGGTGAGGGTAGCAGACAGTGTCCCAATTGGAATTGAGCGCTGAGTGTCTTTTAGAGATGCTGATCTATTGGAACCGGCCATAATTCCAGTTACAGCAGGGAAGAACAGACCAACTAAAGCACTGAAAAAGAACAACCATACCCAGTTAGAAAATAACAAGAATGAAGATTATCCAAGCCCATCTCAATAATAAGGTTGTCATATAAAGCAGTTGGAAATCAGGTTGAATCAGGTTCAAAATTTTTAACTAGGATCCCTATCAGAAATTTTAAGTGATCCCTCTAAGCAAGGTAGTACCATGAGCTACTCCCAGTCCTAGTTGGAAATTACGTAGAGGCATAATTAGTTTGCAGATCAGCATTTCTAAAGTTCAACGCAACAAATGGTTGGTACGGAGTGCTGTACTGCCCTTGTGGTCTCTTACCTGACTTGAACTGGACTGAACCAGTGGTCATGAACCAAAAAGGTAAAAATCCCCCCAAAATAAGGATAAATATATGTTCCTTACTCGCTCGCAGGGGAAACTGAGCTATTATTCTTAACAGCAAAGGTTGATGACATTGAGATTCCTCTTATAACTTACTTGAAATCCCAGTAAACCCTCCCATGAGGATCAGGTATTCCAGCCTCATTGGTGAACTGATAATCTGAACTCCAGTTCTCTTTAAGGCTATCCATGCTCAAGCCCGTTACACCCTCTGCATCAATCATAAGTTGATTTCACCAAGTGACAGATGAAACAGAGAGGATCCTATTGGGTTTAGAAACAATCTGAAATGTGGAGAGAGATGAGCCAGAATGGCATGCATAAAAAACAAACTCACTTGCAGGATAATCTTTCCTCGCCAAAAAAAACCCAATAAAGATGCAGATCATTGAAAATAGAACAGGTATCAGGAACGCAGGCGCGACGCGATTGATTATTTTCACACCACCAAACACAATGAAGCATAAAAGGATAGTCACAACAACCCCATAAATTTGGAGGTCATGTTCACTTGGAGCTTGTATGGGCTCTACAGCTGCTGTTCCATTAATATGTGTTATGGTCTCTGCATGTAAAGCATAACCTAATGCGTCAGAACATACTTTCAGTAGTTATGTATTGTACAGAATTGTGTCCTAACCACCTCTAAAAATGCCGGCAGCTGGTACAGCTTCCAGGAACGTTTCAACAGCCCCCAACACATAACTACAACAATAAACAAGAATTAGTGTAAATCCAGAAATTTTAATTCAGTAACTTGAAACCATCATCACAAATCCAAGATGGGCAAAAAAATTATTGGGACCGAAGTCCATTAGCTGGTTTGAGACATAGATAGTGGAGGAATCACAAAATGTCGAGAACATTACTCACAGGGCTCCAGCAATAGCATTGCCAAGGAAGAAACATAAGCCAATACTAATCCCGACCTCTGGGCCAAGGGCACGACCTATGAGATAATATGGCCCCCCACCCTGTAAGCAGACACAAAATGATATTCTCTTAGACCAACTTGTAATGAACAAGGTACCGTGTTGAAAGAAAGACATGAACGTCAGACAAAAACAACTTGCACTCCCCATCTTAGCAGAAGTGACAAAATGACCTAGATGTCGGTGACGGATTAAGCACAAATATAATACAAGATGTTCCATGTAATCTGATGAATCAATTAGCCAAGTCAACACTAAGGAAAAAGAAGTAGTTAATTATATTCAGATTTACAACAAATGCATCTTTAGGTAGGTCCATGTACTTACTACTTTGGAATACATTGTATCTTGTAATCCAACATCTAGATTATCAAAAACAGAACTAAGTTTTTAAGCGCTCAGCATCCCGTACGGGAAAAAGTCAACAATCAGAACAAGGTATTGTGGGAGTATCTCTACCTTCATTGCACCATTTGTCGCAATAGCACTCAATGACATTCCAGTTAGGAAAGTACATAAACCGCACATAAGTACCAGAACTAGCGACTGAGCAACACCAGCCATGCCAACAATCCTGCAATAATTTTGAAAATACCAAGCCAATAAAATTATACCCCAAGATAAACATAGCATGCACCACACAAGCTTCAAAAGAGAAACTAAGCTTATCCCTTATCAATGCTTACCTATTCCCTCCCTGTGCTGACAGGGGTTGTCTAAAAGAATAATTAGAACATGCACAATTCTGCAAAATCACAGCACATCTAACTTTTTCCTATACGCGCAGCTTAAGGAAATTTATCAAAGCATCAAAATTGAAAATAAACCACTCAAACAGAAGTAGAGCAGTAATCCAGTCAGATATAGCTTGTGATTCAGTTATTGGACAAACTCAACCATGGCACTGCTGCGACACTATATAAATTCCGAATTCTGCCTTGTCTCCGTTTCTCAAACAAAAAAATGAATTTCCCAACTACAACAGAGGCACATAAGCAAAAGATTCTGGGAATGAAGGCAGAATAACATTGAAGTATAAAGCATTACCAAGTAAACCGGATGTAGTATATAATCCCTAATATGTTTTGCAGGCATGGAACAAAAACACCCATCAATGTTCCCAGTTTAGCATCAGCAACAACCTGCATGAACAATGTACAACCAAAATTCAGAAACGCATCAGAAAGAAGTGTATTTTGTCAGCCATTTCAAGGCAAAAGAGTAGGTAATAAACAGAAGAGAGGAACAAGGCATGCAAATCTCATTGAGTAGCACAGTTGAAAACTAAAATTTTGCATGGCTAATTTTATTCTCTCACCGGGACGAATTGCATATTACATATAGCAGGGACCAAAGACACTCTTAAGGAATTGGTTACTTTTGCAGTTATTAGTTACCCCTAACTTCTATCGCAACAATAACAGATCAAGAGCGGCAATAGGCAATTAGCATACCTGTGAATGGTCGTGAGGAACAGAGCCGTCATCGCCATCCCTAGGGCTAGGAGGTGAGGCAACATGTTCCCCTGTCATACTGAAACAGAAGTCAAGTGTACATACAATAGAAAAATTAACAGACATTTTTAACTGCGGAAAGAGTAGAAAGTTACTATAATTTAATGAAATCAATAAGCCACTGACAAGCAAACAAGACATGGAACAATTCAATAGCAAGCAAGATAACATGCCAAAAGTTCTATGGTAATAGTCCTTTGAAATAATAGTTATGTTTCACCTCATAGAATCAGAATAAAGATTCTCATCCTTATATGTGTAACGACTATTAGAAAATAGAATGCAAAAGGTTCGGCAGAACCCATTGCAGAAGGAAACCCTAAATCTCTATACTTAGTAATCAAAGGAAACTCCGAACAGAGAAAAAGAAAAAACCATCTGGTGCCAGATAATATAAGAAATTTCAGGGGACATCAAGAAGAAAAATGTGGATATTGGATGCAAAAGTTTACCTTTTTAGGCCAAGAATGTTGACAAGAGAATCAAAACCAAACAATTCCAAATTGTATTCCCTCCCTCCTCTACTGACTCCTCCATTCGAAGATGGCTGAACATCACTTCGATCAGTTGCGAGAGTGCCAACTTTGACATTCCTGCCACGGTTATTAATGAACATGGAAGGCATCATCATAAAGAGAGAAACAAACCATGTCCTACATATAACTCTCGGCTGCTTAAATTGCAAAACAGGATAAGATCAAGTCCAATAAGGAAGACTCAGTTCAAGCTAACGGGAATGCAAACAGAGAAGATATGAAGTAGACCAACCCACCCTATGCTAAGTGTCTTTGTTAGGGTTTCTTTGTTGTCTTTTGCATGTACGAGCTTTCTGTATATTAACCATCCCAAGCATAGCTAAACGAATGATGTTAGCTTTGGGTTGCTGATCGTGAGTCAATCAAACATAGAATCACAAGTTGCTCCACACTGGCATGAAACATTGCACAACCAGCGTTTCCGCTATACCCAAACCACGGCATACTCCCTCGACCCAATGTACGCAACAGAAGCCAAGAATAAGAAGAAGCACTGATAGGTTCGATTAAAACACATATCAAAATTGAAGGATAGAGCAAGTCCAGAGTTCGCTAAAAAGCTGAAGAACAAGCACGCATTGGATAGGCAAGCAATCCAAACCCGTGGAAGAAACGTGCAGTAAACTGGAATGAGAACTTCATGCCAAAATAAAGAAGAAAGAAAAAGGGAGGGTTATTACTTGAGCTCGGGCAGGCGTTTGGTGGGAGAAGAAGAAGAAGATCCAGGATCCATATTAGACATCTCGAGCACGGCACGGTCGTGAGCGACCACCGGCTGGTATTTCAGACCGCCGCCCTCTATATCTCCACTATCCATCATTTAAAGGCGCCCGTTTCCCGCCGATGATTCCCCCCACGATTCCAAGATCTGCGAAGGAACGAGCTCCCTCCCGTCGAGATCCAATCCCGAGGGTCACCAGAAAGTCGAAATGGGAGGGAAAACCAGAACAGATTGAATGCGGGGCAACGAGAACAGGGGAGATCTCGGAAATGGAGAACAAACGAAATTGAAAATTGTTTGGAACGGAGATTTTATTGAGAGTTTCAAAAATGGTAAACCGGTCGATGGAGATAGTGCTGCGGGCTTTATAGTGACGCCGGAGAAGGGGAAGGGCGGGCCTGAATTTGGAGGGCAGACGGGAATGAACGAGGTCCCACACGCGCGTTTTAAATGCGCGTGGATTGAATTTTCCGGGTCGCTTTTCTTTGTGTTTAAGTTGAACGGACTGCGCTCCGACGTCGTCGGGGATTCTCTCTCACGCAAAGATTCTAGATCCCCCATCTTTTTTTTTTTCCTTCATAGTTCATACAATTTTTTTTTTAAGGACTTCATAGTTCATACAATAACTTGACTAATTCTCCTTTTTATATCAGGCAGCTCAACAATAAAATTCAATTAAATTCTAGTGTAATCAAAACGACTCGTGGTCTGACTGGTTTAATCGATTGTATTGAGTTGAGTCTAATAAATTGGAACCCGGTGAGAGATTTTGAATTGCTTCATACATAGATTTTTTGAATGAAGAAAATCCACAATGATTTGAACAATTCTAGGTAATGTTGCTGGAAAATTCGCTTACTATTGCAAATTTTCAACAATATTGAATACATATTATTGATAGTTTCGGTATAACGGTAGGTGTTACGAGTTGGAGACCGGTTATCTTGTCGTCCAAGGATACCCGCCACAAATCCAACTAGTCATTTACCAAATTAAACTTTGATAAGTCATATAGCTCCATTAATTATTTCATGAAGAGAATAAACTTACATTAATTGAAGATTAATGAACATAGTATCTTAGGGTTCAAGTTGCACACCATTGATCTCATGTTAAGTAGCCATGTAATTCAATGTACTAACTACTAATACACCATCTTCGCTAGCCTCTGCTTCTCCAGGTTTGATAATAACAGTAATAATATTAATAAATAAATAAAAACTAAGAAATTCATAAAAAAAAAAAACAAGTATAACACTTTTCTGGTTTCATTTTATCTTCCTTGTATGTGCATCTTCAACTGTTCATGCTGCCATGGATGTTGCAGCAGCTGAACCAGCCTTATCCCTCACCATTGTCTTCACAAACAGTTCCCCGGCTCTATAAGAGGATCTCACCTGCGAAACACACCAACAAACACCAGAACCTCCATTGTTAAACCATATCAAACAATACTACTTTCTTATTGAACACTATAACTACTGTTTATTTCCCAGGTTTTGATGGTCTAATAGAATCAATCTCGTGTTGCCCGTTGCCACGCAGTTTTGGATTTTAGAGGATTATTACATCAAGACAATATTCACTCCACAAAACTATTGAAGGAACAATAAACCAAGCCATGAAAACCATCTGAACTCAGTATATATACAAAGAGGTTTACCAGAGGCCCGCTCGCTACATAGCGGAATCCAATCGACTCCCCGTATTCCTTCCAAAATGCAAATTTCTCGGGTGTCACGTACTCCTTCACGGTTAAGTGTAGCGGAGTAGGCTGCAAGACATTTTGCAATGTCGGTCAGTATATAATTGATGCCCCAATAGCTAATACAATCATAGCAGCTTGGTATTAGAAAAAAAAAGACAAAATTCAGGAAGCTATAGCTGTCTGCACAAACACTAGACCTGCAGAAGCAAGTTGAAGCACGATGAAGAAGAAACTCAATTCTTCCGGGGTGGTTCCAGATTGAATGTACAAAACCTCTCCAACTCACACTGATCACTAATGTAACAAAGACACATAACAAAAGCAAATCGATTTAAGCTCACCTGTAAGTACTGCCCGAGTGTTAGAATATCAACATCTATAGCCCTTAAGTCCGCCATTGCTTCCTTCAACTCATCATCAGATTCCCCAAGTCCCAGCATTAAAGATGTTTTAGTAATCATACCATCCTTGCTCGACTTTGCATGTCTCAAAACAGTCAAGCTTTGTTCATACCTAAATAATGAACACCCCAGTGAAAATCGCACACTTAGCCAGTAGCAGAAGTTTTATAAGTCTGGAAGAAAGATGTGGCGACATGTGAATGGTTCATTATTCCAAATTCAACCCGACCAGCAAAAAATATGACAGATAGGGCACAAGGAACTATTCAGAGAAGTAGATGCAGCTGTAGACACCAAATCTCTACCCAATTTTGAGTAATTGTTATGCAAGCAGTTTGAAACCCACTGAGACTCGCTGTAAGGAAACATTTGTGCCAATTTGGGGTATATAATAAATCCATGGGAAGTCAAAAGATCCAAGACCTCCAACAACTCAGCCGTTACCAAGTGAAGTTCAGAGATACCTACCCTGCACGAGGATCTCTAACAATTCGTTGAAGGCGTTTCACGGTCTCAACATTGTGGGCAAAAACATCCAATCCTGAGTGTACCAGGGTGTCCACAGCCTCCAAGTCTCCTCGAAAATCAGAGGTCAAACACTCAACCATGATTCCAGGTTTACGTTCCTGCAAAAATGAACACACAGCCAAGAAGGGTGAGTCGTAAAATTGGAATATACCAACCCCCCCTACTCTAGATATCTTGCACCAGAGACACAAGACAAACCTTCAGAGCCACGACGGTGCGAGCAAAGTGTCCACTCCCTCCATCAGGCAAATCATCGCGATCAACACTGGTCAAAACAATGTAATCCACGCTGTTCCAAGGAGCAAAATTCAGATCAGGGAACCATATTGACTGAATGTTGGAATTTCAGATTAAGAAAGACAACAGCAAATGTACCCCCAAGAAGCGATGGCCTCAGCAGTATTTTGAGGCTCAGCAGGATCAGGAGGGGCAGGGTTCCTGCTGGTTTTGACAGCACAAAACCTACAGCCGCGGGTACACGTATCACCGAGAAGCATGATGGTCGCCGTAGCAATTCCATCCCCGCCGCCGTTCCAGCACTCCCCAATGTTTGGACACTGGGCCTCCTCGCACACAGTGCTGAGGTTTTTGGAGAGGGATTTTTTGACCTCCTCAAACCGGGGCCCCTGAGGGGCCTTCTGCCGGAGCCACTCAGGCTTCTTGACATTCGGATCTCTGCCAGTGAAGGGTCCGAGAGCCGCAGCACCAGAGCTGGCATTGCCTGCCGCTGCTGCTGCAAGATCAACCCTAACCTTCAAAGAAAGGGAGGAAAGAATCACCCAAACTATCAGAATGCGGAATGCCCATATACTAAATTCCTAATTCTCTGCAGTTGTATGCGTGTTTTGTGACGACATATAACAGAAGATCACTAGCACGCCATCGCCTCACATACAAAATCAAATCCATTGCTTGGGGTAATTGGTGCCAGAGAGCGAGAGGTGTCCAATTGTCCATTAATTAATTATCATAAACTAAGCTACTGGTTCTCTAGCACGGCAACGGAGGTAGGTATCATCAGAGTTGAAGCAGGTTTACCTTGTGAAGAGTGTTGTTGGAGCTGATGCTGGATATTGCTGCGGAGAATCCATTGCTAGGGAATTCTGACGACGAGGCGGGAAAGGAGAATCTGGAAAGAAGGCGGCAGGAGGATGGGGAGAAGCTTGGTTTCGTGGAAAACGAAGAAGAAGGAGGTGAAGCAACTGGGCCTGAGGGGATGGAAAAGGAAGCCATTGATCAGATGGGGGAACGGAAAATGGAAGCAGGCAGAATGTCGGAGAATGGGAAGATAGTGGGTTTTAGAATTTCCGATGAAAAGAAGAAGAAGAAGGGATAGGTGAAGCAAGCAGATGATTTGACGGAAAGACCGAAGCGCGATACCGGCGAGAATAACAGAGGAGATGCAGAGTGGCGGAGTAGTCGAAGAAAGAGGAGAAGAATTCCTCTTCTCGATTTGGAAGGGCCGAACCGAAGGAAGGTTGGGGCTTCCACTAATATGAGTTTCGGGATTGGGTTTAAGCCCAAGATACCCATCCAACGACCGCCCAAATGCTTTTTTTTTCTTTTTTTCTTTTTTTTTTTGTGCTAATTATGATGACTCACAAAGATACCCGTCCAAGATACCCATTCATTCGTATCCGTATTATTGTCAAGCCGTTTCATTTTCCCTCGTTCATTTGATGGCTTCCGTACTAAACACGTATAAAATTCGTATAATGCGTATAATATCCGTATTTAATGAATTAACTTGTCAACTTTACAATTATTTATATATTTAATTATTTTTAAAATAATTAATTTAATATATTTATAACTATTAACGTACTATTAAACGTAACATTAGCTTATAGATGAAGTAAAATACCCGTACGTATTTTATACATAACTTTCCCGTACCGTATTTTACTAACTATGGTAGAGAGTGAAGCATGTTCTCTCCCTATTTAAGTTTTAACCGGAGCTTAATTGGTGTCTATTTAATTGACAGTTAATTGAAGGATCTTATATCCATCACAGGCAATTGGTAGTTTGGTTTGTTAATGGTTTCTCTAGGTAAGGGTGATATAGATTTGTTTGTTTTATTATAATGTGATACTTGAAAGATGGGTTATAGGTATAATATGCCTCTCTATTATGACGTTTTATCAAACATGCACCTCTATTATTTTTTACATCAAACATGCCCCTGTACTTTGAAAAAATTATCAAACATGCCCTTCTGTTAAAATTTCCATTGAAAAAATCGTCAATCATGGTTGAACCGAGATTTCGACGAACCGACATCGGCAAATGGGAGCGAAAATGTCAAATTTGTCTCCCGTTTGATTTCTCTGGGTCTATTCAAAGTGAAATTATTCGAATTATTTGGCTATACAAAAAACTAAAAAAAATTCTAAAGTGGAATTATTAGGAATATTTTAGACATTTGTGCCGCCCAAACCAAAGTTCGACCTTGGTTAACGGTTTCTGGATGAAAATTTAAACAAAAGGGCATGTTTGATCATTTTTACAAAGTACAGGGACATGTTTGATATAAAAATAGTAGAAGGCATGTTTGATAAAACATCATAGTAGAGGGGCATATTATACCTATAACCCCTTGAAAGATTTGTGAATGTTGATATTTATATTATATTCTTTATACGGAAAACCATCCAAACAAGCAAATAAGCAAATAGAACTGTCATTGAAAATTGAATGTGACTACTTAAGTACCTATATCTTTATTAGCATAATTTTTAATGATTTAGGGAAAAAGAGAGTCATTTTCATGCCAAAATATTGCTCGCCAAAATTAAAAAATGCTCAAAATATTACATAAAATTGCCTACATATCATTAGCTTTCTTGAGGATCATCATTGGGCTATGCGTTAAGCGTCTTACATCTTAGCTAAGTACATTTGACACCCGAGATTAACGCACCTAACCAAAAAAATCATGGTCATAAATTGTTGGTATAGTTTTAGCCTTTTAGGTGTATAGTCGAGTACATTAATCGTATAGTTCTTATTCAAAAAATTGAATGAAGGAATAATGAAGATTGTTTAAGGGTTAGAAACGTGAAAACACTCTTGAAAATATGAATGATAAATAAGAGGTTTTTGTTATCCAAGCGGGTTGGATCACGTCCTTAAGCCTCAAACTTAAGGAGTTTCTTAAACCTTTTCTGACCAATAGGAAGAGGAGAGAGATGGAGGCATATAACTAACCCGTAACTACATAAAAGGGTAATTTTGTGATTTCCGTTTTTATTAAATGTTAATAATTATTGTAATTATTTCTAAAAATGGTAATTTGACTATAACCACGCCACTAACTTACCATATGTAACAACCCGACCCTATCTCTCTCTTCGTGCATTTGAAAAAAGCCATTACGACCCACCATCCTCTGCCGGCGGTTTCCAGAGAACGGTGGCGGCGAAGCTTCACATACCGCGGCCGCGCGGGAGTCAGCGACCGGCGTTGTGGTCGTAGAGGGAGACAGCGACCGCCGTTTCCAGAGTTCCGAGGCGGCGAAGCTTCGGAGACGGAGGCCGGAGGGACGACAACGACATCCTTATCTTGCCGCTGCGCCGTGAGCTGTTTGTGGCGTAGGTTGTCGAGGGTCTGGTTATTGTAAGAAAAAATAGTGAACATGTCGACGGGTTTTCCGATATGTATGGTCTTTGAGAAGTCGAATTTTTTTTCTAACTTTTATGTGAAAGTTGGAAAGTGCCTCGTTTTCGTTGATAATGGGCATACTTTAATTCTAAATCTTGTATGTTTTTTTTTTAAGTAGGAATACAAAATGAAAGTTAAAAGTTTGTGTTGAAAATACGCCATATTTTCATTAAAAATGTTGAACGTTTTTATTAGTAATGGAAGTGCAAAATGGAAGTGTAGAGTTTGTGTTAATAATAGAAATACAATGTTTGAAGTTGTTTCAAAATATGTTGAGAATACGCATATTTTCATTATAAAGGTTGTACGTTTTTATTAATAATGGGGGTACACAGTGAAAGTTAAGAGTTTGTGTTAATGATAGAATAACAATATTTTTAGTTATTTTTAGTATGTTGAAGATAGGCATATGTATATTAATAACGTGGGAAGTTTGTATTAATAATATAAATACCAAATCGAAGTAAATGATTATTAACACAATTGGCATCAAGTATTATCAACTTGTGGTTCAATTAGTAACCTTGATGATAAGTAAATGATTAGTAACCTTAATAATATAAATACCAAATCGAAGTAAATGATTAGTAACCCACGTTAATGACCTAAACCATTTCGATTAACGATAACGATAATAATTGTACTTATTATCGGTTAATAATAAATACATTTCACTATAAAAATGATGTCTGAAAATGTTAATAACACATTCAATTTAGATAATAATAAGTTCGTGATTTAATTGCATGAACCTATTTGCTTCAATTCCCCATACATGCAATAATAATAATAATGTTAATAACACGTTAATAATGTTAATAATAATGTTTTCGACACTTAACATTAGACAATAATAATGTTAACATTAGATAATAATAATGTTAATAACACGTTAATACCCAAGCATAAAAAATCACATACCTGTCGTGAATCTACGGGGAGTCGCCGCCTGTTAACAGAAGACCAGCAACGAAAAGGAGAACCACCGCAAGTCGCCGCAAGGTCACCGGGCAAGGGTCGCCGCCTGGTCGCCGCAAGGTCACCGTCTGGTGACTGCTTGGTCGCCGCCTGGGCACTGCCTTGTCGCCGCCGAAGCCCTAACGTGAAAGAACCAACACCTAGTCGCCGCCGGAAACAGAGACGTGTCGCCGGCCGTGAACAACAACTCACCTTCTTACGTAAACAAAAACCCTAAAGTTAAACTAATAAAACCCTACCGCATGCTACGTGAATAAACGCCAGGTAATTAATTAAAATACACTCATTAATTAATTAAAAATTCCTAATGCCAACACTACCCTTACCTACCTAAAAACGGCTCAACAACCATTAACTAATTACAATAAATCCAATGGCCGAAAATCACTTAAGGAACTCCTTAAGGATTTGGCCTTAAGGGCCTGAACCTAGTCGTTATCCAAGGCAAGCCACAATGGCATGGTACAACAACACAATAACAACAATGATTACAGTGGCACACGATAGGCAAGCCTCAATGGCATGGTACAACAACACAATAACAACAATGATTATAGTGGCACACGATAGTCTGTATACAACTAGTCTATCAATGAAATAAATAGTTTTATCACTATACGTTCTGCTCTAAAGAAGCTCCAAGAAGCAAAAAGTCATGCCACTAATGAAAAAATACCTTCAAGATAGCTTGCTGGTGAGTGTGCATATTTTATTAATGTATTAGAATTATGAACTAATAATTGAGTCATTTAGCAACAGATAAGTACAGAGACAAGGATGAAGTAAAATGACTTAGGATTTTTTTCAAATAATCCAATTATTAATTTTCATTTATATTATGATAGGAGTAAAAATTCAAATGGAAAATTAAAGTGTCGAAGCATCCAAATGATTTAAACTTTGGAGAATTTAAAGGTGAATACGAAAATAGTATATTACATATAAAATTCAAACAAAATGAGGTTGACAAAAGGTGAAATCAATCAAAGAAGATTTCTTTCAAAGTTTGAATTGTTACACTTTGTATGATTGTAAACATTTCATATTTACTTTAATTTGATGTTGTTAATAGCACATCAATTGCAAAAAAGTCTAAAAATATGTAGTAATTTATAACAACAAGCAGTAAATCAAAGTGTGGTTTTTTTTTCAACTTTCCCTATGAACTTTCATAAATAAATCAGTTAGGATGTCAATAAACTCTACAATGTAGTTTTTGTTATTTCTTACAATTATTAAATAATTTGGATTATTTTTCATAATATTGAATGAAAAAGTATCTCATTTTATACAATTAGGATTATTGTTTATGTTCATTGATAAAATGTATCCGACCAACGGACGGGCACCAATCTAGTAAAGGTAATGGTAAGGTCGGACGGGTATCTCAATACTCCTCTCTCAAAAAAAAAAAAAAAAAAGAGATGTTAATAGCATCGTGGCAGGCTAGGTTTAGATAGTGTATGGATTGCGATTGGAGTAGGTTGATCCATACTAGTATGTATTTCAATCGAAAAACATCTGAAACATCAATTTTTCATTAACAAGTCGAAAAACAAACAATGACATGATATAGTTAAGTTCCTCGGGAAATTGAGATTCTCTGTTAGAAACACATTATTTGCTTATTTCTGTCTTTTGAGATTATTTGTCGGTTTGAGATAGTTTTGAATTATTTGGGGAATTTAGGGAATAATTTGGCAGTAGTTTGATATATCGTTTTAGTGGGGTATGAAACAGTTATTGGTATGACTATATGATTTGTAATTAGTGGGGTATTCCCATTAAGCAATTACAGAACCAATTTAGCAACCCTAATCTCCCTTCTCTCTCTTTCCCTCACTCTCACCCACATTCCCCTCTCTTCTCTCAAGGCTGCGACAACATTCTTTCTCACTCCTAAATCCTAGCTAGATCAATCCCTAATTGATCAAGCTAATTACCCAATCCGAGACCCGTTAGAAATCTTGTTTCTAACCTTTGGTATCAGAGTCTGGTTCGAGAGCAAGTTCCTCATAACTCTTGACAGGGGACAGATCGGCATATTGTGATGGTGCTAACGAAGTCACAAACAGCGCGGAGAAGGTAGTAGAGAAGGCTGTCTAGGACGCACAGACGTCGCAGGCTACGACAGCTGAGAAGAGACCATCGTCCCATGAAAGGAGAGCTGACGGTGTGGTGGTGGATGAGACCGAGTTTGAAGTGGTGAAGCAGGCAGTGTAGGAACACGCAGGGGCGTTGACTCGTCTCAAGGAGGTATTGAAGAAGGTATGTACCGAGGCAAAGGCGGACGCGAAGGGACTTCGGAGGCTCCTAGAAAACCTCACATAGGCGGTGAGACACTGCAGGCAAAGGGGACGGTGGCGAAGACAAAGGCTGGGCTGACCCCGATGCAGGCCAAACCGAGAATGTTGATCCCGGACACGAGCGGAGATGGCGGGGCGCACGGCAGGTCGTCCTCGGCAGGGGGCGGGCGCGGCAACAATGTCGGTCTGTAGAAGATGGCGACAGCGCAAATGGGAGCGCTGACGGAGGTCGAAGGAGCGATGGTGGCGGATGTAGGGCTGGGGAACACGGACTTTGCGGGTCACGGTACGCGTGGACACGACAGTGGGTCGGATTTGCTACCAACCCCTTCGGCCCAGGAGATAGCGGCCCTACGGGGAAAATCTAAAATGTCGGGCTATGACAACTTTGGACCCCAGTTGAGTTTTGGACCTTATGAGTCTGTGGGGGCAAAGAGCGGTGTTCGGTCGTGTCAAGGAACCCAACGGGCTTTGGTTGATGAGCATGGATCCGGAAGAAGATGAGCTAAGCTTGGCGGGGCAAACGAAGGGATGACCCGAACTGGGAAGGATTTCAGTAGGGCGGAGCGTCGCGAGGGAGGCGGACCGACCACCTGGATGGGGCCCATCACGGGGTGGGTCAAACATACTTGGGTCGACCTGGGTGGACCGGAACTGGTTAGATCAAGTGGGGCTGAACTGTCCGACCAGATTCTAGTCGGAACAGGCAGCAAGGGATCAGCAGCCTGGCGAGAGTCCAGCAAAGGTCTAGCAGCTTCTTATCAGCCTTTCACAGGCCCCCGGGCGGAAGGGCGACCGTCAGCTGGGAACAGGGATGCAAGACAAGATCATAAGGGCGGACGTGAAGGGTATGTGGAGTACCCGTTCGAGGAAGAGGACGTGTGTGGTCAAGACATGGAGTCGCGGTTTCAGCGGGACTACCGTGACCGAGCTCCTGGCTATGACAGGTATGATGGATACTCTCGGTGATCTTGTGTTTAGAGCCAAACCCCCTACAATTGAGTTTCCAAAATTCAATTGTTAGGAGGATGCAGGCCTCTGGTTGTATGCAGCTGACAGATGGTTCAAGAACCATCCCACAAAGGAGGAACGAAAGGTGCGTCTGGCGTCTTTCTATTTGGAGGGCGATGCATTGCACTGGTGGTAGTGGTTAGAGTGGTCGTGCGCAAATGCCCAGACTTTGATCACCTGGCCCCTGTTCCAGGAGGAGCTCTGATACCAGTTCGGTAAGTCGAGGGGTGGATGCCGAAACAGCTGGCGAAGCTACGTCAGACGGGAACTGTGATGGAATACAAGGAGGAGTTCTTCAACCTGGAAAATAAATGCAAGGGCGTACCGGAGGAGACCTTGGTTGGATTGTGTATGGTCGGTCTAAAGCTGGAGACCGCCACTGCGGTCAAGGTCTTCGAACCGGATTCCTTGAGGACCGCTTTTCGTATTGCGGGTCACAAGGAAGAAGAGCTAGCAAGCTAGAGGAGCACGATCGGACGCTTTCCAAGGGCCGCCAGAAGTGGGGGTGGTGGCACCGGGTCTAGCAGAGGAGGGAACTACGACTGTTGGAGCGGGTTCCGGTGCCACAAGCACGACCACAATAGCGCGTCCTGGGCCTAGGGCTCCGCCGAAGGGTTTTGTGCGTCTGTCACCAGCTGAGATTGAGCAGAAGAGGCGGGAAGGGAAGTGCTTCAACTGCGACGAGAGGTTCACCGTGGGGCGTGGGGCACAAGTGTGCAAAACTTGATCAGATGATGCTGGTGGGGCGCTGGGAGGACGAGGCGGAGGATGAAGCAGAGGGGGCAAGGAATCAGGAATCAGAGTAGAAGCTACAACCTTGAGGGCAAGGTTGTTCCCAAGGAGGCGGGGACGTTAGAAACACATTATTTGCTTACTTATGTCTTTTGAGATTATTTGTCGGGTTGAGATACTTTTAGATTATTCGGGGCATTTCGGGAATAATTACGTGGTACTTTGATATATTGTTTTAGTGGGGTATGAAACAATTATTAGTAGAATTATATAATCTGTAATTAGTGGGGTTTTCCATTAGGCAATTACAGAACCAAATTAGCAACCCTGATTTCCTTCTCTCTCTTTCCCTCGCTCTCACCCACGTTCTCCTCTCTTCTCTCAAGACTACGGAATCAGCCTTCTTTTCCAGTCTGCTCTATCAAAACAAAAGACTCTCTCAAAAGCAAAAGCCGGAGATTTCCCTCTTCTTGTTCTACAATTCTTTCTCACTCCTAAATTCCTAGTTAGATCAATCCCTAATTGATCAAGCTAATTCCTCAATCCGAGACCCGTTAGAAACCTTGTTTCTAATACTCTCACATATTTGTAACCGTGTTATAGCTAAATATGGTGTAACAAGTGTAATATTCTCACATATTTTTAATTGTAAAAAAAGGTAAAATTCTCACCTGTCCGAAAATAAAAAATGTGGCCTCAAATTTTCCCCCCAAAATGTTCTCTGTTTTTTTTCGCTTACAATTACCTAATTCAAATTTTTTAGTTTACCTAATTCAAATTTTATAGAATAAAAATATACCCAAATGTCCAAACCAATACTGCTGCGAGCGGCTCTCTTTGCTTGGTTGGCTGCGTATTTAACTAAAAAACGTAATGGAGGGGTATTAGGGAATTGAGAAGTTGATCGGTAGGGAAAGATATTAGGGATGAGCATTGACTATTGATTGGTGGAGAGACGTTGGATTTTATGTTGGAAAGTTGAGAAATGTGGGAAACGTATTATCATTTTTATTTTTGACAATGAGGGAAAATGTTGTCATTAATGAGTGTTTTTTATTTATGAATAGTTCTGCTAGTTGGCGGTAATGGGCTTTAGGATATATTTTTCAGCTTTCAAGGATTGACAATAATGGGCTTGGGGAAGAGTAAGCCCAAACAAAAACATTAACATAGGCCTAATGGGCAAGCAGGGAAGGAGGCAGCGAATCTATGAAGCCCCAGATTTTAGAGGCCCTGTGCTGTGGGTCTGACCAGCACAGGGCCTGGGCCGGGCCTGAATGGATTGACTCCGATCTATGAGACTATGAGCGTACCTGTGTCGCCATACCCGTCCCGCCTCACCTACGGAACAGGTATTACCGGCTCAAAGCAGGACAAAAACGATCTAATCGAATAGAACGAGTCAGATCAAAATTGCCATGCCTGATTATCGCGTTAATCAACTACAAGTATAACGGTCGAGTAAAATTTGGTGGGTAGAATAAGATATGAGGATTTTTTTTTTTTGACAAAAGATATTCATATATATAGAATCAAACAAAGGATAGTTACATCCTGGAACACAGCCAGGCCTGGAAATCAAACAAACAATTTGCAGTCGGAAACAATGAAAGGGCCTTCCTAGCCACCAAGTGGGCTACCCTATTGTGAGAACGACCTACAAATCGAACACTAAACCCCGGGTGCAAATCAAAACAATGTAGTGACTATAACGGCGTCGTATTAGTAGCAGCCGATGGGTCGAAGTCCAGCCAATGGGTTGAAGCCCATTTTCCCTTTTGCCTTGGCCCATGCAACGTGCATGCTTCTGTTTTCCAGAGGCTTTGCACCGAAACCCTAGTTGAGTGTAAAAGGGAATGAGTTTTATCTCATATATATTTGTAACCTGTAATCGGCGGTACTACTAATGAAAAAGGCTGAGATAGCATAACTTCTCCGTGGAGTAAGCTCATTCACATCGAATGAGACGAACCACGTAAATACTCTGTGTCGTTGTTACTGTTTTTCGTTATTGTCAAATCTTTCATGGTATCAGAGCTGGTTTTCTAAACCAAGGCTTTTACAATGAGCGACGGCACGACCAGTGATGTGAACCGTGCGCTACTCAACACAGGCGGCAATGGCGGAGGAGGACAGATCCCTCCGGTGATCCCCGCGACGTTGAGGATGCAGGCGTCAGATAATCCTGGTCAGATGTTCGTCGGTGAGTTGCTGAACGATTCCAATTATGGGGAATGGGCTACTGATATGACAGAAGCCCTGATTGCCAAGAATAAACTTGGTCTTGTGGATGGCACGATTGCGCGTCCGGAGGAAGCTGGTGCAATCCAGGATGCCTGGATTCAGTGTGACGCCCTTGTCAAGGGATGGTTGAAGACTGCCATGGACAAGGAGGTCAGGAGTTCGATCCGGTATGCTAAGACTGCTCGGGAAATCTGGATCGACCTTGAATCACGTTTTGGACGTGGCTCAGCTGCTCGTGCGTACGAGCTACGTCAAAATCTGAGTCTGGTTCGGCAAGAAAAGCTAAGTGTTTCTACCTTTTTTACCAAGCTGCGTTCTATTTGGGAGGAGATGCAGGCTATCACTCCTGTTCCGCGTTGTAAATGCGGCCTATGCACCTGTGACGTTGGGCGTACAGTCATGGATAATTTGGAGAATGAGCATCTTTTTGATTTTCTTATGGGACTCGGAGATGCGTTTGCAACAGTCAAGACCCAGATTTTGTCCATGAAGCCTACGCCAAAGCTTAGTGAAGCTTACAGGTTGGTATCCACAGAAGAGCAACAGAGGCAAATTGCCGCTAGCAGGAAGCCGAGTGTAGATGCTGCTGCCTTTCAGGCCAAACGCGATCGGGATGATGGAGATCGCGGCCGCCGCGAAGATAAACCCGATCGATATAAACGGGACGAGCGCGGGGGAAGTCCAGATCGTAAAGCGGTTGTTCGTTGTAGCCACTGCCAGAAACTTGGACATTCTAAGGAAACCTGTTTTCAGCTGATCGGCTACCCCGAGAGGCGACCGCGTTCTGGTGATCGTGAGGAACGACCTCGTGGAGCTCGTCCTGGCAAGGCGCGCGCGGCTCAATCTGCTGCAGGCGTGACTATTCCTGGTCTCAACCCCGACCAGGTGCAACAACTGCTTCAGTTCATCAACCAAAACGGTGCTGGTAGCACTGGTTCTTCGCATGGTTCTTTTGAACCGCAGGTTAATATGGCTGGTAAGCTTCCTTCTGACTCTGAGTGGATTATTGATTCTGGTTGTAATGAATATATAACTCATGATGCTTCGTTATTGGAAAATTTGAACGAGGTGTCTGGGTACTTGCCTATTAACATTCCGAATGGAGACAGCGTAGCAGTCAAGCATGTTGGCGATCTCAGTTTGTCCAACGGGATGAAGCTCAGCCGAGTCTTGAGCATCCCACTGTTTAAATGCAATCTCTTGTCCGTTAGTCGGCTAACACAGGATTTTGATGTGGCATTAATATTTTTACGGGATTTCTGCGTCATTCAGGACTCACACTCCAGGAAGATGATTGGGACGGGCCAGCTTCGTGATGGACTTTATTATCTTCGGCTTTTTGGTGCTCAGGGATCTCATGCTATGGTAGCCAGTGGTGATGCGCGAATGGGGGAGCTATGGCATTCCAGGCTTGGTCATCCTTCGCCGAAGAAGAGCTCTTTTCTAGCTATTCCAAATAAGTGTTCGGTTGCATCTTGCGATTCTTGTATGCGAGCTAAACAAACACGGACTCCTTTTCCTAAGCACTCCATAAAGACCAGTCGTTGTTTTGAGATTATTCATGTTGATATTTGGGGCAGTTTCAAGGTCCCTACTTCGGATAAAGCACGTTATTTTCTCACGATAGTGGATGATTTCAGTCGTGCTACTTGGGTTTATTTGATGAGCTATAAATCTGATGTTGAGGGGTATTTGATGATGTTCATTAACATGGTTGGTACACAGTTTAATCAGCAGGTTGCGTGTATTCAAGCCGACAATGGTCTTGAGTTTCAAACTGCAGGACTACGAGCTTTTTATACCGATCGGGGAATCATTCTTCGCACTTCGTGCACCGATACGCCCCAACAGAATGGAGTGGTTGAGCGTAAGCACCGACACTTGCTCGAAACTGCTCGGGCTCTGCGTTTTCGTGCTAACATTCCCCTTCGGTTTTGGGGTGAATGTGTACTGACGGCCACCTACTTGATCAACCGCATGCCGTCCAAGGTACTTCAGAACCGGACCCCATACGAGGTATTGCTGCGCAGATCTCCCTCTTACAATCATTTGCGTATCCTTGGATGCTTGGCTTATGGGAAAGACACTCATCATGGGCTCTCAAAGTTTGATGAGCGTGGTCGTCGTTCCGTATTCATGGGGTACCCGGCTTCTCAGAAAGGCTATCGCCTCTATGACTTGACTACTCGTACCTTTTATACCAGCCGTGATGTCCGTTTTGTGGAGGATGTTTTTCCCTTCCACGAACAACAACATCCATCAGTGGTGCCTTCTTCCATTACCCCTGCTGTTGACCCTGCGGAGGATGCTCCAATTTCCACCGAGCCCTTTTCTGCTAACCAGAATGACTCGACTCCAGCTCCCATGGAGCCCAGCTCCTCCCCTTCTGCTGCGGAGCCTTGCTCCTCTTCTCCGGCTGCAGCGCCCGCTCCTCCTCCTGTTGCGGAGCCTTCCGCGGGTCCTCGTCGCAGTGACCGACGACGTCAAGTTCCCCGCAAATTTGATGGCTACGACACTGAGCTGCCTCCGTCGAATGCCCCCTATCCTATGAGTCACTACGTAAATTATGATGGTTTTGCTCCTCACCATCGCAGCTTTCTGGCGGCGGTGTCCAGTCATTTCGAACCTGCGCATTTTCGTGAGGCAATGCGCGATCCTGAGTGGCGTAGCGCTATGCAGCGGGAGATCGACGCGCTCCTTGCTAATGGCACCTGGTCTCTCGTCTCTTTACCCCACGGTAAGAAGGTGGTGGCGTGTCGTTGGGTCTATAAGATTAAGTACAAGGCTGATGGGAGTATTGAGCGGTATAAAGCTCGCCTTGTTGCCAAGGGTTTTGCCCAGATTGAAGGTATCGATTATCACGATACATTCGCGCCAGTTGCGAAAATTGGTTAGTGTTCGCGCTCTTCTCTCTGTTGCTGCAGCTCGAGGGTGGACTGTTCATCAGCTTGATGTTGATAATGCTTTCTTGCACGGTGATCTTCAGGAGGAAGTTTACATGCAAATTCCCCCTGGCTTTGCCGCGCCAGGCGATTCTCGAGTTTGTCGTCTCCATAAGTCCATTTATGGGTTGAAGCAGGCGTCCCGCAATTGGTACGCTAAGTTTACCTCTACTCTCCTTGAGCTCGGATTCCAGCGTTCTCGTGCTGACTACTCCCTGTTTACTCGACGGCATCACGGTACATATGTCGTAGCATTAATTTATGTTGACGACGTCATTCTCGCTGGGGATGATCTCGGTTTTATCCAGACCGTTAAGGACCAGTTGCATAGTCGTTTTGGCATTAAAAATTTGGGCCCCTTGAAGTATTTTCTTGGCATAGAGGTGGCTCGCTCCCGGCATGGTATTGCATTAAGTCAGCGAAAGTATACTCTGGATCTTTTACGTGACAGTGGTCTCACCGGCAGCCGGCCTAGTCGTTTCCCCATTGAGCAACATCACCAGCTCACTCTGCCCCCTGATTCCACGAGTTCCGGCGTTTCCCTCACTGATGCTGCAGCTTATCGTCGTCTCATTGGGCGGCTGCAGTACCTCACTGTCACTCGTCCCGACATTGTCTATGCCGTCAACATTCTCAGCCGTTCCGTGCATGATCCCTCTCCTGATCACATTGCAGGTGCAGAGCGTGTCCTTCGTTATCTCAAGACCGCTCTTGGACAGGGTATTTTTCTTCCGGCCTCAGGTCCACTTACTTTGCGAGCTTATTGCGACGCTGATTGGGGTGGCTGTCAGACCACCCGTCGTTCCACCTCCGGGTATTTTGTCACTTTGGGGGATGCTCCCATTTCTTGGCGTACCAAGAAGCAGTCTGTTGTTGCCCGTTCTTCGGCTGAGGCTGAGTATCGGGCCATGGCTGGTGCTGTCAGTGAAGTGCTTTGGCTTCGTGCTCTTCTTCGCGATCTTGGCGTGTTTTCCTCTGGTCCGACGGTGCTCTTTTGTGACAATCAAGCTGCCTTGCATATTGCAGCCAACCCTGTGTTCCACGAACGCACGAAACACGTTGAGATGGACTGTTACTTTGTCCGCGAGCATGTCACTTCTGGTGAAATACTTCCTCAGCAAGTTTCCTCCGCCGACCAGCTCGCTGACATTTTTACCAAGGGACTTGCTGGTGATCGTTTTCATGCGCTTCTTTCCAAGCTGGGCATTTGTAACCTCCATGCCTCAGCTTGTGGGGGAGTGTAGTGACTATAACGGCGTCGCATTAGTAGCAGCCGATGGGTCGAAGTCCAGCCAATGGGTTGAAGCCCATTTTCCCTTTTGCCTTGGCCCATGCAACGTGCATGCTTCTGTTTTCCAGAGGCTTTGCACCGAAACCCTAGTTGATTGTAAAAGGGAATGAGTTTTATCTCATATATATTTGTAACCTGTAATCGGCGGTACTACTAATGAAAAAGGCTGAGATAGCATAACTTCTCCGTGGAGTAAGCTCATTCACATCGAATGAGACGAACCACGTAAATACTCTGTGTCGTTGTTACTGTTTTTCGTTATTGCCAAATCTTTCAAAAGATATGAGGATTTGATCAACATTCTATTTACTTTTTAACTTCCGAATTATTGGTTTCAGTTCTTTAGTCATGCCTTACAAGTTACAACCTTCATTGCGATCGCTTTGAGAGCAACTTTCACGCAAACGCTGAAGAAAATGCATTCCCACGTGCATATGGGCGCTGCAACTAAACGCTCGTAGCAGCGAGAAACTCCAGCGAAGAGCTCTACCGAGTACTGAATGAGATCATTCACGCCACCGCAACTTTACGAGAACTACAACAACATTCATCGACGATCCACTACCACCATTACAAAGAGTGCATTACATATTCCTGACAAGTTCGAAACATCTACAAATTAGACAGAATGGAGGAAGGAAGGAACGTCAAGGAGGGAACAACTAGACAAAGGTATTGCCCTTTCACCTTCTCCGAACAATCGATAGAGTCAGATCCCCAACAACACTAGACTGACTTTATTATCAACAGATCGAGTTACAAATGAGTGTTGGTTACCTTAACACCATCAGGGAGCAAGTTTGTTCTTGTGCTTTGGGCGCCTTTGCTTTGCTTTCTCCATCTTCCCGCTCCCACTATTACTCGGGGTCTGGTTGTTGCTCACGGACCCTTCTTGAGCGCTGCACATTTGCGACTTCATCCTGAACCCGAGCTTCTTCGACATGTTCCCCCAAGCGCTCAAAGAAGACGAAGTAGGTGCGGAGACAGCTGGTTTGGTGGGGCGTCCCCCGAGTTTCTCGATCTCCTGCCTCATCGTGGAGCATTCTTTCTCGAGCTCTGATACCCGCATTCTCATGTTGTCCATCCCAACTTTCAAGACTTGGTTCTCTCTCACTGCTGAAGCCCAGCCTCCTCCTCCTCCTTCCCCTGAACCTGCTGCTGCTCCTGCTAGCCCACTCCTCATCAACTGTCTCGACCCATCGAGATTCTCTGAGACTAGGAAACAACCTGCAATGGATGTCCTGAGCTGAAGCTGCTCGAAGAATAGGACTTGGACTACTATCCTTAGGGGCAACCTCTCGTTCTGTGCAGCATGAGTGCACGCCTCCAGCGACAGCTTCTGGCAGTCCATCAGCCGGCACAGTTGTTCTCTGTCTGACTCAGCTAGCCACGGGTGAGACTGCAAGTTATACACAAAACAGTAAGGTATGTGAGAATTCAGGATCCAACAACCATATATAGGAGCAGACACGATAAAAAAACACTTGTGTTTTCTCACTTTAACTACAATTTTAAAAATGCAGTAAAGTACCTTCAAGTATATATCTATAGCACGATAGAGGCCGTCATCGAGGGGCCTGGCATATTCAGGAACAGCTGCAGCAAGTGCCTGAAACTTCGGGAGCTTCAAATTAACATCAGGAGCAACCTCTGCAAGGTACCCATCGATCAACTTCGCCACCATTGTGATTGGGGTCAAAGATGGCGATCCGATAATCAACTGACTGTCATCAACCGAACCACCAGGAGAAGCACCACCACCACTAATCATCTGGTCCATGGCGAGGAAATGCTCCACAATCCGCTGCACACAATCGACATTGTAAAGTGTCTCCATGGAGTGGGAGAAATTAGGCATCAGAAGATTTTCTAGAGTTGCTTGATCAAGCTGCATGCCTATCCTCTTCTCTAAACTCGATAAACACGAACTGTCTGCCTTCAGAATCATTGCTGTTTTGAGTAGACCGAAGAGAAATTTGGTGGACACTAGACCCTTCTGCATTGGTAGCAATCTTTCGATCTCTTCCAGTAAATTCCTCTGCTCTTCTTCTGAAGCTGGAGCTCCCAAAGCTACCAACCGCGAGCTAGAGTCAGTAGAGGCAGCACCTTGACCACGCCTATTGAGACCAGGTAGGTACATTTTTGCATAGGAGGCAAGGGATCCAGCAATTATTTCATGCCGGATACCACGAGACTCCATAGCAGAAATCAGCCTCTTGTAGAGAGACAAGTTCAGAGTGGACGCATCCTCATACCACCAATCTGAACTCGAGTTTTTTGGCCTAGCTCCTGTGCTTATCCCATTCCACAACACACTTCCCCCGGGGCTCTGCATAGGACCATGCTCCACCATTGGCCACCCAAAAAGGTTGGGATCTGTACTGGCTTTTGAGGCTAGTGAATCAATGCACCTCTTTGTGATGTTTAGTTTGTCGGCATAGGGAAGAATGTCATCATCACAAGTTTGGAGAGCCTTGAGTGAGTCTTTCCAATTGCGAAGCACCACATGGTTTAGAAATGTCTCTGTCTGTGTAATCAGATTGCCTTCTCCATAATCTTCGGTCATCTCGAGGTGATCAGCAGCACAGCGTAGGTGCACGACATTTGAGGCTGTAAGCTCGAGCTTTACACCGTAGCAGAACTTGGCGACAAGCTCAAAGGTTTTAGCCCCACCAGGGACTTCTGGGAGGCGAATGATGCTATTCTCGTCTTCTTCTTCTGAAGCTTCTGCAATCAATTTCTCCATAACTCCACTTCTAGAAAGCAATGGAAACTGAAGAAATCGAAATGGAGAGAGAATCAGAAATACTTTTCACCGGACGAACATATCATTACTGTGAAACGGCAACTATTTGATACTTGTCATGGACTATTGCTTCAAGAAATTAAATAAACAACTTATCACTTTATTCTGGACCATTGCTTCAAGAAATCAAATGTTCAGAAAACACAGCACGAGTACTATTTGCAACCGCCATGTGCACTCACATTATAATAATTAATAACAAGATTAAAAAGATGAATCATGGAGCAAGACCAAGATGAATCATGGAGCAAGACCTATTGAAGCAGCTCAAAGCAATGAAAGGGTACCTTGTGAAGATGGAAGGACATCTCCCCAACTTCTACAGTTATGTCACTTGGAAGGCCGGACGTGCAGAACCTACACTCAAGGAAAAGCAAGGGTCATAACCAGACTAACACACCAGTGTTTAAGGATTACCAGAAAAATAGTACAAGAGTGATTATTATTATAAGATTTAGGTGAATGGATGTAGCAAAACCCAATCTGAGGGGCACAATTTTTAGTTGCTCAACCCCAAATTTTGGGCAGTTCTATAGGTCAGCATGGGAGTACTTTTCCTATTCTGTCCTCTAATATAACACAGTCAAGAACTCTCCCTCCCTAAGTAAATCCCATATATGTTTTCAAGTCCTAACTCCATTACAAGCTTGCATATGCATATGTGCATAGATGGAACAACATCATATCTTAACTACCAGAATAGCAAGTTCATCAATGTGAATTAGCAAATTATGTTACTTCATCCAGCAATCTGGATAGGCATAAAGTAATTCCCTCCCTTTGCTACTTCATTCAGCACCAGTAGCAACAAACAGCAATCTACTTTAGCATAACGCACTTCACTCACTATGCTAGATCAGTAGTCCCCTTAACTCGTGACTCACTGACTCCCTACTTTGTCAAAATTCTGAAACATCAATCTACCTCGGCATATTAACAGACTTAACTAAATCGAAATGTTCTAATTAACTATTGCCAAAAGAATCAGAAGCCCAGAAAAATGGAAAAAAACTGGGCAGTAAGGAAAAGGGGAAAGGAAAAACATACCAGGCCTGGCCCTGCCGCTGAAACGCATCACTCTTAGATCCCAGCTTCATGCAAGCCATCTCTCAGAGCAATGCAGGGAAGAAACAAGTTGATACCTTTCCTCCAATACCAAGGCAACAATTGCGGCAGGCCGATACCTCAAAGAAGCTAAGCAATGCACAAAAACCTACTGCAAATCTAGGGAAAGTTTTCTGAGCCAAAGAGTTTAGAGGAAGATATTCCCACTCCACTCACGGCAACAGCCCCCCCGTCCGTCCGGCAGACCGTCGGATTGTGGACTAAGCGTCAAGAATGTACCAGCTTCACTCCACCTCTCGTTTCTGCCGGCCAATAACTATCGCCAGCCTTGGACGCATAGAAAAACGAGAAAGGAGAAAAAGTCTGGAACTTGGAAAACGGAAGAAATGAACCCGCTTGTCCGTTTGCTCCCCCCCCCCAAAAGAAACTCAAGAGAAAACTCCACAGACCACAGCCCAGAACCAAAGTTGGGGTCTTTGAACCAGGTTGGAGATGGGGAACCAAATTTTAGGTCAACCCTTCAAAATGTTTTCCCACTCTCCTCCTCCCGGAAGAAGAATGGCAGAGGGAAGAAGAAAAGGAAGGCCGAGAAAGGGGAAAGAAATACTTAATACACAGTAATGATTCCAAAAATGAGAGCTGTATTGTATTTAATGGACCCAGGGGACCATAACCACTCACTCAGATACCCGCGAAAGAACAGGTGAATGAATGAAACCCACTATTATGATTAGTTAGCCAAAGTCGCTACCTTTTCCACAAATTGTACAATACCCAGAAACGAAAACCCCCAACCAACCAAAACGGAAAGCCCTTCTTTTTCTTCTTTCCGGTTTTGAAACTTGATTACTAGTAACTAGTAAGTATCATTTACCCTTTGCTTGTCTTTATTTGTGTTACTCTCCCTGGCAAATGAAAAAGCGATCCGAGACAGTCAGTCAGTCGAGCCGACAGTATGCGTGGGGTAAATTAATGACACATTTGGACAAACCCTAAAAGCAAAGCAATCTTGCCTCTAGGTCTCTGATTCTGCTAGCATATGCTGACAGTGCCGTATGTTACGCCTTACGCGCGTGTTGATGTTATCGAATCGTGCATTTATAAAACAAACATCATCGTATACATCTAAAACTCAGATCGCTATATCGCGAGATTCAATAATGTTAAAACGCTTTAACTTTGAGATTAATCTCTCTTAGCGTATTAATCGAATTGATCAGTATCTTAAAATCTCAACACAAACACATGCAAATGCAAGAAACCCCATGTGGGTCGGATTGGCTTGAACCGCACTCAATGCTAAATTCCAGAATCTTTTTTTCAAGTTGTAATCTCAGTTAGCTTAGCTAATCCATTAATTCTGAATCGTGGGGGAAGTTTGACCAAACCCAAGAACCTTGCTGCATCGGCCAGCAAGCGCACTGACACATATATTTTGATTTTCGTCCAGACCAGTGGGGAGAGACAAGACAGCTAGGCCATGTGCATGAATGCTTTAAGATCGTTATACAGTTTGCTTTCTTCTTACACTTCTTGTTTAATCTTATCTTAATGTCCATTGATTAACGCCCCATAATCAAACCCAGTCCTACGGGCTACGTCTACAGCCAACTAGGGCTGCAAACGAGCCGAGTCGAGTCGAGTTTTTGCTTAGCTTGAGCTCGGCTCGTTTATTAATTTTTCAGCTCGAGCTCGGCTCGAACTCGAATTTTGATAATCCAGCTCGAGCTCGAGCTCGGCTTGAATAAAAATAATCTAGCTCGAGCTCGACTCGGTAGAGCTCGATAAATGCTCATTAACATAGCTTGTTAAGCTGAGTACAAGCTCGGCTCAAGATGAGCTCGATTTAAAATCATTTTTGCTGGAAAAATGTATAAACATAAGAATTTAAATGATAGAAAGAACACTAGAAACTAGAAATAACATCTAAATTTCATACACATCTGTATTATAAGACAATGTTCATGTTTAAAAGAGTAATTCATCCTTCCACAAGCTCAAAACAAGGCAGCTCGCGAGCTTAGCTCGACAAGCCACCGAATCAAGCTAGCTCGCGAGCTTATCAAGCTGAGCATGGTCTAGCTCAGGCTTGGCTCGTTAACTAACGAGTTGGCTCGCGAGCCGGCTTGTTAAATAACGAGTCGAGTGTCGAACGAGTTTTTTCCGATTCGAACGCCGAGTTGCTCGCGAGCGGCTTGGCTCATTTGCAGCCCTACAGCCAACGAGGTTTGATCGTGGTGGGTCTTTGGGGGGTAGTTTCGGGAATTCAGGATTCTGCACTGAAGAGAAAGAGGAAGGGAGGGATAGAGAGAGACATCATGATTGCAGCTTGCAGGCATGTCCTAAAAGGGACACACGACAAAACCCAAAACACGCTCCCACGGGTTGCTGTGTTTGTGTGGATGAATGGGTTAATGATAGTCTCACGGCCTTTCAAAATGTCGCTTTAGGGAGTGTTAGTGGAACGGCCATTGGATTCCTCCGGCCCCGGAGGGAGAATGGGTGTGGAATTTAAGGTCAGTATGGGGGATGATTAGTAGTTAATTAATACGAGTTTGAAGTCAATTAAAGCATAGCGATTAATGATCAGTTCATACGTGTTAACGACGCTAATAAGCGAGAAATCAATTAAGCACAAAGGTTGATTACTTATTTGTCTTCATTTGGTTAGCTATTGGTGTGAAGTGTAGGGCTGGGAAAATAGACCAGAACGTTAGAAAAACCGTGATCCAAACTGTACCGCACAGTTTCATCTGGATCGTAGACTGTTAAGTATAGTCTGGTCTGGTCTGGTCAATGATCTGTATTATTTTATGTTTTGATCTCTTGGTCTAGGCTGGTCTAGACCGCGGTTTACCGGACCAAACAGTGGACCCAACCGACTTGTTAATACGTGTTAACAACCCATTCGACCACTCTCCCAACTCCCACAACGACACCCAAGTCTCAACCTTAATTTTGTGAATCCTGTCCCTCCTTCATTCAGAATCACACTTAACTAGAGAGTAGAGATAATCGTGTCTCCATATGACATTATGTTAATGTTTATAACGTTATGGTGCAAGTTGGGATGCTTTTACTTGATATCTTTGTTATGCACTAAGATTTAGGGTATCAAATTTATTCATGCATGTTAGGATTAATGTTTTAAGGAAATTAAAATTATTTTTGTTGATTATTGGTTCAATTTTTTGTGTGGTTGACTAAAGAAATTATTCATTTTTCGTTGAGTGTGGTCTATCTGGACCAGACCCCACAGGTGTGGTCTGGACTGGACAGTATAGTCTGTGGTCTGGTCTGTGGTTTATACTTCAGCCTCTCGGTCTGGACCATAGGCCGTTTATATGGTCTGGTATGGACCAGACCGCACCATTTCTCAGCCCTAGTGAAGTGTTCGTAATCCTGTATAAGGGGATTTTTTCAGAAATACCACTAAAAGTGAAAAAAATTCCAAAAATATCACACATTCTCGAAAAATTCCAAAAATACCATCTTTTTCCGAAAACCGTTTGAGGAGGGCGCGATTTTTAATAAAACTCACATTGGGAGGGAGCGGTCTGATAATCTGTGCCGGGAAGCAGCAGTTAACATGCAAACCGCATGCCCACCTGCGATTTTTATGTATATAATTTCTTTTTCGTGAATACAAAACAATAAATTTAGATAGCCTAGTGGATGGAAGCTTGTTATGTGTTTATTTAGATCATATGTTTGAACCTTAGTGTAAGCAATTGCTTTTTTAAGTTCCCTTTCATTTTATTATATGTTAATATTTTTTCAATTTTCCAAACAAACTTAACTTTAAACTCGGATAACAAATTGCCTCACTTGGAGTCAATTCGAAGTAAAATTATACGAGTTTTAAAAAAATTACATTTTGGTGGCAAAATTACATTTGAGTACTTTTATATTTTTTATAGAGCGTTATAGTGCCTAAACTTTACAAACAACTCCAATGTGCTAGTATGAGAAATTTCATATCATTAGTTGTTATGGTTCATATGGCTAAAAAATGACTAGGCCCTTATAGTGCCTAAACTTTACAAACAACTCCAATGTGCTGGTATGAGAAATTTCATATCACTAGTTGTTGTTAATTCGGATAACAAATTGCCTCATTTGGAGTCAATTCGAAGTAAAATTATACGAGTTTTAAAAAAAGGGTTAATTGCAAGGTTGGTCACTGGGTTTACTAAAAACATTCATGTTTGGTCACTGCAAATATTTAATTCCATTCATGGTCACTAAGATTAGTTCAATAGTTCAAATTTGGTCACTCTCCGTTAGTTTTTGCTGATGTGGCAGTCAACTATTATAATTGACCATTAAATGAGTGACGTGGCCATTAAAAAATATTAAAATAATAAAATTTAAATATTTACAATTACCACATCATTTTACAACTACTAAAAAATAAAAATAAAACTTAATTCCTATTATTCTATAAACACCTAAACGGCTAAACCTACTTGAAATAGGCAAGAAGAAAAACCAGAGGAGTGCTTTCAAGTAGGTTTAGCCGTTTAGGTGTTTATATAATAATAGGAATTAAGTTTTATTTTTATTTTTTAGTAGTTGTAAAATGATGTGGCAATTGTAAATATTTAAATTTTATTATTTTAATATTTTTAATGGCCACGTCATTCATTTAACGGTCAACTATAATAGTTGACTGCCACATCAGCAAAAACTAACGGAGACTAACGGAGAGTGACCAAATTTGAATTATTGAACTAATTTTAGTGATAATGAATGGAATTAAATATTTGCAGTGACCAAACATGAACGTTTTTGGTAAACCCAGTGACCAACCTTGCAATTAACCCTTTAAAAAAATTACATTTTGGTGGCAAAATTACATTTGAGTACTTTTATATTTTTTATAGAGCGTTATAGTGCCTAAACTTTACAAACAACTCCAATGTGCTGGTATGAGAAATTTCATATCACTAGTTGTTGTTATGGGTCATATGGCTAAAAAATGACTAGACCCTTACGAGGCCAAAAGATGACCCGACCTTGAACTAATGTTGTAGACAAACTGACTCAGCCGTTGATGCGCCAAAACACAACACCTAACAATGGCCAAGTGTAACCAATGAAAGGGACTGCAGTATAGTGGCACAAGTAATAAATATCGAATCCACGGGTCTCTAGAGTTACTATTACTCAGCTTCAGTTCGTTATCTAGCAAACTAGATTAAGAATTGATTGATAAACTACCCTACTGACTACTCTACTAATTACAAGTTGGGAACTCACTTAGGTATGATTCCCCCTAGCTCCTCAATTAGGTCCAAGTTGCAATTACCTTTGGTTGATCTACTGTTGATTAAACTGCGGAAGATCCTAAATTAGCTTGGAATCTCTTAAGCTGACCAAGCCCTCTCAGACAGAATACCCGGCAGGCGACTAGCCTTCACCGGGATAGACTGCTAAGGCGATTCACACAGATCTCCACTACTGGAATGAATTCCAGTACAAAGCAGTGAATTGATTGACTCTCGCACAACCAATTCACTACCATCAATCAAGGAAGCTCTCTTAACCTAATCAGATTCTATCTATCATAGGTTAAAGCAGAAATCAAGAGAATTTGATCAAGATCCAATTGACTCAATAAATCATGCCTCAATCGATTATAATCAAACAATAAAGCATCCAAAACTTCATACAAGAAAGATCCTAACTCATGGAACTAGGGTTCCTCAAAACCTAAGTGAAGGGAAGTTACTCCATAGAGAAGAGAGAGACTGCAGAAATCTGATCTAGATCTTCAATCTCCATCTCCAAGCTTGATTCCCGAGCTCCAATGGCGAAGAAATCCTCCAAAATAGCTCCAAGAATGTTTCCAAGTCGCTCTCTCTCTCTAGGGTTCGTCCCTTGGGTGTTTGGGATCCAAAACCCAGCTCTCTCTCTCCTTTGGCTCGAATTTGGGTTAAAAACAGCCATTCCCGACTCGCACGGCCAGGGTGCACGGCCGTGCACATCACCATTCTGACCGTGCACCTCAAAACGCGGCGTATCAATTAGTTGAACCTCAGCCAACTCGCACGGCCAGAATTGTATGTTGCACGGCCGTGCGGATTTCACTTGTGCCCGTGCGTGCCCACGCACAATCCCGCACGGCCAAACTGGTCACTTGCACGGCCGTGCGTGGCCACGCACAATCCCGTGCGTGCCCACGCACGATCCCGCACGGCCAAACTGGTCACTTGCACGGCCGTGCGGGTTGTGGGTGTGCCCGTGCGACTTCCTCAGAACCTCGCCATGCGTCCGATCCTCGTCCAATCGACCCCAGACTCGCTCCTAAGCCTTCATTCACGTCCTAGGACCTGAAATATCACAAACAAGCACAACCTACCGTGAAATCGGCCTAAAACACGAGAATCAACACCTCAAACGGTATAAGAATGGGGGTAAAAACATGTGTAAATGACGGTCTATCAAACTCCCCCACACTTAACCGTTTGCTTGTCCCCAAGCAAACCTAACTCAAACCAATGCAACTCTCCAGACCTCTATAGCAACAAACACCCCAGATCGTAGGTAGAGGACTTCCTAGATCATTTAGCAACTTACGAGGTCAACCGAAACACAAGTCATCTCATAGCTTCTTCGGCGAGAGCACTAGTATCGAGTCGGCATCATGGAAAATAGTGAACAGAGGACAAATGAATTGTGGATGAAGAGATTCTCAAAAACAAAAGATCATGGACTCACATTTTTCAAGGTGCTCTATTTTCTTCTTGAAGATGGTTGGAACCCCTTTTCTTTTCTGTTTTGCATGTTTTCTGTTTTTTTTTTTTCAAGGGTCCCAACCTGCTCTTACCGGCCATGCCAGGAGCGGATGTCTCGAGCCTCGTGCGGGGGAAAGACATGTAAGGGGGCTGGAGGTAGTAGGTGGAAATTGGGAACGAATTCCCGTCTCCCCTTACACACTTTCGCCCTATTCGCACGGGAGACGTTATTTTGAAGCACATTTTCGAGCACCTGTTAAACTCAAGACATGATACAAGAGTCCATGACAGGTAGAGAATCCACAACACCACACAATTCAAGGGTCCTAAGATCACTAATTCACTCAATCAACCAACACAATATGAAGAAGCAATGAGACTTCTTAAATGCATCAACATCCTCCATAGTGCTACACTACCTCCCTAGGTTGCATATTACTATAAAGACTGTCAATTCAAAGCATACTGAGCAGGCAATTGCAAGGAACACGTACTTGGAGCCCTCAAATTTCAAAATTTGGACAGTGGACTAGGCTCCAAGCACACAAACAACCAAACATTCACCCGCATAAATAATCGAACACCCCCCACACTTAAGCACGACATTGTCCTCAATGGAGGAAAGATAAGGAGGGTAGAACGAAGTTACCAGATCAAGGGTGAATGATGATGAACGGGTCAGGCGGTGCATCCCAGGAAGAGAGAGTAATCAGAACACAAACACCACACAAAATCTCACAAATGTTGAGTTATTGACTCTAAAATCAAATAACAAAACTGACTCAACCGAGGAGAAATAGAGAAAGAAATGCAAACCGACTGGTTGGGTTGCCTCCCAACAAGCGCTTCTTTCACGTCGTGAGCCGGACGATGGCTCCTAAGTTTCGGTCCATGCTAGAACCTCCTTGAAGTTGAGGTTCTCGTCGATGAGGTGGAGTCTCAAGTCACGAGCATGTGGTGTGGCAGGTGAGGAAGGCTCATGTACTTGATGCAGATGAAGTCTCCACCCTAGAGACCTCTTCTTCTCTTCTCTCGTCTCATTGCCCCAAACCAGATATGACAGCATCGATTGGCCACCATCGCGTCCACCAAGAGGGACCGATGTCGATGTGGCCTTGGTCTGGCAAAGAGACACTGCAAATGGGCCCTTGCCAAGCAGCTCCTCGAAGTTTGGTGGAGATATCACATGTAACTCATGGCCGGTGCAGGCCTCTTCCACCTTAACTCCGTCCTCAGCCTGGACGCCAATTGCTTCTTCAACCTCCCTTTCTTCTTCATGTGGTATCACCCCTGGGAAAAGATCAAGAACTCCTCCTGCTTCACTTTCTTCATCCTCCACAACTTCTTTCTGCACCCTTTCTCGCTCTTCTTCTTCTAGCACGGATTGGAGAGCAAGTTGCCAAGCAATTTCTTTCATGAGATTTTCTTGCATCTCCTCACTCATGCCCGCCTCTTCAAAGCTCAGTTTGGGATGTGGGAAGGTGTGGTCGGCTACGGCAGGAAATTCCTGATCATGATCATCACGAGAGCTTTTCGTGAAAACTTCTGTCTGCTCCACAATATCCTTGTAGCCTTCGTCTTCCTCCTCCTCTTCTAGTATGATAGCAGAAGGGTGATCTTGAGCAGGTTGTGCATAAGCTTTCTCAAGATCCTCGAGGCTCTTCTTTATGCTCAGGAGGGTCTCCTCTGTTTCACGGTAGGAGAACCCAGTTTGGGCATTGTCTGGGATATCCATCTTTGGAAAGGATGTCTCAGGTACTCGAGCAATCTGGTCCACGAGAAGCCTCAAGTGATAGTTTGGATCTGGCTGATGGAGGAATTCTTCTTGATAAGGAGATTGTTCTTGAAATACCCAGGGGTCTGATTGTTCTTCGTAGGATGGGGGTTGGTACTGAAACCCGAATCCATAGTCTTCTCCTCCTTGATTGCTCCAGGGGGTCTCGGGGTAATACCACCCAGATGGTGGTGGATACCCCCAATGATTGGAGAAGCCATTAGGATCCATGATTCAGATCTGCACCAACAAAACAAAAACACCCAAGTGAAAAGCAAGGGTGGAAAAAAAAGAAACAAAAAACGCTAAAGTAACAAACTTCCGCCTTTCCTAATACTCTAGAAAGTCCCCGGCAACGGCGCCAAAAACTTGATGCGCCAAAACACAACACCTAACAATGGCCAAGTGTAACCAATGAAAGGGACTGCAGTATAGTGGCACAAGTAATAAATATCGAATCCACGGGTCTCTAGAGTTACTATTACTCAGCTTCAGTTCGTTATCTAGCAAACTAGATTAAGAATTGATTGATAAACTACCCTACTGACTACTCTACTAATTACAAGTTGGGAACTCACTTAGGTATGATTCCCCCTAGCTCCTCAATTAGGTCCAAGTTGCAATTACCTTTGGTTGATCTACTGTTGATTAAACTGCGGAAGATCCTAAATTAGCTTGGAATCTCTTAAGCTGACCAAGCCCTCTCAGACAGAATACCCGGCAGGCGACTAGCCTTCACCGGGATAGACTGCTAAGGCGATTCACACAGATCTCCACTACTGGAATGAATTCCAGTACAAAGCAGTGAATTGATTGACTCTCGCACAACCAATTCACTACCATCAATCAAGGAAGCTCTCTTAACCTAATCAGATTCTATCTATCATAGGTTAAAGCAGAAATCAAGAGAATTTGATCAAGATCCAATTGACTCAATAAATCATGCCTCAATCGATTATAATCAAACAATAAAGCATCCAAAACTTCATACAAGAAAGATCCTAACTCATGGAACTAGGGTTCCTCAAAACCTAAGTGAAGGGAAGTTACTCCATAGAGAAGAGAGAGACTGCAGAAATCTGATCTAGATCTTCAATCTCCATCTCCAAGCTTGATTCCCGAGCTCCAATGGCGACGAAATCCTCCAAAATAGCTCCAAGAATGTTTCCAAATCGCTCTCTCTCTCTCTAGGGTTCGTCCCTTGGGTGTTTGGGATCCAAAACCCAGCTCTCTCTCTCCTTTGGCTCGAATTTGGGTTAAAAACAGCCATTCCCGACTCGCACGGCCAGGGTGCACGGCCGTGCACATCACCATTCTGGCCGTGCACCTCAAAACGCGGCGTATCAATTAGTTGAACCTCAGCCAACTCGCACGGCCAGAATTGTATGTTGCACGGCCGTGCGGATTTCACTTGTGCCCGTGCGTGCCCACGCACAATCCCGCACGGCCAAACTGGTCACTTGCACGGCCGTGCGTGGCCACGCACAATCCCGTGCGTGCCCACGCACGATCCCGCACGGCCAAACTGGTCACTTGCACGGCCGTGCGGGTTGTGGGTGTGCCCGTGCGACTTCCTCAGAACCTCGCCATGCGTCCGATCCTCGTCCAATCGACCCCAGACTCGCTCCTAAGCCTTCATTCACGTCCTAGGACCTGAAATATCACAAACAAGCACAACCTACCGTGAAATCGGCCTAAAACACGAGAATCAACACCTCAAACGGTGTAAGAATGGGGGTAAAAACATGTGTAAATGACGGTCTATCAGCCGTCCTCATGGTCAGGTCGGACCGGGTCGAGTCAATGTGTATCTAGGGCCACTTAACTTTAAACTCGGATAACAAATTGCCTCACTTGGAGTCAATTCGAAGTAAAATTATACGAGTTTTAAAAAAATTACATTTTGGTGGCAAAATTACATTTGAGTACTTTTATATTTTTTATAGAGCGTTATAGTGCCTAAACTTTACAAACAACTCCAATGTGCTAGTATGAGAAATTTCATATCATTAGTTGTTATGGGTCATATGGCTAAAAAATGACTAGGCCCTTATAGTGCCTAAACTTTACAAACAACTCCAATGTGCTGGTATGAGAAATTTCATATCACTAGTTGTTGTTAATTCGGATAACAAATTGTCTCACTTGGAGTCAATTCGAAGTAAAATTATACGAGTTTTAAAAAAATTACATTTTGGTGGCAAAATTACATTTGAGTACTTTTATATTTTTTATAGAGCATTATAGTGCCTAAACCTTACAAACAACTCCAATGTGCTGGTATGAGAAATTTCATATCATTAGTTGTTATGGGTCATATGGCTAAAAAATGACTAGACCCTTATAGTGCCTAAACTTTACAAACAACTCCAATGTGCTGGTATGAGAAATTTCATATCACTAGTTGTTGTTATGGGTCATATGGCTAAAAAATGACTAGACCCTTACGAGGCCAAAAGATGACCCGACCTTGAACTAATGTTGTAGACAAACTGACTCAGCCGTCCTCATGGTCAGGTCGGACCGGGTCGAGTCAATGTGTATCTAGGGCCAAACTTACAGACAGGGGTGCAAATGAGTCGAATCGAGTCGAGTTTTGACCTAACTTGAACTAGACGTGTTAATAAACAAGTCGATTTCGAGCTTGATTTGTTTACGAAAACCTTGACTTGTACTCGACTCGAGCTCGACTCATCAATTAGCTCGCGAGTTCGGCCCAAGCTCAGGTGTTATATATCATTTAGTTCATAATTTTAATTGTCATATCATGTTATTTATAGTAATTAATATAGGAACAATTTATGATACATAATTTCTCTTAAGTTGTTAGTTGAGGTGACTCGCTACACACCTTGTCGAGCTAGCTCATAACTCAAAACAAGTTAACTCATGAATTAAACTCAACAAGTCACCAAATCGAAGTGGTTAACAAGCCTTGCAGTCGAACTAGACTTAGCTAAAACTTAACTTATCAAATTTCCTGAATCACTCGTAAGGAGTTTGGCTCAGTTATAACCCTAATGTCCTGCATATGCCCCTCTCTCAAATTTATTTCTCCAGTCAATATAAACATAATTCTCGATTTCTCTTAACCGTGGCATGACCATAGCAACTGAGACGCAGATTCTTCTCAAATTTATTCCTCTCTGTCACCGGTCAAATTTTCGTTCTTCCATTCCACAAAAGAATACCAACTACAGTAGCCTCTTTCGTTCATCTTCGTCACCTCAATATATGGTCTCAAACTCCAACAAGGCCCAACTCAATTTGGACTCTTCATTCCGGGCCGCCCTAAGAATGGCAAAAATATATACATTCTGTTATAAAACTAATGGAAATATAAACAACTAAAAGAGAAGATTAGACGGGAAAGACACAAAAGAAGAGAGGGGGAATCAAGGTTCAAGAAGGCGCTAGGCGTAAGGCGGGCGTTCAGGCTCTGCCTAGCGCCTAGCACGCCTTGGCGTAGACTAAGCGTGCCTAGGCGTTGGAAGAAAAATAGTTATTCGCACTGTATGATGAATGAATAATAATCTACAACACTTCCTCACTTCATCTAAAATGATTAATAACTTATTCAACATTTAATGACAAGATCATAGCTCACAAATTCATAGAATCATAGCTCAATAGCTCACAAAGTTCTCGAACTATTGAAAATATTGATATAGAAAATTGATTTCGTAGTTGACGTCAATTTCCTCCTTTAATATTGTCTTCCTAGATCCATGTAGTTATGTTTTAGAGAGACTTAGATGTCTACTTACTCCATGGACGTGTTACAACGGTATCTAACTAGGCGCAAAACCCATAGGCAAGGCGTTTTGTCATTGCCTTGCGCCTAGGCATACCTAAGCGCAAGATTAAGCGTGCCTTTTTGAACCATGGGGGGAATAGAGTTTTCTTATTCATTTTTCACTTTTGATACAATGGTGTGCTCTATTTATAGGCACACTTTGGTAACCACTACATCCTTATATCAATACATATGAATGAGAGATAATGATGCAGGAATAGGGGTTACATGTAGCTCCCAAGTGAGCATCCAATGTGGTAGGTCATTGGTCATCCATATATAAATATTTACATAATACTCCCCCTTGGATGACCACTAGAGTGCATTACGCTATCTTATACTGCCACATTAAAAACCTTACCAGGAAAACTCAGTGGGAAAAACCATGGTTAAGGGAAAAAGGGTGCAGTGCGTATATGCTCCCCCTCAATGACCACATCACTTCAGATCTTTGAGTCGTTAAACTCAAATATCACGAACAACTTTTAGAAAGATTGTTGTCGGGAGTGAGTGAACAATCCAAGTGCAGAGTAACGAGGGGCCTTTTGGTCAATACCATAAGGAGGTTCTACTTATTTCAAGTTCGAAGAAGGAGGCAGACACTATTTGTGTTTCTAATTATTTTTAGTTCCAGGAAAAGGCGGATACATGAGTAATTATTATTATAATCACTGGCATGGACCCGGCCACTTGGCCAGAACGATTAACTATATTATAGGATAAATGATTTTAATTAATATTTTTATTCAGTATTGTCGATCGATATTATTTTATACATAGCATTAATTGATAAAATTAAGTTTTCTAAATCTTAACTTTAGTTTATGAAGTGTTTCTCTGTCACAATATTCAATTATTTAATTTAAACTCTTTGTACTTGGTTCATGTACTCAATCGAGATTCCCATAACTTTATGTTCATATATTTCCACTCTTTGATCTAATTTGATTTCGTTTCATCCAAGTAGAGTGGAAGGCTACTGAAATTATAGATTGAATAAGATCCCCGTTATGCACCTACGCGGCAACAACTAAGATTTTTTGTGCAGATTCTTCTGATAAAATTGAAATAATCAATTAACCAAAGATGCCAAAACATGAAAATGAAACCATAACCATCAAATTTGGTTAATCATTATTACAATCAAATACAAAAACATATTGGGTTAAACCACTTTTTCCAACTACTTCACCTATCGGTATCCAAAAGTTTGAAAATCATAATGGCCAGAAAACCAATTTTATAATAAAAGTAAAAACTAAATAGGAAATTGTTTGAGCCAAGTACCCCCGGCCCACCTCTCCGGACCTCCGACTGATGAACTTCTCCCGGGGCGCCTAGATCCTGCAGAGACAGGCGCCTAAAGTGCTTTGGGATGCCCGTTAGCACTCCAACGCTCAAGTCAGTGCCGAATTTAGAGAGATAAGTGCTCAGAGAGATTTTAGTGAGAGAAGCCAACCTGCTTAAATGCTACCTACCGAGTACTATTTATACTCGTCGAGGCCCCGACCAGGCTCCTAGAATTCAGCTCCACGTCAGCGCGTCATTAAATGCTCGGTACGGCCCAACGGTCGGGCGCCTCCACGTGGCAGCTCCTGGGCTCCCTGCCCCTGGCGCCTGCAGGACCACATAGCCAGGTGGCATGCCCTCAGCCTTCTGGTCCCCGATTTGTACGGTCCCCGCTCCATTCTTGTCGTTATGCGCCTGTGGATCCTCGAATGGGCCTTACTTCTACCTTTCATCCCCATCTCCTTGCACTGAAGCGGACTTGGGCCTAAGCAGCCTCCATGGGCCCCTGTCCCCCAATGGCTCATCTATGCACACACCCAACAATTGGCCCCCAGTTAGGCGCTCATTGCATGCAATGAGCGTCTAACTATTTATGTAATTCCGCTGCCCAAGGCGTTTAATCGACTGCCAGATTATTAGTGCCCTCAACCGCTCGACAGGAGCCTGGTCGCCTTAACTGTTCAGGTCACCTCTTGGCGCTCTCTTGAGTGTTTTCGTGAACAAACATTGCCCCCTGCTCTTGCATCGACTATGGCTCCCTCATCCTTTGTTTTCCTATCCACGATTGAGTATTCATAAGAAGGCGCCTAAACCATCAGGCCAGGCGCCCAAGCTCCTTATTTTGTGAAGTCCATGGCCTGACCTCTAGGCGATCTTTTAAGTGTTTTCGTGAACAAACCTTGTTCCCCCGCTCTTGCATCGACTATGGCTCCCTCATCATTTGTTTTTCTATCCACGATTGAGCATTCATAAGGAGGCTTTAAACCATCAGGTCAGGCGCCCAAGCTCCTTAATTTATGAAGTCCATGGCGTGCCCGTCCCTATATGCCCCCTTCTCTGTGCGTCTTGAAATTTGAATTTGAATTTTTTTTTAAAATTCAAAATTCAAACGGACGGTGAGGATTAGATCTGAGGGTCGGGCATGCATCCCCGTAGTTGCCCGTTGGGTTCCTCCTCATATAAATACCTCGAACCGCCGCCTCCCCTCTTCATTCGCACAAATCCCTTCTCTCTCTAACTTCTCTGTCTTTCCCTCTCTTCGCCGAGCCGCCTGTGCGCCTTCTATCTCCTTCTTGATCCTCACAATGTCAAGCAAATCCTGCTCGGGCGCCCCCTCCACTAACCCGGCCAAGGAGAATCCATCGGAGCCCGACGTTTTACAAGAATTGGAGGGACACTTCTTTCCCGATCCACTCCGCGAGAAGGGCGCCTGGACTTCTCGCACCAAATCTCAGGCGTCTAGTAAGGGTGATGCCCCCTCGACCACTACGCCGCTCAGCTCTCAGAAAACGTCTGCAAATGATACCGCCGACAAGGGTGCGGCGCCTGCCTCCCATCCTCCTGTAAACCCTTCCGGTGATGCGGCGGCGCCTTCAAATCCCAAGCCGAGTAAGTTTTTTTTTTTTTTTTTTTAGGGCCGGCGCCTGTAGTTATTAGGGCTTAGAATTGATTCACCCCCTTTGCGTCGAACCTTATAGGCGCCGCGCCTGGATCTTCGCACTCATCCGGATCGACGATGTCTCCGCAATCTTCCGACTCGGGCGCCGAGGAGGGTGATTCCATCAAACTACTGAGATGGGTGGACACCTGGCCGTCGGAACAGGCGCCTGACGAGACATGCCACTTGTCGGTTCGTGAAGCAGGGCCACGGAAAATTTCGACCGTGAAATCATTGGAGTTAGAAAATCTGGTCGTGTCACTACAACTTCCGCGATCCTGGTCCTATGCGCCTGCCTCCAGTATGGCCAGAGTTGGAGTAGTCGGACCTCGGTGGCTTGGCCTCTACCGGGAGTATTTTCGTTTTGGACTCCGATTTCCCCTCGATTCTATCCTAGAGGGCATACTAACCACTTGTCGATATTCGATTGGGCGTCTGTCACCCTCTGTTTTCCTTATACATATTCTTTTTAAGTTGAAATGTCGTCAGCATAACGTCGAGCCCGCCTTCAACCTTTTCCATTATTTTTTCAACATGGTCTACTCCGATAACTGCCTATCACTGTAGAGGCGCCTGGGTCTTCCCGGCCATTTCTTAATAGATTGTCCCAAGTTAGGGAGGGAGTGGTTTAGGAGTTTCTTCTTCATAAAGGCGCATAAGGATTCCTTTTACGAAAGTGGCGCCTCATTCACCAGAGGTTGGGTGATGGGCAATCATGAGGCATTCAATGTTGATGTGACACTTTCCAATGCCGAGGAGATTGAAGGCTCCAGGCTCATTTCCTTGTACCCAATTAATCTTCGTCCCACATCTTCCCGGGCGCCTGTTCTGCACGAATACTATCGTGATGGTGGGCGCCTATTATGAAGTAGTTTTTTTTCTGACTTGTACATTGATTATTGACGAGCTCGAACCATATTTGTTTGTGCAGGCACCAACTTCACCTCCATGAGCACCCTCATGAAGTCGCGGTTCGCGCAACTCGGGCTGACGGCAAAGCAGGCGCCTACCGCCAAGAAAGGTGGCAAGAAATCCGGTGGAGTCATCAAACCCACCTCCTCGAAGGGCGCCAGCTCAAACCAAACACGGACTGCCCCGGCTGAGATGGAGGTGGCCGCCCCCCTTACTAGCAAAGGGCAGGGGCGCCCAAGCCGAAGGCTGAAATCCCCGAAAAAGATTTAGCCGACCAAAGTGCCAAGCCCCCAGGCGCCGTAGCCTTTAGGAGATCTGCTAGAGACCTGGGATGCACCTCACGCCACCGATCCTGTAGATGTACAGGCGCCTGTGGTTGACCTACTCGCGGGGTCTGATGATCCCGAAGACAACGAGCCTTTATCTATCAGGAAGAAAAGGAAGGCAGAGAGCGCCCAGCAAGACTCGGGTAAACGCATGCGCCAGTCAGGCGAGGCCGAGGTGCCGGAGGGGTTGGAGAAGTGGCTTCAACCTCCGAAGCACAAGGTGAGTATAGCTTGCTCTGAACGGTCGGCTCTGGAACGAGGCGCCGCCCTTCACATGGTTCTGACTGCGGGGGACGTACTCCGGGCGCCCCAGGACTTGGAGAACGCCTATCCTTGGGGTGAGGTGGCGAGGATAAACGCCCATGTAAGTTTTTTTTTGCCTTGTACCTTTTTGCATCAACCTTACAAAACAACACACGCCTGACCATTATCCTCTACACTATGTTTCTTTGTAGATGATGTTGGTGGCGAAGAAGGGAATAATGGAGCGCGAGGCGCTACGCGCCAAGGCCCACGAGGCAACCACCTCGCTCAGTGTGGCCCAGGATAATCTTGCGACGGCTCAGAGGCGCCAAGAGGAGCTCGTCCAGATGTGCAATGAAGCACAACTTGAGGCCGCGAAGAGCGCCTCTCTTGTGCAAATAAAGATTGATGAAAAGAGAGGAAACAGCTGCTGATAAGCCATTAACTGCACATGTTTTTACCCCTATTCTGGAGCCGTTTGAGATGGTAATTCTCGTGTTTTAGGCCAATTTCATGCTAGGTTGTGTTTGTTTGTGATATTTCAGGTCCTAGCAAGTGAATGAAGGTTTAGGAGCGAGTTCGGGGTCGATTGGACGAAGATCGGGCGCGAGGCAAGTCAAAAAAGGAGGCCACACGGGCACACCCACAACTCACACGGCCGTGCAAGTGACCACTTTGGCCGTGTGAGATTGTGCGAGCCTTCACACGGCTTTCCCTGACATCCCACACGGCCGTGTGAAGGAGTGGTTTGGCCGTGTGGGATTATGCGAGAGCAAACACGGGCAGGATGGAAATCCCACACGGCCGTGCAACCCTGGCTGTGTGGGAAGCCTGAAGATCGAACTAATTGATACGTCGCATTTTGACTCACACGGGCAACTGGGTATGCCACACGACCGTGTGGCCCAGCTCGTGTGAGTCGGGAATTCCTGGTTTTAACCCAATTTCGGGCTGCAAGAGAGAGAATCGGACTTTTTGAGCAAAAACAGAGCCCTAGAGAGAGAAAGGACGAAGAACACATTCTAGAAGCTATCTTGGAGCTGGGTTTTATCAAATCAAGCTTGGAGATCGTCATAGGAGTGGAAATCATCATCCTAGAGCAGATTCTTCCCATAAGTATGAGTATGACTGCTTTGTATCTTGTTTTCCTCTCTCTCTCTCTCTCTCTATGGAGTAGAACCCCTCTCTCACTTGGGGATGAAGAACCCTAGTTCTATGTGTTAGGGATTGATTGTAATGACTTGGGATGATATTACTGTTTGATTTTAATCGAATGATGCATGTTTATTGAGTCAATTGAAGTCTGATCAACTTTTCATGATTCCTGCTGCAATCTGAGATAGATAGAATCTGATTAGGTTGCTAGAGTCTCATCATTCGGTAGTATGAGATTGGCTATACGAGAGTTAGCCAGTTTACTGCTTTGTACTGGAATCTAATTCCAGTAGTGGAGTTCTGTTCTTACTGCTTCAGCTTTCTATCCCGGTGAAGACTAGTCGTCTGCCGGGTAGTTAGACTGAGAGGGCTTGGTTAGCTTAAGAGATTCCAAGCTACTGTCGGATCTTCCGCAGTCTAATCAACAGTAAATCAACCCAGGGAAATACAATTGAAACCTAACTAAGGAGCTAGGGGGACTCATTCCCGAGTGACTCTTACCTGCTTGAGAAAACCGTACCAATTCCTGCTTTCTTTCTGCTTTTGTTTTTAAACAACAATCACTTACTTTAGTTGGCTAGATAATAGATAATCACTGAGTAAGCAGTAGATCTAGACCCCGGGTTGATAATATCACTTGTCACTTTACTGCATTCCCGGTCTGCGATTACACTTGGTCGCAGATTGGTGTTGTGTTTTAGAGCATCAAGTTTTTGGCGCCGTTGCCGGGGAACCCTCTAGGTTATTGGGGAAACGTGAGAATTTGTTACTCTAGCTTTTTATTTATTGCATTTTATCTCTTCCACCTGTGTGCCTTCATGGGTTGCTTCTGCTGATTGTGTGCAGGTAGTGCATGACCCGTAGCCTGTCGGGAGATCTACTACCATTAGACCAGGAGCTTGAATGAACCTGCAGAAACTTCAAGCGGGCTCTAAAGGCGCGACTGGCTGTGGAGGAGGCGCTAGCACAGCTACAGATCACTAAAGAAGAGGAGATGGCCGATCCACAGGACCATGATGTGGTCAATCCTGGGGAGCAGACCATGGGTCATTACTGGACCGCCAGGGCTGCAGACATGAGGTCACCCATTCAACACCCTCATGTCCCAGCCAATAATTTCGAGGTGAGCACCTCAGTAATCACCATGCTGCGCGGTTCAGTGGTGTTCCGTGGCAAAGAGGGGGAGTGCCCCCGATCACATCTCAGACGATTCCACGAGCTCATTGATGGAATCAAGATCAATGGGGTCCCCGCAGATGCCATCCAGTTGAGGTACTTCCCGTTCACCCTGGAGGGGCAGGCCAAGGAGTGGCTAGACACTCGACCTCCGGGCTCCATCACCACGTTCGCCAACCTGGCGGACAAGTTCCTTACCCGCTACCATCCTCCGTCGAAGACGGCGGACTTGCAGAAGCAGATCACCCACTTCACCCAGGATGAAGATGAGACTATCCGGGATGCTTGGGAGAGATACAACAGTCTCTTCCTGAGGTGTCCCAATCATGGTTTCAACGATGCTTTCAAGGTGGGAACCTTCTATCATGCCCTCTTCCCAGAAGATAAGCAGCTGATTGACTCAGTTTGTGGCGGGAACATGCTGACTAAAACACCGCCACAGCTGAATCGACTCTTTGAGGAGATGGCAGAGAACGGGTATGATTGGGGCACTGCGAGGAGGTCGAGGAGAGCACCAAGCCGAGGTGTACATTCTGTGGGAAACAATTCCTCTGATTTGGTGCAGGTGGTATCGAAGCTGGTTTCAGCTATCGATCGTTCCGGGATGATTCCAGGGACCGGACAGCAGCAGGCAATGCTCTGCCAGTGGTGCGAGAGCACCCATCATACAGTGGAAGACTGCCAGGCGATGAAGGAATCGACCACACCCTAGGAGCAGGTGAACTTCATCAACAATGTCAGGCGCAATGACCCCTACAGTAACACCTACAATGAGGGGTGGCGCCAGCATCCCAACTTCTCCTGGGGTGGGGCAAATTCCAGACCACTAGTCCCCTAAGGACCACCGGGCTTCCAGAGGCCACCATATCAGCCCAGACAGGGGCCATTCCAGCAGCAACAGTCTCTCTACCAGCCCATGCAGGGGCATGCTGCTCCATCACAGCCGCGACCTTTCCAGCAGCCAGGTGCAGCCCCTGCCGCCCCAGTGCAGAATGATCAGATGGCTGAACTGCGGGAATTGGTGGGTTCTCTCGCCAGTTCTAGTGCTCAAAAATTTAACACTATCGAGCAGTTCATGGAAAAGGCATCGGGTAAATTCCTGGCTCTTGAAGCTGGCCAGAGGAACACACAGGCTGTCTTGCAGGATATCCAAACCCAGCTGGGGAGTGTGGCTCAAGCAGTGGCACAAAGGGCTCCTAGTACTTTACCCGGTCAGACCATCCCTCACCCTCAGAACCCGAATGAGCACTGCAATGCCACCATGACCAAGAGTGGCAAGATGACTGTTGACCCACCTGCTCGGGCACAAGAGAGAGAGGCCTCTGCCTCGGCATCTCCAGCAGCTGAAGAAGAAGCAGAGAAGGAGGTTGAGGTGCCTGCACCTAAACCGCAACCGGTAGTGAAGGAGTATATCCCTAAACTCCCCTTCCCTACTCGGCTGCACAAAGACAGGCTGGAGGCAGAGTTCGAGAGCTTCATGGCCATGCTTAGGAAGCTGAATGTCCAAGTACCTTTCCTAGAGGCACTATCTCAAATGCCTAAGTATGCGAAGTTCCTGAAGGATCTTCTCTCAAAGAAGCAGAAGCTGAGCGAGCTAGCCACTGTGGAGCTCAGCGAGGAGTGCTCGGCCATTCTGCAGAACAAGCTTCAACAGAAGCAGAAGGACCCAGGTAGTTTTACTATCCCGTGCTCTATAGATAATTTGCATGTAGAGAGGTCATTGGCGGATTTAGGTGCTAGTATAAATGTTATGCCATATAAACTGTTTAAGAAACTAGGCCTAGGTGAACCCCGTGCTACTAGGATGAGCCTTCAATTAGCTGACCGATCTGTAGTGCATCCTAGGGGCATAGTGGAAGACCTTCTGGTTAAGGTTGGAAAATTCAATTATCCTATTGATTTTGTGATTTTGGACATAAATGAGGATGTGGATGTGTCATTGATACTGGGAAGGCCTTTCCTGGCCACCGCCAAGGCCCTCATAGATGTGCATGATGGAACCTTAGTTTTGAGGGATGGTGAGGAGCGAATAGCGTTTTCAATTTCTAATACTCGTCCTGCTTCGTCACCTCTGCATGTTGTATCTCACCAGGAGCACGAGTCTGTCGTATATCCTTCTGTGTTGCCTATTTTGCAGGATCCGCCTCCCATACCTTCGCCGCCACTCCCGTCCACTCCGTCATCGAAGGAACAAATCAGGGAGGAGTGGCGGCCGAAACAGCAGGCAGCTAAGCCTGCTCGAAAGAAAGCCGAAGACCACTATGAGCTGGTCCCGCCCCCACCTTGGCCATCCGAGTATTCACTCGCTTGCATCCTGCCGGATGGCCAAGTTGAGTTGGCAAATGCTGGTGGCCACATTCGGCGTGTGCATGGCCACCATTTGAAGCTATACCTCAAGAGCGAGGTGGATCCGCTCTTGAAGGCACCTGCCCCTTCACCTCACTGAGCATCCACCGACTGGCGTCCAGCTAAAAGACAGTAAAGAAGCGCTTGTGGGGAGGCAACCCCACCGAGGTTTGCATTTTCTTACTTTTTTCCTTTTGTTTTTTTTTTTTTGTGTTTTTGAGTCTTGAGATGTTGTTCCAGAGTCGAACGTCGTTTTTGGGTGAAAACAGGTTGAATTAGGGGCTCCAGCAGCTCACACGGCCAGGCCATACTCTCGCACGGCCATGTGGATTTTATCCCCTGGCCGTGTGAGCCCTCGACAAATTCCACACGGCCAAAAGTGCAATTCGCACGACCGTGTGGATTGGCCTGGCCTGGCCGTGTGGCCGACACGGGCAACTCGTCTGGTCGCACGGCCGTGTGAAATTTCCCCCAGGCCGTGTTTGCTCTCGCATAATTTGGCACGGCCAAATGAGCACTCGGCACGGCCGAGTGAAGATTCCTCGGCCAGCCCGTGTCGGCCGACACGGGCAAAAGTGCCCTTGACACGGCCGTGTGAGTCAGGCCGTGTGGCCGAGACTCGGCCTATAAATTCTGCCGACACGGCCGAGTCCTCAGAAAATTCAATTTCACTCGCCGGAAAACCGCGACAAAACCACGCTTTTCGATTTTTTCGGCCATTTTTTGTCATTTTTCCACCAAACCAACAACAAACAAACCCTTCCTACACCAAAAGCGGCCTATCCCTCCATTTTGAGCAGCTTTGGCCGACGTTTTTGTCGCCGGAGGCGATTTCCGGCGAGACTCCGGTGAGGCTCCGACGAGCACTTCCGGGCACTTTTTCGGCTTTTCGTCGCTTCCATCGCCTTCCCCTCATCATCCCCTACACCTCTACTTGAGTCTCTAGGTTTGATTTTGCCCTTAACGATGTTAATTGTGGAGAATTGGGTGTTAGGGTGCATGTTTAGAGAACCTCATTGAATCTTGTGATTTTTGTGCAATTGATTGAGGGGAATGCATGGAGTGTGTTTGAATTGTGTTGGGCAAAGTCCCTCTTGGTTGTTTGAGCCCTTGTGTGCAAGAATTGTGCCAATTTCATGCTTACCTTAATAGTGCACACAAGGTGTTCGATGAAATGCCTGTTTTTCATGCTATGTTGTGGGCACCGGTTGTGGCCCTTATTGATGTGCTTTGAGGGTGTGTTTGCTATGGATGTGAACCTTAAGTTGCCTACTTTATCGTGAATGTGCACCCCCACTCAGATTATGCTTGATTTATCGAGTTTTTGACCCCCGAACTATGGATGAAACCATGGTTAGGCTGTTTTCTGTTCTTAAGTGTGGGGGTGTGATTAACATTTTCCTTGTCTCTTTTGGTTCCACTTTGGGCTGTTCTTTTGCAGGACCATGTCGAAGCCCAACCTCCGGCATCAATATGTTCAAGATTTGAGAAGGGGACCCCACCAGGATCGTTTTAAGAACGTCCTGGCCTGCAAGTTTGGGCAGCATCATTACTGGTCCAAGCGAGAGTTGGAGACGCTGAACTGCTACGAGCACCTCTCCCCCGTTGTCACCAACCGCTACTGGCGCCGCCTACTCAGCATTCGCGAGAAGGTGTACCATGAGCTCATGCTCGAGTTCTACACTACCTTCGAGCACGCAGCCACAGACGATTGGAAGGACGAAAAAGCCGTCCAGTTCTGGCTCGGCGGTGTACCACGATCCATGAGCTACGACGAGCTGGCGAACGCCCTCGGCCTCAACCTGGTCAATGACAGGAACTACCTCACCGAGAGCGCCGAGCCAGCGGGGGTGGACTTCGGGAGGCTATACTACAGCCTCGCTCGGCCACGTCAGCTTCCCTTCAAGGCGGGGAAGACGAAGGCTAGCACATTGCAGCTCGACAACCGCATCCTCCATCACATGCTGGCCAAGTCTTACACCCCATCCTCAGACAGTGCCAGTGCCATCACCAAGAGATCCCTATACTTCATCCAGTCCATGCGCTAGAGGGATCATCCCCTCCACTTGGGCTCGGTGGTGGCGAGGACCTTCGAGAAGAGTGCTTCTGAGCTGAAGAAACTCCACTGCACTCCCCTCATCACCCGCCTGGCAGACCACTTCCAGATATCCCTGCAGGGGTGCACAGAGCAGGGAGAGACCACTCCCTTTGGCAGGTTTACGATCAACAAAATGCAACTGCTTCGGGAAGAGCGAGGTGTCATGTGGATCGAGGGGTTTCCTCAACCTCAGATCCCAGCGGAGGTCCAGCCGGAGGTTCCAGAGGGTGCAGTTGATGAGGAGGTCCAGTCCGAGGACGTGGATGATACTGCTGCCGCCCGCCCCACCACCTTCGAGTACGGGGGTGGCAGTTCCAGCGTCCCCGGCCAGGACTACTTCTCTCAGCAGTTCGAGCAGCTGCGTCTCCAGAATCAGCAGCTCTACGACTGTCAGATGCAGTTTCAGCAGCAGTACTCGGCTCACCATGCCGAGTACCAGACCAGGATGGCAGCGTATGATGAGCTCCTGGACAGGATGGAGACCCAGCAGGGGATAGCTTTGGCGCACATCGAGAGGGAGCAGGCCTGAGCTAGGCGCATGCAGGAGGTCCAGGGGCATCTGCTCCAGCTGCTACCGGGCGAGCAGCCAGTCTGGAGGACTCCCTGGGAGGACTCTCCACTTCCACCTCCCCCAGCTGATGACGACGATGCATTCATGAATGACATCAATCTGGACAACCTCGGCGACGAGTAGGCTGTACTCGTTGCCCATCTCAGTGTGTTTTGTTTTCCGTATTAGACTTTTGTGTGTTTGCTCCATGTGTGAGGAGTTTGAACTTAGTGTCGTTTGTTTTTGTTTTTGGTTTTCTTTTGTGGATTGTTTTTGCTGTAGCCGTCTGGGCTAACACTTATCCCTAACACAACGTGTGCTATTGTGTTCTTGGTGTTCGATTCGTGCAGAACTGTCCATCTTCCCGTTTGTTTCTCACTGACTGGTCCACTTCCAGTCCCCCAGCAGTTTCAATCCGGTAACATCGCTCCCCTTATCTCTCCCTCTACTCCATTGAGGGCAATGTCGTGCTTAAGTGTGGGGGGGGGGGGGGGGGTGCTTTGTATCGGTTGGAATATATATTTGGGTGCTTGTAGCCTAGTCCGCTGTCCGAATCTTACGATTTGAGGGCTCCAAGTACTGCTGTTTGATCATATTGGCACTGTGTTTTGATTGGGGAATTGAATGGTTTTCTGATTGATGCATGACAGCTTGATTGTGACTAGGACAACCTATGATGAGGACTGATACGTGCAGTAGAATTGTGTAGGGGTTCAGTTTTTCAACTGTTTGCTTACCAACTGTGACTTGGATTGATTACTTGTTCTTTACATTGTTCTTACAAAGAAAAATTGAAAGCAAAGAGAGCCACTACCAAAAATCTGAATAATGCCCAGTAAGTAGTGTTTCTTAGCAGTCTGGCTTGGAAATGCTGACATTTATACCTCCTTCGCTCTTGTGCTCTTGAGATATTGAGTAATGCAGAATAGCAGAAAGGAAATACCGGTTTGTTTGACTATGATTGTGTGGGTTTGGAAATGTGGAACCTTGTGCTATGAATACTTCCACCACCTAAAAGGCCTTTTCCCCATGTCCAAGACCCTAGCCAGTCGTTTGAACTTGTGTCTAAGACCTCCTGATTAGTTAGTGGTGACACCCCATATGTGAACTCTAGCATTTAGAGGCTGCCATCATGGTGACGAGATGTTAGGGATTGAGAGATATAACATGCGCATTTTTCGCATCAAATTGTCCTGACCCCACTGGTCGAGAGTGAGTGATTCATTTTTCATATTCTATATACTCTTGTACCCCGGTGAGGACCTAGATTGCTAGGTCTCTATTCTGATGTCTTGAGTTGGATGCATGAGTTAACTGTTTTGAGTAAGTGGTTGAGTCAAGTCTAGGTTGGTTGGTGAACAGAAGGGAGACTCTTCCTTTACTCGATTTTGCTGCACTCGAATGTCCGTTGTGGTGGCTGTCCAGGTTGCTATTGAAGTTAGTCAGGTGTTGATGTTTGAAAACCAGTACGATTCACGTGTTCTGTGCCTTTATGACTTGTCCCCAATGTTGGTTGATTGAAATATGTGAGCTTACCTTGTGTCTGACTTGGTTTGCTTGGGGACAAGCAAACGGTTAAGTGTGGGGGAGTTTGATAAGCCGTTAATTGCACATGTTTTTACCCCTATTCTGGAGCCGTTTGAGATGGTAATTCTCGTGTTTTAGGCCGATTTCACGCTAGGTTGTGTTTGTTTGTGATATTTCAGGTCCTAGCAAGTGAATGAAGGTTTAGGAGCGAGTTCGAGGTCGATTGGACGAAGATCGGGCGCGAGGCAAGTCAAAAAGGAGGCCACACGGGCACACCCACAACTCACACGGCCGTGCAAGTGACCACTTTGGTCGTGTGAGATTGTGCGAGCCTTCACACGGCTTGCCCTGACATCCCACACGGCCGTGTGAAGGAGTGGTTTGGCCGTGTGGGATTATGCGAGAGCAAACACGGGCAGGATGGAAATCCCACACGGGCGTGCGACCCTGGCCGTGTGGGAAGCCTGAAGATCGAACTAATTGATACGCCGCGTTTTGACTCACACGGGCAACTGGGTATGCCACACGGCCGTGTGGCCCAGCCCGTGTGAGTAGGGAATTCCTGGTTTTAACCCAATTTCGGGCTGCAAGAGAGAGAATCGGACTTTTTGAGCAAAAAACAGAGCCCTAGAGAGAGAAAGGACGAAGAACACATCCTAGAAGCTATCTTGGAGCTGGGTTTCATCAAATCAAGCTTGGAGATCGTCATAGGAGTGGAAATCATCATCCCAGAGCAGATTCTTCCCAAAAGTATGAGTATGACTGCTTTGTATCTTGTTTTCCTCTCTCTCTCTCTCTCTATGGAGTAGAACCCCTCTCTCACTTGGGGATGAAGAACCCTAGTTCTATGTGTTAAGGATTGATTGTAATGACTTGGGATGATAATACTGTTTGATTTTAATCGAATGATGCATGTTTATTGAGTCAATTGAAGTCTGATCAACTTTTCATGATTCCTGCTGCAATCTGAGATAGATAGAATCTGATTAGGTTGCTAGAGTCTCATCATTCGGTAGTAGGAGATTGGCTATACGAGAGTTAGCCAGTTTACTGCTTTGTACTGGAATCTAATTCCAGTAGTGGAGTTCTGTTCTTACTGCTTCAGCTTTCTATCCCGGTGAAGACTAGTCGTCTGCCGGGTAGTTAGACTGAGAGGGCTTGGTCAGCTTAAGAGATTCCAAGCTACTGTCGGATCTTCCGCAGTCTAATCAACAGTAAATCAACCCAGGGAAATACAATTGAAACCTAACTAAGGAGCTAGGGGGACTCATTCCCGAGTGACTCTTACCTGCTTGAGAAAACCGTACCAATTCCTGCTTTCTTTCTGCTTTTGTTTTTAAACAACAATCACTTACTTTAGTTGGCTAGATAATAGATAATCACTGAGTAAGCAGTAGATATAGACCCCGGGTTGATAATATCACTTGTCACTTTACTGCATTCCCGGTCTGTGATTACACTTGGTCGCAGATTGGTGTTGTGTTTTAGAGCATCAGCTGCGTGAAGAATATGAGGCGCATCTCGAAGATGAGAAGAGGGCGCACGCGAAGTCAAAAGTTAAGCTGGAGAAGGAGAAAGTTGAGCTGGAAAATGAGGCAGGCGCCCTGAGGAGCGAGATGGACATTCTTAAGGAAGAGAAGGGCGCCCTGAAGAAGGAGAATAAGCACTTGGGCAGGGAGAATAAGAAGCACTTGAGTGCGATTCAGGCGCTTAAGGAGGAGAAGCAGGCACTCGAGACGGAGAAGCAGGCGCTCGAGATAGAGAAGGAAGTGCTGGAGGCCCAATCCGCGGATTTCGCGAAGTCGAGTGCTGGCCAGGCGCTCAAGGCTGATGCTGCTCTGAACAACATTCTGCTTTTGCGGAGGAAGCTCGCCTCAGATCATCCCGACCTCAACTGGGACCTTCAGTCCATGGTGAGTTTCGTCATCTCCCATATAGACGAGGCGCCTGCAGAAGACGAGGCGCCTGCAGAAGACGAGGCGCCTGCTGATGGCGACAGAGATGAAGATTAGGGCAATGGTGATTCTCCTTCCGACTCCGATAATGAGGCGCCTGCGGGGTAGTGCCCAAGACTTGTATTTTTTAATAACCCAATTATGTGTTAATCTTTTTCCAATGCAATGGTCGTGGGCGCCTGATAAACAATTCCCTTGCCTTGACTTTTGGTTATGCCTTGTTTAGGCGCCTTCAGATCGACTGTTTATGGACTATTTTCTTTTGATTGGCGCCTGTTTATGCAAACTTTCATAAATTTTCATACCTTTGTCTGGCTATGTTAGGCACCTGATGCGCATACGTGTTGCCTGACTGACAAACTATTTTCTACCTTATATCTTTGAGGCGAACAACAAATAATTCTGCATGCCCCTAGTCTTGCGCTTGTACCATTAATTTCAAGGGTGCAAGCGGGTGGGCGCTATGTTGGGCGCAATGTATTGGGCGCAAATGTATGGGCGCTATATTGGGCGCAATGGGGTATTCCGATGCCAAATTTCGTAGATAATAATTAATCCGATTTTGGAAAATGGGCGCAAAATCTGGGCGCTTTACATGGAGCGGGCGCAAGTGGGGCGCTTTACAAAATTACGGGCGCAAAAAGGGCGCTTGTGACAACTCAACAGAAACCTACTAATCAAAACAAGCCCTCCCCAGAAACGCCTTTCTACTTGCTTTCAGATAGGCGCCTGAATGTAACACCCCATCGACTATGGCACAACGAGCTGCCTTTCGTCGCAAGCGCCATGCTTCTTTCGGGTCCTCTGGCACCACTCCTTGGGTGAGAAAAAGCCATATTGGAGCAATCCATCCTTCCCTTTCTCCTGCCGCGAGAGATGCCATTACCATCTCCTCATGTGGCACATCCTTCGTTACGATCACCGTCCGACTTTCCTCAAAGTCCATAGCCGTTGCTAACTTGGCAAGGCATCTGCATGGGCATTCTCCTCTCTTTGAACGTGTGTGAATGTCACGTCACGGAACCAGGGGCACTTTCTGCGGACGGCATGCACATAAGCTCCTAGCGTTTCTTCCTTCACTTCATATACCTCATTCAACTGGTTAACCACCAACGCCGAGTCGGTTTTGACATTCACTTTCTGGGCGCCTAGCTCTCTTGCAAAGTGAAGCCGCGCAAGGACGGCTTCTCTGCGGCGTTGTTTGTTTTAAGGGTTGCGAACCGTAATGCCACCTCATGCAAGGCGCCTAGCAGACTGATGAGGACTATACCAGCCCCCGCTCCTGCCCTGATTGCCGCTCCGTCGACATGTACCTGCCAACATTCCTCCACGCTGGCTCCCCCATCAGCTACGCCTTCAGCCGTAAAATCTGCCAATACCTCAGCTTTGATAGCTGGTCGGGGCGCATAGTGTATGTCAAACTCGCTGAGTTGCACGACCCACTTCACCACGCGCCCGGACACATCCATTGATCCCAGTACCGTCTTGAGGGGAAGATTTGTGAGCACCACGATACGATGAGCCTGAAAGTAGGGCCAGAGTTTGTTTGCTGCCATTACTACCGCCAACGCCGCTTTCTCTATAGGCGCATACTTCGTCTCATGACCCACCATGGTGCGGCTCACATAATACACCGGTTTCTCTTCACTTATCAATGGATCTTTGGATATGAGAACCGCACTCACAGCGATGTGAGACACGGCTATGTACAAGTATAGCACCTCCATAGCCTTGGGTGCCGTCATTACCGTGGGCGCCGTGAGCAGCTTCTTCAAATCTTCGAAAGCCTCGTTACACTCATTGGTCCACTTGAATTTGTTAGATTTTTTCAAAACTTTGAAAAAGGGGGCGCCCCTGTCGGAGGATCTTGGGATGAAACGCCCCAGCGCTGCCAGTCTCCCCGTCAATACTTGTACCTCCTTATGCGTCCGTGGGGGACCCAAACTCATTATGGCCTCGACTTGCTTGGGGTTAGCCTCAATTCCCCGCCTTGTTATCATGAACCCCAAGAATTTCCCGGCCTCGGCCAAGAACACACACTTCTTGGGATTAAGCCTTAACCGAAAGTGCCGCATTGTCTCGAAAGTTTCTCGTAAGTCCATGATGTGGTCTTGGTGCCTGCTACTCTTTACAATCAAATCATCCACATATGCTTCCACATTCCTTCCTATTTGTTTGCGGAAAACTTGGTTCAACATGCGCTGATATGTTGCCCCGGCGTTCTTCAACCCAAACGCCATCACTCTATAACAGAAGTTTCCGAAAGGTGTCATGAAAGCCGTCTTTGCCATTTCTTCCTCTGCCATAGGTATCTGATGGTATCCTGAGAACATATCGAGGAAAATAAGCGCCTCATGGTAAGCTGTTGCGTCCACAAGCAGGTCAATGCGCGGCATGGGGTATGCGTCTGTGGGGCATGCTCGGTTAAGGTTGGTGAAGTCCACACACATCCTCCAATCTCCCGACGATTTCGGGACAAACACCACGTTGGAAAGCCATGTGATGTACCTTGCTTCCTCCACAAATCCCGCCTCGAGCAATCTATCGACTTCTCGGCGAAGTGCCTCCTCCTTCTCTTGGGACAGATTTCGGCGCTTCTGTTGAACAGTCCTTTTTCCTTCCTCCACAGCGAGCCGGTGCACTGCTACCTCAGGAGACACTCCGGGCATGTCCTGGGCGCCCCACGCAAACAACTCCCCAAACTCTCGCAACAATTCGATTAAAGGCGCCCTCATCACTTCAGGAGCCTGCTCTGATACCTGCACTTGTCTCTCTGGGCGCCCCTCATCCAAGGCCACCACAAGCTCATCATCCACGGACTCCGCCCTAGGCGCTTCCTCAAAGCGAACATCGATAGTGTTGACTCTGTGCTTACGGACGCGGCTCCTTGGGTCCTCTTCTCGCGCATACTGTGGAACATTCCTTCCTCGGGAGATGCCAATGCCCTGGGGCGCTACAAATTTCAGCATTTGGTGACAAGTGGATGCTACCCCATTGAATTGTGCTAGGAGTGGTCGACCAAGTATCACGTTATATGGCGAAGGACAATCCACAATCCCGAACTCTACCGAATGCATCACACAATGCGTTTCATCACCGAGGGTCACGGGCAGGCGCACGCGTCCGATGACTTGGGCTGGCGCTCCCGAGAACCCAATCAACACAGAACTCGAGGGGCGCACTAGCTCAGGCGCTAGCTGCATGCGCTCGAACGTGCTTTTGAAGAGGACATCCATCGAACTGCCGGTGTCCACCAACATTCTTTTCACCTTACACCCTGCTATCACCCCTTGTATCTCCAAGGCCTCTTCCGATGGGACTTGGCATGCTTCATCCGGTTCTTGATTGAAGTGGATGTGCACCGCTGCCCTGGCCTCCAACGATGCGGACCTCAGGCGCCTTGTTCTCTCCAACTTCTCCCTCAAATCGAGTGTGCCGGTTATGGATTCGACCGTTAGCCTGATGCGACTAGGCTCCCCTTCTTGGTCAACTTCAAACGGGGGCGGCGGTATCACAGGCTCCTGGTGGGTCTTCCCTTCTTGGTCAACTTCAAACGGGGGCGGCGGTATCACAGGCTCCCGCTGGGTCTTCGGTTCTTCGGCTCTTCGGGCGCCTTTTGGATCATCGGCGCCACAGGCGCCGGCCTGGCCACATAAGTTCGATGGGTCCTGTCCTCCACTCTTCTCACGAAGTCGTTGAGCATGGCCTTGTCGGCTAAAGTCTGAAGTTCGGCCTTAAGTTGGTAGCAGTCAGCCGTATAGTGCCCCTTGTCGCGATGGAAGTCATAGTATCTGTCAAGATTTTTCTCGTTTGGTTGGCCGCGCATGGGCCACGGCCACCGTATATGGTAGCCACTGTCCTTCACACATTGTAGCACATTTTTGAGGGTATCATTGTACTCCGTAAAATTTGCAGCACTCCTTGGCACAGGGCGCGACGCCTCTGGCCTCCTTTGCGGACCAAAATTTCCAGACATGGGTCTGGGCGCCTGCCTTGCCTCCACTTCATCACCCCTTAGGCGCCTTTTCTCGGCCCTTCGTGCAGCCAACGTTTCCTCCAACATGATCACCTTCTGCACTCTCCGGTCCAATTCTTCGGTGGACACCACATCTTGCTTAGAAAAGACTCGGCAGAGTTCTTTGCTGGATGTGCATGCATCCAGGCAAACTCCTAATACTGCTGGTTGGACATCCTTGACTGCCATGGCGACTGAGATCCACCGATCGTAGAATTCCCTAAGCGCCTCCCCTTCCCTCTGCCTCACTTTGAACAGTGTGCCTATGGTCAACGTTCGGCGCTTCCGACTTGCGAACTTGGACAAGAATAACTCAGCGAACTGCTCAAAACACTCTATGCGCCCCTCCTCGATTTGATGGTACCAATCCAAGACCACACTCGCAAACGTGGATGGAAAGACCTTACATAACGTGGCGTCCGAGCTGTTGTAAAGTTGCATCTTCGTGAAGTAGCTATTCAGATGATCCTCTGGGTCGGCCACCCCATCGTAACTGGGTAACAGAGGAATCGTCGTTCCCGCCGGTTCCATCAGGATGCTTCGTGCCAGGGGTTGACGAACGCCGAACCGCCTGGCAATCCTCCTAGGCGCCCATACGTCATCAGGTCTCGTCTGCGTGTGCTCGGCGGGCAGTCTACAGGCGCACGGACGCCCATGCATATCGTGTCCCTGCTCGGTGTGGTGCGGAAGTCCGTGTTGCTGTGACTCCGAGTCTTCCCCCGCCCTTTCTCGCTTTCTCAATCCGGGGCTGTACATCATCATGTCTTCACTTCGCTCCCCCTCCAACTCCCTCCTGAGCGCCGCTATGGCCCGATCTTGGTCAGCTATGATTCGGAACAGCTCTCTCTTCGTCAAGGATTCCCCCTCATCCGCTGACAGGCGCCCAGGGCTCCCTTGCTCCTCCACGTCCATGCTCAACTCATGACTCCGCTGACGCTTGCCCTCCTTGTGATTCGAGTTCCCCGATTTTGAATTATCCTCCCCCTCATTTGCTTCGTTCATGTTTTCCATGCGCCCCCTTCCTGGCGCGCCAATTGTTTGAGCGAAGTACCCTCCGGGCCCACCTCTCCGGAACTCCGACTGATGAACTTCTCCCGTGGCGCCTAGATCCTGCAGAGATAGGCGCCTAAAGGGCTTTGGGATGCCCGTTAGCACTCCAACGCTCAAGTCAGTGCCGAATTTAGAGAGATAAGTGCTTAGAGAGATTTTAGTGAGAGAAGCCAACCTGCTTAAATGCTACCTACCGAGTACTATTTATACTCGTCGAGGCCCCGACCAGGCTCCTAGAATTCAGCTCCACGTCAGCGCGTCATTAAATGCTCGGTACGGCCCAACAGTCGGGCGCCTCCACGTGGCAGCTCCTGGGCTCCCTGCCCCTGGCACCTGCATGACCACATAGCTAGGTGGCATGCCCTCAGCCTTCTAGTCCCCGCTCCATTCTTGTCGTTATGCGCCTGTGGATCCTCGAATGGGCCTTACTTCAACCTTTCATCCCCATCACCTTGCACTGAAGCGGGCTTGGGCCTAACCAGCCTCCATGGACCCCTGTCCCCCAATGGCTCATCTATGCACACACCCAACAGAAATCAACATTGAAAGAAGAAATTATCTTCCTTTAATACCTGGTAAGGGACTCGAACTCTTGTAATTAAAAGGTATAAATTGTTCTCCATATATGAAGTTTGGAAACATGAATAGGTCTCATGATTTCCATGCCCATAAAAGAATTGCGAGCTCACAAAAAATAAATATATAATAAGGTTGTTTGAATAGTTCAGGACACAAATAACACCTTCTCGATAATACGAGTTTCTAGTGGTGTTAGCCTCTAAATTAACCATAAATTCCCACATACTTATAACAATTATTTAGCTTATATATTCTCAACGCCTATGATAATTAATACAATAAGAGAAAGGGTCCAAAGGAATCAATTGGCCGAATATACTTACAACAATGTTGAAGATTTGATGCAAATTAATTGAACTTGATATCTTTAATTGACCTTAAAAGCAAAGAAAATAATTACTAAGCCACACGTGATGCAATAATCTAATTATACATTCACATATACATAACTAAATTAAAGCTAATAAAAATTCTAAAAAAGCCTTTTTCTTAGATTGAAGAGTTTTTTTTAGCTCCGGGAAACTCAGAGCATGGGAAAAAACCAGCCATTATGAATTAGGTTCGCCGATCGTATGTCGGCGGGATCCCTGACGCTGGATGAGGCCTCTCCCCCTGTTGATTCGGTTGTGGGACAACGTCGTCCACCATCACCTACATCATCTCCAAACCCTAAAGGGGAAAAGGAGGCGCAGCAAAGCAAGAGGAGAGTGAGACCGACGGTCGCAGCCTTCCCGGAGGTTGTTGTGTCAGACGAGGTACGGGAGGATGCGGACACTGCCACAAGAGATGGAGCAAAGCCGAACATCCCCCGACAACGGGCGCTGCTCGCCGGCTTTTTGGGGATATGGCACAAATAGATATATGATACGTAGCTGATTCCGACTCAGAGGATGTGGCTGCTGCAATCCTAGAGGATTCGAGGGACGCAAGTCGGGACGACGATGAGGACCCTTTGTGCCCGCCGATCCATTTTTCGGCAGCGAAGGAGCGCCAATATTGCCGCGAGTGGAGATCTGCATTGGGTTGTCAAGGTCTTAGGGAACACCTCGTTGTATACAGTAATATCCAAGAGACTGAATAGTATGTGGGCTCGAGCTGGCACAATCCAAGTGTCTTCAGCAAAAAATGGCTATTACATTGTGCAATTCACAAGTGGGATTGATATGAGAGAGCGTTGACAGGAGGTCCATGGATGATGGGAGAACACTACCTAACGGTTCATACTTGGGACACAATTTTCAATCTGTACAACCATGAGATCTCGTCAACGCTGGTCTAGGCGAGGATGTTGGACTTCCCTGTGCATTATTTCCACGTGGATGCATTCATGAAGATAGGGAAACCTATGCGGGTGAACCAAGCCACTCGAACGGGGACTCACTTGGATTATGCTCGAGTTTGTGTTCAAGTGGACCTAACACCACCGTTGGTGTCAAAATTCAAGATTAATGGGATCAAGTATTTCATCCAATATGAGGGGCTTGAGAAGATTTGCCTCAAGTGTGGGAAATATTTTGATCGAACATCATGTATATGCAATGTCCCACAGGAGGCGATGGAAACTGATCATACCCCGCCAGTGGAGAACCCACAACTAAAAGAGACGGAAGCTCCATATGGAGAATGGATGATCACCAAACGGAAGCCGCGATCGAACAAAAGAGAAACCCAAGTTCAATCAAGCAAAAGAGGAGCTAGCTCGTCCCAAAAGACTAATACCCAACAGTTGGGATCTCATTTTCCCATGCTGCATGGCAAGGAGGAAATAAGAAATACATCCCATGCATGCACGACAACCAAGGAGGGGGTAAGGGGAAGACTACGCGGGAGGGATCCCCAAGATTGGGGAAAAGCAGGTTCAGTCAAGTGAATGGGAAGCTGCGAGATCACAACCACTGAAGCAAACAACAGTGATAGCTACCGCGCCCACCTGCAGTGAGCAACAAGAAAAAAGTGTGAGTACACAGCTGTTGGAGACTCAAGTGACGCAACAACCCATGAGATCCCCAGCCGAGGCTATGCCCGAGGCTTCCCCTATGGATACAGGATTAGAGCACGAGGTTCCCACGAATCCTACCCAACTGGATGCGTATAACCAAACACTTCAGTCAGTAGCACAGGGACGACCCCCCAAGCCATGATCATGATCCAGCCCTGCTGCGCGATGAACGTGGACAAGTGACGACGCGATCAACAGTATTGGGGAGTTTGGGAGATGCCTCCATCCCCAACAGTGAACCCGGGGAGTTTTCTTACCTTACCCAAATCTCTTTTAAATTAATTTCAAAATATTTGTTTGGAATTGTAGGGGTGCGGGTGGTAGATGCTTTGTTTGTGTTTTTAATGAGTATAAGAGAAGGCATAGGCCTCATATAGTAGTCATCGTTGAACCACGCACTAGTGGGGATACAATTACGGATGTGATTGAGCAATTAGGTTACGATAAGAAGTTATTTGTTGATGCTACGGGGTTTTTGAGGGTAATTTGGGTTCTCTGGAACTCAGCTGATCTCACTATCACGGAAGTAAAACTTCACCGCCAGTTTATTCATGTGTAGGTCGAACATCCGTGGGCTCGTGCTAACAAGTGGCTCCTCACGATAGTTTATGTGAACCCAGCTCCCATGCAACATCGGGAGCTATGGGAGGAAATCATACAACTTTTCGGTCGACCAGGATAAGCCATGGCCGCTAGCAAGAGACTTCAACTCCATTCTGCGTTCGACAGAGAAGTTGGGTGGTGCAACTTTCGACGCGGGTCGCATTCGCGATTTTCAAGATTGTGTTCATGATTCCCGGTTGCTTGACTTGGGTATTAGAGTATGGGTAGTACGAGTAGTATTATGTTATACTACGAGTACTGTTATGTAATTGAGAAGTGTTATATTCCTAATCAGAGTCGTAGAAATTAGATAATTACCGTATTAGTGTTAGGGTTATTATAGAAGTCTGTCTCTGTACTCTATATAAACCTTTGTGGTACTCTATATAAACCTTTGTGGTATTAGTAATAATACCAAGAGTTTCCACCATATTTTCGATTTCCCAACATGGTATCAGAGCCTGGTTAAAAACCTAATCGAAAAACCCTAAGCTTTCTTTTCTTCTCCGTCCGCCACCCACCATGAGTCCCAAATCGCTCGGAATTTAGTTCTTTCCGTTCCCTGCTTGTTCCTTTGTTGCTCCAATTATCATTAGTACTTCTCTTCCTTTGTTAGCTTTATTGGGAAATAAAACAAAACCCATGGTTTTGTCGTGTCAACTTTTGTTGCAGCCAAAATGCCATATCCGCCTCGAGTTGTAGAGACCATGTGTAATTGCTTCCGCGTTCCATTGTCCTGGAGTTTGGTTGATTTATCAAGTTCCCATTGTTCTTGTTGGTTGAATGAAAGAACTCGATGTTGCTTCTGTTTTATGTTCGGCTTGGGAAGAAAGGAGTCGCCAATAATCCAACAACTTCCTCCTTTTGGTGTTTCCGTCAGTAAGTCTCTCCCGATATGCCTTCGTGACTTGTCCTTCAAGAAATTTGGAATCTTGTTATCGTTCTATTTTATGGTGTTGTTCGGAACACCTTGGTTAAAGATGTTGAACGGAACATCTCTGTTTGATAAATGTTGTCCGGAGCATGTTTGGTATGTTTCTCCGTTTCGATGATGCTATTCAGAGCATCCTGATCGCCATGTTGCTGTTAGGAGCATGTGGTTATGTTTTCGTTTCGATGATGCTATTCGGAGCATCTTTGGTTTGTTTTCATGATAGTGAATTTCTGAAGCATCTATGCAGGAAAAGTATGAGAAGGCAGTTTTGGCAAGAGATCTCGTTACATCCAGTTCATCACTATCAACGTCTTCGTGAGGAGTGGTTTTCTTCGACATCGACGTGGAGTTTGTGATTTGTAGTAGTTATCAATGTCTTTGTTATAGTTTTTTATTTTCTTTTTGTGTTAGTTTTGTCTCAATTTTCAAATTGTTGGTAAGTAATTACCATCAATTTTGGGAGGGTATTAGAGAATGGGTAGTACGAGTAGTATTATGTTATACTACGAGTACTGTTATGTAATTGAACAGTGTTATATTCATAATCAGAGTCGTAGAAATTAGATAATTATCGTATTAGTCAATGTTGTCACAACCGAACGGAGCATGACCTGGTAACGTGAATGGCTCGAACTTTAGCGGTCCAACCAGTATTAGACCGTTAAAAAATTGTTAGAGAACTGGTATCTTATAAACGATAATATCATAAGTAGAAGATATATAAGGTAGTAACTTAACAATTTAATGACTAAAAACAAATTTACCTTTTTAGGTATCAAGTAGTAATTTTTTATATTATATAATTACCCCTTAAAGGGAAAAACCCTAACCCAATTCAGCGCCACCCAACTCTTCTTCTTCTTCTTCTTCTTCTTTCCGAGAACCCCCGCCGCCCCAACTCTTCTTCTTCCTTCTTCTTTCTTCCGAGAACCCCCTCCTCTGCTGCTCCAAACTCAACATTGAGGAAGAGCGTCGGCGGCTCCACACGATGGGCAAAAGCCCCAACAATCGTCGAAGCACGGGCGGACAACGAGAAGCTGAAGGCGAGATCGGCAGCGAGCTTGCCTCCTCGTCACGGGATAGATCTCTCGCCGGAGAACGAGTTGCAGGGAGGCCGCCTGAGAGGGACTCGCAGAGGAAGGAGGAATCGGATGACAGGAAGTCGTCGTTGCACCGAGCCGATCAACCCAACATTCTTATTTTTTTTAATAGCAACGGACCGGTTTGGTGTCAAAAATCGGTTGGGCGGTTTGAGCGGCTCGAACGGTTACCGTTCCGGCCGCTCACAGACCGTTCTTTCCAGCCGCTCCGATTAATTGACTCTACCGAGCCGGGCTGGTGGTCGGGTGACGGTTTTACCGGTCCGACCTGCTCGACTCGGTCTTAATAACACTTGTATTAGTGTTAGGGTTATTATAGAAGTCTGTCTCTGTACTCTATATAAACCTTTGTTGTACTCTATATAAACCTTTGTGGTATTAGTAATAATACACAAGAGTTTCCACCGTATTTTCGATTTCCCAACATTGGGTTACAGTGACCCTCCGTTCACTTGGCTAACAACTTGTGGCTAGAGGAGAACCCAGATACTGTGATCCGACATCTCCCTCGTGTGAAGTCAGATCGTAGACCCATTCTGATATCGACGTGTCCCACACATCTTCCCGCGAGAGGAAAACCGTGATGGTTCTTAGCAGCTTGGTTAACACATGAGCAATTTAAACCCATGCTACAGACGACCTGGGCAAAGGGGACATCGTTTATACCATCTGTAGAAGCGTTCTTGAGGGACGCGAGACACTGGAATCACCATGTGTTTGGGCACATCCAGCGGAAGAAGGACGAGTTATAAGAAGGTTGGAGTGGCTAGAGCAAAGGAATGGAAATATGACCATGTCACCGCAGCTGGAGCGAACGAGGGAAGAGCTGGAAAACAATATTATTTCAGGAAGAACTGCTCTGGTGTCAAAAATTGAGACTCAAATGGACAGCTTCGGGGGACCGCAACACCTCCTATTTGCACTCGAGAACTCTTCCAAGACGGAAACGCAATAGGATTGTGGCACTAAAAAATCAGAATGGGGAATGGGGAGAGAATGAAGAGGAGCTCCAATTGTTGGCCAAGTTGTTCTTCTTGGACTTGTACATGGATAAGAACACGGATTTCCAACCCTTGGAACGTGCCTTCCTAGTCTTGGGCGAGGCGCAGTGGCAGCCCCTAATGCTGGAACCGACACCAGAAGAAATCCATGCAGCAATTCAGTCGATGGGAGTGATGAAAGCACCAGGGATCAACGGGTTGAATCCCCTCTTCTTCCAAAAATGTTGGGCCACGGTAGGGGGGTCTTTGGCAGAGCTGGCGAATAAATGTTGGGAGGACCCGAGCAAGGTCAAAGAGATCAATTCCACGATCTTAGTGTTGATTCCCAAGATCCCAACCCCGACTCTCATTAAGCAATTTCGCCTATCAATCTATGTAACATGGAGTACAAGGCTATAACCAAGTGCCTAGTGGAGCGTCTGAAGCCTCTGATGCCTAGCCTAGTCCATGAGACCCAGACGAGATTTGTGCTGGGACGCCATATTACTGACAATATTTGAATTTGCAGGAGGTTGTTCATTCCATGTGGGCCAAGCAGGGCCGACGGGGTTGGATGGTTCTCAAAGTGGACTTGGCCAAAGCCTACGATCGTATAAGATGGGGTTTTGTGCGAGATACTCTGGAAGCTGTGGGTGCCCCACCTGGTTTCATTGAGGTCACCATGGCGTGTATTACGCCTGCAAGCATGCAAATCCAGTGGAATGAAGGACTGACCAGCGCATTCCTCCCGTCCCGAGGACTGAGACAGGGGTGTCCTATTTCACCATACATCTTTACCTTATACATGGAGAGGTTAGGGCACTTAATAAATGAATCGGTAAGGGCTGGGTCATGGCAACCGATCAAGCTTACTAGCTCGGGCCCAACTCTCTCACTTTTATTTTTTGCATATGACATTATTTTGTTTGGTGAAGCCTCGACCCAGCAAGTGCAAGCTATCCTGCAATGATTTGAGAGATTTGGAGCAGCTTCGGGTCAGAGAATTAGCAAACCAAAGTCCATAATATACTTCTCTAAGAACGTGATCACAAAGAAGAGGCAAGAGCTTAGCACAAAATTGGAGATCCCGCAGACTAAGAACTTGGGGCGCTACTTCGAGGTTTTGGTAATCCACGATATAGTATCCAAGGCCACCTACAACGCCCTTATTGATAAGGTGGACTCACGTATTGCATGATGGAAAGTGGATAAACTGAGTCTGGCAGGACGAATAACTCTATCACATTCAGTTCTAGCTTCACTCTCATCATACACGACGCAGACTTCGTTCCTTCCAGCAAGTGTGCGCGCTTACATTGATAAGAAGATTCGTGCTTTCATTTGGGGAATCACGGAGGGCAGTAGGAACGTACACTTGGTGGATTGGGAAACTGTATGTCGACGAAAGAAGAAGGCGGTTTGGGACTCAAGACGGCAACTTGTTCCAACCAAGCTTATATGCTCAAGTTTTCTTGGTGGTTGGTAACGGAGCCAAAGATTTGTGGGCACGGGTAGTCTTGAACAAGTATATGCGGAGAACTGATGCAGGTCTTGTCCCTCGGAGTAGTGGCCATTTGTCGAACCTGTGGCGCAGTGTCCTCCGGGTTTGGCACAAGATCGAGGAGGCAACTGTTTGGAATGTCCGAAATGGACGACAGACACGTTTCTGGAGTGACTGATGGCTTACAGAGGGAGAGCCTTTGGTGACCTTTTCCCTCGCAGTACCGACGGAAGACCTTGAGCTACCAGTGACGGACTTTGTTTTAAATAGTGAGTGGAATCATGTATATCTCAATCCTTATTTACCCCATGATGTGGTTGCGCAGGTGCTGCTCCACCCGGTGCCCCTGGAAAGCGATGAGGACGTCCGGTGTTGGAGGTTGTCGGCGGATAATGCATTCACTTTAAGTTCGGCGTAAGAGATCACCGGAGAGGCAGAACCAGCACAGCTTCACCACCACCCGAGATGGAGAGCTATATGGCGGATTCCAACCATACAACGAACCATAACGTTCTTATGGCTAGCGATGCACTAGTATTAGAGATACAATGTACTAAATTGTAAGAAATGAAACTCTACATAGATAGATTGTAATTAGGATAGGTACTGTTATGTAATTTGACTAGGTTAGTTAGTTGTTTCCTACTTATCAGGAGAACAGAGTATAAAACCAGAAACTCCAGCTGGTTCATGTACGTTTTTCTTTCCAATCAATGAAAGCAAGAAGCATTAATCAGAAATCTGACATGGTATCAGAGCTCCTCTGAGCGTTTTTCTGCGACTCTCTTTCTCGCTTCCGCATCTCTCTTTCTTCTTCTGAGTTGTTCTTGAGTTCGTTCATCAATGGCGATTCACGATTCTTCTTCTTCCGGCGACGAAGCCACAAATCCTCACACTGGAGGTCGCCAGAGCAATTCTGGTGTGATCTTGTACAAAGGCGTCTCGATCTCTGATCCCGCCTCTCCATTCTTCATTCATCCATCGGAGAATTGGGGTCAATGTCTAGTTTCTCAGCTGCTTACTGAGAACAACTTCTCCAGCTGGGAAAGGTCGATGGTTCTAGTTATCGACGGCAAGAACAAATTAGGGTTCCTCAATGGCAAAATCCCGCAGCCTGATGATGATTCTCCACTGCTCGAGCCTTGGAATCGCAACAACAAACTGCTCCTCAGCTGGATTCAGCGTTCTGTTAATCCAACGATTGCAGAGAGTATCCTGTATGTCACTACCGCCATTGGTGCCTGGACTGAGCTGCGTGAGCAATTCTCGCAGGGAGATTCTTTTCGCATAGCCGACCTTCAAGAAGCTATCTTCAATCTCAAACAAGGTACCATGAGCATCTCTCAGTACTATTCTAAGCAAAGAGCATTATGGGATCAGCTGGCAAACTATCGCTTTATTCCGGATTGTGATTGTGGACTCACTTGTCACTGTGTTCTAGCTTCTTTAAGGAAAGACTATATGAATGACAAAGTGATTAGATTTCTGCACAACCTGAATGATAGTTTCAATGGACCTCGATCCACAGTTATGCTCTTAGAGCCTTTACCTCCAATCAACAAGGTGTTTGCCATGATGGTTCAACACGAAAGGGAGAATGGTCTGTTACCTAAGCCTCAGCCTCATCCTAATCCTGATTCTGCCTCAGAGAGCATGGCATTCTTTACTAAGGCATCAGGGTCACACTTAGGGGTTCAGGGGGCTGGTCAGGGATTCAAGAAACAAGGAAAGAAACCTGTTTGCACGTTCTGTGGCTATACTGGACATACTGAAGATGTCTGCTACAAAAAGAATGGCTATCCGCCAGGTTATCAGTCCAAGAAAAGGCAACAAAATCCCAGGCAGGCAAACAGTGTCTCTACTGATATGCCTTGTTCCAATGGATCTATTGTGATCAATCAATCTGACTGGCAAAGCTTTCAGCAGCAGTATCAGAAGATGATGAGTTTCATGGCTCCACAACTGCAGCAACATAACCAGCAGAATAATCAAACTCATTCTCAGAATCAGTTCACTACTCAGCAGCATTATCCTCCAGCACCAGCTGCCTTTTCTGATGCTTACAATGCCAACAACCCCTCTCATTATTCAGCTTCCAATGATAGTGATGGTTCTGGCCAGCATCACATAATCAGTCGTGCTAATGCTGTTGCTTCTCAAGCTTTTGGCAACCCTGATTCCACAGGTACACCTCATTATGCTCTTAATATCAATTGCCATATTCAGAACAAATGGATTTTAGATACAGGTGCAACTGATCACATCATTTGCTCTTCTGCTCACTTTTTGCACTCTAAACTTGTTACTAATGTCTATGTTCATATGCCTAATGGTACTAAGGTAGCTGTTACTGCCATAGGTGTTGTTAAATACTCAGAACATCTCACATTGACTGAAGTTTTATTAGTTCCTGCCTTTAGTTTCAATCTGGTCTCAGTAAGTAAACTTGTCAGAAGCTCAACCATTTGCTTATGGTTTCACTACTCCTTATGCTTCATACAGGCTTACCCCAGTTTGACAATGATTGGAACAGCTAGTCTGATCGATGGTCTTTACCTTCTCCATCCTCCTTCTCAGACTAAACAGCTTCAACATACTCTTCAGCTCAACACTAAGCCAGCTTACCCTTCCAGAATAGCCTATTCTTCCTCTAAATCAAGCATAGACATATGGCATTATCGCCTTGGTCACATTCCAGCTTGTAAAATCTCTCAATTTCAAAACATTGATAGCAGCATTTCTGCACATTCTGATTTTCATTGTACTGTTTGTCCCATGGCAAAACAGAAGAGACTACCCTTTCCTACTAGTACAAGTAAATCAGTAGCTCCATTTGACCTTATCCATGTTGATATTTGGGGTAATGCCCCTATTCTTTCTTTACAAGGACATGCTTATTTCCTCACTATTGTAGATGATTTCACTCGTCATACATGGATATTCACCATGAAACACAAATCAGAGGCTCGTCCTATTATAATAAACTTCTTTGCTTTCATTGAAACTCAGTTTAAAACTACTATTAAAACCATTAGAACTGATAATGGTCTTGAGTTTCATATCCCTGATTTCTATAACTCAAAAGGAGTTATACATCAAACCACCTGTGTCTATACTTCTCAACAGAATGGTATAGTTGAAAGAAAGCATCAGCATATTTTAGCTGTTACACGTGCTTTACTCTTTCAAGCATCTTTACCTTCTAAATTCTGGAACTTTGCTGCAATGCATGCAGTTCACCTCATCAACAGAACACCATCAAACCTTCTGCAAAATTCTACCCCTTATGAGAAGTTACATGGTGTTCCATCAAGTCTTTCTCATCTTAAAGTTTTTGGCTGCCTCACCTATGCAGCAACAATTCAAGCAACAAGAAATAAACTTGATCCTAGGGCACAATCCTGCATTTTCCTAGGACATCCCCATGGAACAAAAGGCTTCAGATTATACAATCTGGCAACTCACAGCATTCTTATTTCCAGAGATGTTTCATTTCATGAAACCATCTTCCCATTTAAACTACAAAATCAACCATTTGACAGTTCACTTCCTTTACCTGTCTTTCCACCTGTCTATTCAGACTTGGACTTTGAAAAAGCTCACACTGAGTTTTCTTCTGAAGTTCCTCACTCAACTGCTCCACCATCAGTTCCCTTGCACCATTCCATCTCTGAGATGTCTTCAACAGCACCAGTAGCTGCACAACCATCTACTGCTCCTATTGATTGCTCTCAGTTAAGGAGATCAACTAGACAAATAATCAAGCCTGCTAAATTCAAAGATTACAAATGTAATCTAACCAGCCAGGCAACTCTATTTTCCAAAACCAGATATCCAATACAAGCAATGCTTTCATACAGTTCTCTAAGCACTTCCCACAGAAAGTTTGCTTTAGCCATTACACAGGTCAGGGAACCTAGAACATACAAAGAAGCTGCTAAATCACATGAATGGTTACAGGCAGTCAACTCTGAGTTTGCTTCACTTGAAAAGACCAAAACTTGGGTCCTTGTAGATCCTCCTCCTAATGTTCCTATAATTGGCAACAAATGGGTTTTTCGTTTGAAGTTTAAACAAGATGGTACAATTGATAAGTACAAAGCTAGGTTAGTAGCAAAAGGCTACACACAAACACCTGGAGTTGACTACTTAGATACATTCTCCCCTGTAGTTAAAATGACAACAGTAAGGGTCATTTTGGCTTTAGCTGCTATACACAAATGGCATCTAGAACAGTTAGATGTCAATACAGCTTTCCTTCATGGTGACCTCAATGAAGAGGTCTACATGAAACTGCCACCAGGTCTTCCTGTACATCCAGATGACAAAAATAAAGTCTGCAAATTAACTAAATCCCTTTATGGACTTAAGCAAGCAAGTCGTCAATGGTTTGCCAAGCTTGCTGCTACTCTGGAAAGCTTAGGATATCAGAAATCCCACTGTGATTACTCTTTGTTTACTAAACAACATAATCAATCATTTACTGCTCTTCTTGTATATGTCGATGATATCATCCTAACTGGTAATAACATGGAGGAAATTAAACATGTAAAGCATCAGTTAGATTTGGCCTTTACAATAAAAGACCTTGGTCCTCTCAAATATTTTCTTGGCATGGAAGTTTCAAGGTCTGATAGTGGTATTCACTTGTGTCAAAGGAAGTATACATTAGATTTATTGTCTGATACAGGGTTTTTAGCTTCTAAACCAGCTACTACACCATCTATCCCTGCTACACACTTGTCTGCTCATGATGGCACACCCCTTAATGAATCAGATCATAGTAGTTACAGGACTTTACTTGGTCGTTTTCAATATCTTTGCACTACAAGACCAGATATTTGCTACACTGTAAATCAGTTAAGCCAATTCGTTGATTCCCCCACCACTGTCCATGAACAGGCTACTCACCGGTTGCTGCGCTATTTGAAAACCACTCCTGCTCGTGGCCTCTTCTTTCCATCCAACTCTTCTCTTCGTCTCACTGCTTTTTCAGACTCTGACTGGGCTGGTTGCCCTGATACTCGCAGATCAGTGACAGGCTTTTGTGTTTTTTTAGGTGGTTCTCTCATCAGTTGGCGCTCCAAGAAGCAGCACACAATTTCCAGATCATCAGCTGAAGCAGAATACCGAGCCTTGGCAGACACTTCTCAAGAACTCCAGTGGATGACAGCTCTATTCAAGCAGCTCCCAGTGCAACCTCAGCAGCCCTACACAATCTACTGCGACAGTCTCTCTGCAGTAAAGATGACGCAGAATCCAGTTCAACATGAACGTACAAAACATATCGAAGTAGATTGCCACTTTACCAGAGATCAAGTCCTTGCCAACAAACTAAAAGTGCAGCACATCTCTACCACTCTCCAACTTGCGGATCCATTCACCAAAGCTCTGCCAGTTCATACTTTTGTTGAACTAGTTTCCAAGCTTAACCTGAAATCTATTCACGTTTAGCTTGAGGGGGGGTATTAGAGATACAATGTACTAAATTGTAAGAAATGAAACTCTACATAGATAGATTGTAATTAGGATAGGTACTGTTATGTAATTTGACTAGGTTAGTTAGCTGTTTCCTACTTATCAGGAGAACAGAGTATAAAACCAGAAACTCCAGCTGGTTCATGTACGTTTTTCTTTCCAATCAATGAAAGCAAGAAGCATTAATCAGAAATCTGACAAGATTGGCAAGTTAGGATTACTCATGTTTATCGCGAGGCGAACGTAGTCGCTGACTACCTCGCAAATTTAGGACATTCTCACGCGATAGGGGTTTAGGCCATTGCGGCACCGATGCTTCTCTTTCTTATTAGTTGTCCCATGACGTTGCTGGGGTTCAAGCAGCCTGTTTTGTTGTTGAATAAAGGTTGAGGCACCCTTTAAGCGCACCGTTTCTCACAAAAAAAAAGGGTTAATACCATTGGGAAACCCAAACTATAAAGAAAGTGGTGTTCCGAATTATTCAATATTGATATTTATTCCTGAACAATTTTTTTTTATAATGGCGAATTTTATTGATGAAAGGCAAAACGGGAATAAAAACAACAGACAGGGGAAGCAAAGGCTCATGAGGAAAGAACCAGTTTCCCACACAGAACATAAAGAAACAATGAAAAGAAAAAGAAACAAAGAATGAAAGAAAGGCTTAACGGATTGGAAACCGTTCCTGCCAAGGAAGAAGGTAAAGACAGCTAATCAGACCGGACCGACCCTGCTGTAAAACTTAGGTCACCCAATTCGTGGGTGTGCGGTCGCCGCTCCCGCTTTGGCGCGGCTAAACGCGCTTTCTTGAGAAATCGTACATAATTCGCGATTTTTCTTTTTACGGAGCGCGAATTATTTTCTTTAATCCGCGTACTACCAGCGATTCTCCTTCATGTCGCCTCCAGGATCGCTGAGGCTCTGAATCTCAGTTAGCAAGAAGATGGATTTCTGCCCAATCTCATGAAAGCATATGGGTATTTCTTCTGGTACTCTTGAAGCGATTAATCTGGAAGTGAACAGAGGCAGAGGAGCCTGACGATGGTTCAGAAAAGCTGAGTCACCACTGCTCCGACGAACGTCTCCCTCTACCTCTCTTCACGCTACTGCTACCCTCTCTAATGAAGAAGACGATTCAATTTCAGTTTCAATCGTACCCATCAATCCAAATTAAGTTCAATTAATTTCTTCCATTTCTTGCAAAAGGCAGACTGTTGGGCGATTACCTGGAAATGGAAGCCTAACCAAACTCGAACCTAGACATGCATGGCGCACCAGAGTAGCGCAGGGGAGGCTGAAGCCTAACGAAATTAACATTCAGACACTGGGATCTTTGGGCAAGAAGGTTTGGGATTTGTGGTGTGGTGAGAGATATCAATGGCAATTTATTATGGGTTTTACCAAAAAGGAACGAGGAAAGTGTAGCGTAGAGGAGGCTGAAGCCAGAGCTTTGCTTATGGAAATCTTGGAAGAGGAAAAGAGAGGATTAAGACCTCTGATTGAAGTTAATTTGGATCTTTCTTCTCCCTCTGTAGGTGAAGCACGAATGAAAGGGAAAGAACTAAGAAGAGCTGGTGGTTGGTCTTTCGTCTCCCTCTGCCAAATGAAGTGACTCATTGGTTAGCCCACCTCCTTTTGAGCTTGGATCAATGTACTTCGTGGGCCAATATAGAGCAAAATGTGTTGTTATTGCAAATGAGGCTACTTGTGAAACTCATTTTAATTTATTTAATCCAGGTTCTTATAAAAAAGACCTTCAATTTCGTTTAGTTTAAGTGCATTTTTGGTAACGGATACTTTCGTAATTTGATTTTAGTGGACCTTTTGGATAACAGAGTTTATATGGGATAGCTGATGGAAGGGGTAATTTGTAAAAACAAATATAGTTCAAGGTGTGTCGTTAAATAAATTAATATGATTTTGACGCTCTATTCACGCTTTCAATATTGAGTATTTGAGAAATCGACGCTCTGACGCTCTCGCTCTTGCTCCCGCTTCACGCTCTGGTTACCTAATGTAAAACACGCTACATACATCAGACATCCAAAGCACACATAAGAAATCAGACATCCAAAACACATAAATTAGGATAAAAACTCAGCAAGCCAAGAAGCAGCATGTTCCTTGTCGATCTTGTGATGAGCAGTAAGCCAATACACAACCATCTTGACTGATTTCCGAGCAATGATCATGGCAGCAGCACCATAATTTTTGAAAATCCTCTGGTTCCTCTGTAACCAGACTGACCAGAAAACAGCATGAAGAATACTGACATTGAACCACTCATCGATGTTGTTGGGGGACAAAGAAGGTCTATTGCTAATGACAGAAGATACATCTCCTTGCAAATTACCAATGAAGCTCTTCTTTGCCTTGATAATACTCCAAGCGTCTTGAATGAACTCGCATCTGGTGAAAATGTGATCAGCATTTTCCTCTTCATTATGGCAAAGAGTGTAGCGGTTAGCAAGATGCGTCCCTCTTCTCTTAATAACGTCCATCGTGAAGATCTTTTTAAGCCAAAGAGTCCACATGAAGAAACAAATTTTGCTAGGAATGAAGGGCTTCCAAATAGATGACGCCTCAAAGTTCTGGAAGCCATGGAATTTCTCAATGATAAGTTGATCATAGACTGAGCTAACAGAGAAATCGTTTTTTGGATTTGGTATCCAAGTGACCCTGCAAGGACTGTTAGGAGCAAGATGCAAATTTTCCATAATTTAAGTATATCAAACGCCTTTCTCTTTCTCTCTCCGCTCCCCCTCTCAAGCTCACTCTCAAATTAAGGTTCCAGATGTCCTGAACAATTTTTTCATTAGTGTTGATCTAGTTTGACCAGTAGGAACTCGTACTATCGAGAAAGTGTCATTGGTGTCACTAACTATTCAATATTTCATTTATGTCCCAACATATGATACATGTATGTCATTTATGTCCTGGCGATTTTGTTAACCGTTATAAATAATGATCGAGTAGACGGTGGTCAACTTGATGTTGACTTAGGAGCGGAATCAACGGAGATTAAGAAGATTTGGGGATTTTTGTAACTTTTTGTCTTTTATTTAATCCTTTTAATAATTTTAGATGAAAATATAAATAAAACTAGTATTTAAAATTTCATATAAGATGCCACATTGACACTCGTGAAGTTTATGTTAAATATTGACGGTCAAACTCGGTCAACACTAATGAAAAAATAGTTCAGGACATAAATGTCAATATTGAATAATTCGGGATACCACTTTCTTTATAGTTCGAGTTTCTCAGTGGTATTAACCCTTAATTTAGTTATGTATATGTGAATATATAATTAGATTATTTAAGCACATGTTTATAAATGAATTATTAATTAAAGAGAATACAATTTATTTGACAAATCTTTCGTACTTGTCAAACTATTAGCCAACCCTTTCAAAATACAAAATATTAAATAATTTTTTGTAATGCATCAACCTATTATTCATTTATCTGTTAGTGTTAGTAATTTTCTAATTATTTTATTAGTTAAAATACTAAAATTATAGAATGTTGACCTCCATGTATCTCTTTCAAGTCAGTATCATCTTGTCAAGTAAATATTACTTAAAAAAATTGCTAACTGAAAGTTAACATTTGGCTAATATTTTGTACTTTGAAAGGTTTGACTAAAACTTAAAATATTTGATTTGAATAATAAATTATAGTTATCCGTACTAAAATTGTCATAAATTCCTTGCTATACAACTTGTCGCTACCACTATCAATCTATCACACTAATCGACTATGAAATAGAACCACAACAATAAATGGTCAGGGATGGATAGTTAATCAAAGAACCACAAAATTATTATGTCTAAGGTTGTGCATATTATTATCATATTAATATTAGCAATTGTTTTTTACTTCTATGCCTCAAAGAAATTATCTCATGGAGATTCATCCAAACAACCAAATAGTACTTCAATTTAATTACAAGTAATTTTATTAGCATAACTATATACATCATACAATTTAATGTGTATCATGTCACGTGTGATTTATGAAAAAAGGGAGTCACTTTTATACTACCAGAAGGTATGGTTGATTCTGATCAATCTCTATCTGCAACGCATAATAAGTTTTCTTATGGCATGTACATCGATGTAACTATCGATTGCTTATAATCTCTCTAACTATTCACACTTTGCTCTTACAAAATTATTATTCTCTATTTTACAATTTTAGAAATTGATATGCACAAAAGATAGAGTTGAAGAGAATCGATCTACCATTGAGAAAATTAACAAAAAGAGAATATGCTTTTTAGGAAAAAGCGTATATATGGAAAGATTGTCAACATTCATGCTGATAATCCATTTATTTCATATTTGTTTTGGATTTATATGTTATCAAATTATAATGGGACTTTTAAGATTGCTTATTTTACTTATTCATATACAATACTTCAATATGAGATGAATAACTACAAACTAAGACAAATAGATTATTATTGATATTTGCAGTATTGTGCTTTCTTCATTTATTTTAATTTTAGAATTTTTATCAAATGTATATAGGGGTGTGCATTCGAGTTCGGTTTTTCGGGTTTACCCAAAACCGACCCGATTATATACATTTTTGGGTTCGGGTTCATTTCGGGTTTTGGGTTTTTCAGTTTCGGGTTTGGTTTTGCTTATCGGTTTTTTGGGTTTCGTCTAAAAACCTCCAATGAATAGAACTCATCCCGTATTCTTAAGCGTTCGGGTTTTTCGAGTTTCGGTTTTGATTTAACCGAACCCGAACCCGATAAGGAATTTTCGGGTTTCGGGTAACCGGAACCCGCAAGTCCTTATCGGGTTAGGGTTCAGTTTTAGGTTTTCGGGTTTTTTCGGGATTCAGTTCGGGTAACCGAACCCTGCCCGAACTGACACCCCTAAATGTATATCTTATATTTGAGCTTTAATTTTATTGAAGAAGTGAACCTCTCTCCTCGAAGGCAGCCTCTAGAGATTTTGAATATTTGTTTGCAAAGTATATCATCAAATCGGTAGTATGATGCCTACTAAAAAGAACAAACCAAAATTTGCCCAACTCTACATATATGACACTAACAATGAACACCAAAATCGGCGATTTTTTCCTCAACGGATCATGTTTCAAATACTTTTTACACTTCAATTATTCAACAATTAAAGGCGATGTTAGATTCAAGTAATCTTAGTAAACAAATTTCGATCTGCAAGGGATAGACTGAATGACACCATTGTCCAACAACTTGAAATTAAGTTGCTTGCTAAAAGAGAAGCGGATGGTAGAGAATGTGGCTTACCATCTGCAAAGGAGGTTGTTGCTTTAATTCTTGATGATCCTGGAGAGCAAACATTTTCTCCTTATATGTTGTACATTATCAAAGTTATGAACTAGAACAAGGTAGTATATATCATTCAAAAGTTTAATGACTTTGCAATATCCCATATCATTCCCACATTGTGAAGATGAATGGCACCCAAATATTCCATATTCTGACTATGAGGATGCATATGAACTTAATGAGAAAAATGTCACCCAATGTGATTTTTACAGTCATAGACTCTAAACAAGGCTGGAAGAATCAACTCATTATTATTATGTGGAAAGTTGTTCCAACATGTTGCTAATGATATGCATTGTTTGAGGTTGAGCTTTTGAATTGGATTAAAACAATCAAACAAAGTTACGACAACATTACTGCCAATGTCTTTTGGTTCTTACTTAAGAGGTGATTCAAATACTAGTTTGAGTGGAAAACATGTAATTTTAGCTTCATCACACACAAGTAATCTTCGATATAAGTATGAAAGCTTTGGGATGCTATGAGCCTATGACAATATGTAGATGGCAGGATATTCATATATTTTCATTGCATTTACGTGTAAACATGATTGTCATGAGATTCAATACATGCTGGATTTGAAAAAGGTCTACTCCTAGGAAAGATCCTAATAAAGTTGATGTCTTCGCAAGAGTTTCCAAGTTGAGGCTAAATTAAATTGTCGAAGGAGATTTTGGAGAATAATATTTTTTGGAAAAACATGTGCATGTAAGTTATATTCCATATTTTTACTTGAAGAATCCTTATTTTAGATTTGTTTGGTAATTATTTTCAATTTAGATAATTATTGATAATTTCTTTCATTGTAGATGTAAATAACAATTGAATTTAAAAAAACGCGTTCTACCTCATGCTCATTTATTAGTTTTCCTAAATGCGAAAGATAAATTCTATTGTCATTCAAAAAATAGATAATTATATATGTTGAAATCCTAAATCCTAAAGCAAATTATGCATGTTATGAAACAGTTACAAATGTTATTATGTTTCATGGCCCATGGGACATTCAAGGACCAAACGCTCCGTTTACAGCGTATGATGTATGTTCAAAATGTTCTTTGAAGAATACTACAGCAAAACAACTATATCAATGTCGAATTTTACAACAAATCAAGATTAGTTATTAATCTCATGATCTTTTTGTATCCTCATTAAATTGATCCTACATAATGTTTCAATTATGTTGGTATATCATTTTTTTCTTCTTCTCTTGAACCAATTTTAGTTTCTTTCGTTATTCATATTGTCACTGTAACAGAATAGTTACTATATATATTTACAGGAAGTAGTTACGATATTATGATGTGTTATCAAGCGGTCTTACTTAACTCTTTTTTTTTTTTTTTTGCGAGAGGTATCCCAATCCAAAGGGGAATACTTAACCATATTTTTATGGTGCTATGATTAAGAGAACTTTATTAGTAATATTTTTATTACTATATTATTATTGTTTAGTTAGGGATAGTGGTTTTTTGAAATTGTGGGAGTATAAGGCGTGTGTATTTAGGTTTAGGTATATTTTATTTGTGATGTAGGTCAAGCGTATTATTACTTTTCTTCATATTTTTATTTTAGACAAGTAACTCGCTAGGCCAAGCAAACAAAATTATCACCAAAATTTCATTTTTTTATCTTGGAAATATATAAATAAAAATATGTTGAAACCAAATTTTAAGAGTCAATTTATAACGCTTCATGATTCGAGATTTTTGTACTTTACTATTACATTTTTTGAATGTTTCTAAGTCAAGTGATTAATTTACTATGTTGTTTAGGACTATCAAGTATTTGTTAAACTATAAAATATATCACAAACCTAAAGACAGAAACAATGGCAACTTAGACATCTTAATCAGGTGGGGATGAAAAATAACATCAAAATCAAGAAAAATCTTCAGCAACTTCCGTTTATATAGATGAGACTAAAACATTTTTAGACTGTCGTTACACCATATCAGGTGAGGCATGCTAGAATTTTTTTAAGTTTGATGTTAGCTTTATTCACCTTTTGTGTTGTGTATATGCAAAGGTTTGAGGAGAATGACTAAGAGTTAAGTGTCTAAGTTGAGAAATACCAGCAAATGATCTTGAATGGCCTCTATCAATGACTAAAAATCCTGGGTTAAGGACTAAGCCTAGCTGGTGATAAAGGATACTTGGGGAGTTTGCTAGTTTCGAGTTAACTATGGTTGACAAATATAAAAAAAATTAGTGAAGGATTATGTACTTTAACAATTCGGCTAAAACATATTCACAATTGTCTTGAATTAAACATTAAGCAAGCTTAACGAAGATTTAAAATTGCGGTAGATAAATATTACGAAAGAGAGAATTTTTATTTGTGGGGAAACTCGAACTAACAACCTCCGGCATGAAGATATTGATAACACGGAATTGAAATAGAACACAAAACAACTAATTTTACATGGTATCCTCGATCCATTGATTGATCGAGACTAATCCACGGTGAGCTAGGAAGACCTCACGACTGACGTTTTATTATTTGAGGACTACATTGTGACGGCTTGCTTACTACAGGTTCGTAGCTAAGTCTTATATAGAGATAGACTAGGGTTAAAACCCTAATGACAACCAAGTTTCCTTCTTTGACAAAGACAAGGAAATTAGGGACTTAGAGGACAAGAATTTAATTATTTTTTACTAAATAAATAATATCCTCAACACTCCACCTCAAGCGAAGACATGAGTAACAAGAATGTCGAGCTTGAAAAAGAAAATGCGACGAACAAGCATGACAAGCTTGAACAACAAAACTCGAGATGAATAACATCTCGGACGAGGTTGAGTTGGAGATGACTGACTCTCTCACTCTGAACAACCTGATGAAGACGATTGACTATGTCTTCTAAACTTCCTGACGGAGACAGTTGACTACGTCTCTTGAACTCACTAATGGAGATGGTTGACTGCGTCTCTTGAACTTCCTAACGGATAGATAAACGTGGTCGACTTGATAACTGAGCTAGTCGACCGACGTATGTTGACCTCCTATCCCCGTTGTTCATGCTCCAGCTTGAAAGTTAGAATGGTGATGAATCAACATTGATCAATGTTGAACGCGGAGGGGACGATCGCTTCTTTGATCGTGACTGCCTCACTTGATGACTTGACAAACTTTGTTGACGAAAACTGTTCTATCTCCCCAACACTAGCCAGTAAAGAGACGACCACTGCAAGCCATGATTTTCTTCAACGCCATGACTTTGATATTGGTGAAGATTAGTATGGCGAAAATTTTCGACACATGAGACAAATGCAACTACAACAATGAAATTGCATACCCGAAAACATCCCCGCATAACTCGCAGCGATGTGGCCAGTGACATGACCTCTATGATCTTGATGACGACAAGACAAAACTTCTCGACAAATCAAAATAATGGTGGCTGTCTTTGACTGAACATTGTGAATTCAAAGTGAACTGGGCAGCCGACAAGCAGAGTTGACTGGAGATGGCTGAACTAATTAAGCTTTACATGGAACACGTAGTCACACATATTGAAGCTTGATAAAAGTTGACTCTGAATGCAACAAGACTAACGTGGGATACCCATGAGCAGCTGCAAAGAAACCATTGTGGCCTCCTCTTATAGAATTCCACTTATCATTCAACTCTCCAATTCCACACGAAGATAAAAGGTGGCAATGCAGACAAGCTTTCCACCAACCGAACTTCATGAACCCAATAATAAACGATCCGAATATTGAACAAGGAAGAAGAAGCTGAGGAATGAAGAAGGAGCACAGTTGCAGAATCAACAGGACAGAAACGTTTCTACTTTTCTGCCTTACACTCCATCCGACAGAGAGACCAAAGCGACGTCGTGGAGGTTCTACTTACTGTTGGGTGGAGTTGAAGGAGGCCAACCGAATGAAGACACCTGGCATCGTTTTATTACTGTGTTATGATTTTCAGTTTTAAC